ATAATAATAATAATAATAATAATAATAATAATAATAATAATAATAATAATAATAATAATAATAATAATAATAATAATAATAATAATATATAGAAATTTGTTCATAAAATTATTAAAGTAAGGAGATATTTATTATGTATATTTTTTTCTTTTTTAAAGTAAAATCTTCATGATTTAAACTCTTATTTTTAGATTTTTCTCAACATCAAAAAATACCCATAATTTTCCCTACTCTCTTTTACATAATTTTTACATATATCCGTTTGATTATTTCAGCTAATTCTCAATGAAATGCATGGGTTGAGTATTAAGTGAAACTTTTATATTAGAAAACACCTCCATATAAAGACAAATTTTTATTAATTTAATTTTGCTATATTGATGAAAAATTAATATTTAATTGAGTTTATTTCATAAAATTACTGTTTTGATTTCCAAAAAAAGAAGAAGTATGTAATATATAAGAGCAAAGGCTGTAATCTTTTCTAATAACTTCTGATTGAAAATTCAAAAAATTCCATTTGAGTTAGAAATTATAATTGAAAGAAAAAAATCTACAGAAAGATCATTTATAAATTCCATTAATTTACTCTAATTTATCTATATATTTCTACCAATTAATAACTACTTTTATATAAGTAAGATTAATATAAATAAGAATTTAATTGATTATTTTTAATAATTTTTAGCCCAAACAAATCAATTTATTTATAATCACAAACAACTCTAAATAATAAAGTTTATTACTACACATTTTTAAAAGCTCGTGCATGATCACTATATAAAGGAAATAACTTAAATATAAGATGAAATTTTAGAACATATTATTCAATTTAACATTTACTTCTTCAGATGAAATAAAATGAATTAAAATACAACTACAAGAAAAAAAATAAAATCTTAGTTATGATTTTGAATTTTAAGAAAGAATGGTAATTTTATGAAATAATATTTTTAATTCATTGGATTGGAATGAAGTATAATTTTATTATAATTCATTCATATTTTTGGTCATCTCATTATCTGTTTCTATTTTACTTAAAAAGACTAGTAAGAATCAACTTACAAAGAAAAACTAAGCAGAAAAGAATACATTTGCCTATACCTTCTAGACAACAAAGGCATTTGGGTTTACAATATCTCTTAAATCTTTTGAATTTAGTATTATTTCGTTTTTCTGCCATTTAATCTATTCTATTGATTAAAATATACGATAATCTAAATAGTTATTCTTTTTCTCATTTTATTCTTATGGACATTCTTAAATTGCATACTAATTCGTTTGATAATTTGGTTGAAATGAAGGTTGAAATGAAGGTTGAAATGAAGGTTGAAATGTAGGTTAATATGTAGGTATAAAAGTTGGTTGTTATTTTGGTTGATTTTATTGTTAATAGTATGCTTAAGCTTGTTAATATTCATCTGAATATTATTCTTCACAAAGTTCATTTTCTATAAGTACCTGATTGTTATTAGTAAATTATGTCATTTATAGAATTTTTTTATGGAAATTAATAAACTATAAACAAATATGATAGCTTTAAATTTTAGGTCTAACATAAAATTCTATATTCTATATTGATTGGAAATTTCTTTCTTTATTAACAATATAATTCATTTGGTTGATTAGTTTAAAATTAACTATTGTATTAAAACATAAAAAATTTCAAGTTCAAAATACAATATAATAAATAATTTTTAATTTTGTGAAAAAAATTCAAATACTAACATTTAAGTTATAATAAAATGCTTTAAATTAAGAATTTTTTTAACATAAAAATTATAAGTTTTATCTAATAATGGAAGTAAATATATATTGATAAAATCTTTTATAAATTATAATTAATATTTTTGAAATTGATGCAACCATTACTTTGTATCTATGCAATAAAACAAATAACCATAATTAATTATTTACCTGAATTTAATCAGCTTTATTATTATTAATTTTATTAAGCAGTAAAATATATTATTATAATAATTACACTTAATAGTAATTTGAAAATATAATAGGGATTCATTAACTTCGTCTATTGAAGTTATCTGTAGTTTTTTACAACAGAATAATTTAGGATTTTATCAATTAGATCTTATGTTTTATCCTTATGGTTTAAATAATTCTTGAGATATTAGCGGCTCATGTATGACAACATTTCTATAACAAGCCTTTACATTATGTTATAAATGCGAATATAAAGTATTCTAATATGGATAGTCTATCATAATTTAATTTATTGTTGAGCCTAATTGTCTTTTCGTTGTTATTTTATTCCTCTTTATTAATTCTGATTGTAATATATAAAGATTAACTGCTAAATATCTTTCTCCTTATAATCTTTAACCATTGCTTAAATTGAGCAGACGATTATTTAATTTTAAGAATGTTCATTTTTAAACATGGTAAAATAAATTCACTAAACACCCTTTTAATTCTATATCAATTAGTTGAAGTAAATCAAGTGAAGCTTTTGATATTATAAAATATATACCATAAAGTAGAGTTTCAACCCAACAAGTTGCTAAATAATTTATGAGTTGGTATTTTTTAAACTTGGCATTTAGCATGGTCGATATATACAAGTAAATAATTAAGTGAAATTTTCTGTGAGATAAAATTTAAATGTGTGATCAAATTGAAAAAAATAAATTATGATAAAAATTTTAAGGAATTACTAATTAATTATCAATACTTTTCATCTTTATTTTTATGTTCAAGTACTTTATCAAAAATAATGAAGAAACTTTTTCAAATTTCTGTGAATATTTAATAATTTATCATTCTTACTTTACATTTTTCTTGAAGATTGAATTAAGAAATATTGAAATAAAATATGATGAACCCAATATAATTAAATTGAAAAAATAAAAATATATACTTATTTTTCAAAATTTTATTATTCTTAATTTTTTATATTGAAAAAAAATGGGATTGAATTCTTCCCCAATTATATTTACAATGTGATAGCCTAAGAGCTAGATATATTTGATATAAGAATAAAATTATGTAATTTTGTCTTTGAAGGATTTTTTCTAAAGAAGATAAAAAATTATATTTTATTAAATTTTCATCTTAATATTTGTAAGGTTATATACTAAAAAATATTATGTAAACAACTCAAAGGAAAACTAATATTTGGTAATAGATAATCAACTGAATCATCAATATAGAATATAGAAATTGATATTAGACCGAATATTAAAAATCATATTTTTTATAGATTATTCATTTCCATAAAAAATTCTATAAATGTCAGAATCAAAATATTACAATCAAGCGCAAATATAAAGTCAACTTTGTGAAGAATAATATTCAGATGAATATTATCAAGCTTAAGCATACTATTAACAATAAAATCAACCAAAATAACAACCAACTTTTATACCTACATATTAACCTACATTTCAACCTGCTTATTAAACAATTTAAGGATGGTAATAACAATAGTATTAGTAACAATTCTAATTTTGAATTTAAAGTATATATTATTCATATATCATAGATTAAACAACAGAATAAAAAAATATTATTCATTATTAGGAAACATAAAAAGTTAAAAGAAATTGTTGCCAAAGTATGTGCTGCATACATTGTAAAAATTGCTTAAAAGGTTGTCTTAAATGCGTTCTCTATACAATTTTATTTATCCTTTTATGTATACTTTATGTATACGACATAATCGATATAAATATAGAATTATTTGAATGAATTAATTTAAAATTTAATACATAATGTTTTTTAATGAATTAGAATATAATCCCAAAAGATTAAATTCTTCTTAAAATAAATGATTGACTGATATTATTATGGTTCCTTTATTTAAGTTTAAATTAATTACAGTTGTAAATTAATTAAATTTTTAGTCTTAAGGGGTAAATTCTAAATTATTTAAGTTGTTTCTTCAAAATTTTATTCTATTTTCAACCTTTATCCCAGATGATTTAGTGATAATACTAAAATAAGAAGATAGTTTAATAATAAACCTAATTTATAAAGATTTTACTTGATTATAAATTTATTGAGTAGAATAGATAAATCGAGTTAAAATAAAAATTTAATGTTACTTCTACTCAACGTGACTATGTTAGAAGAGATAAAGAGAATAATAACAAAAGTTATTAATTGCATAGATACTCCCTAATTAATTTTAACTATCTAAAAATTTTTATCTAGCCTAAAAGGAAAAATTAGAAAAATTTAAACCATTTTAATTGCAAAAAAGTGTAAAATTCAGCAAATTATTATAGATCTTACTCTTAAAAATTAGATCTTTAATATAAATTGATTAAGCATCTGATACTCTTCTAGTGAATAATTGTATTTCATTAAGACGTTATACTTACTACTCCTATTCGGTATTATATAAGAATTTATTTTTTTAAAATAGAGATCTAATCGTTTCGCTTTATTAAAGTTTAACATAAAGATCTATCATATCGAATAATGGAAAGAATATCAATAATCAATCATAAAATTTATTATTTAAAGTTCTTAACAACACATCCAAAATAATTGATTTATTTTTTAGATAAAATGTATAAATCATCTCAAAAAATATGATATTTATTTATTTATAGTAACTTTGATAATATCTCCTTCTCTTCCATCTATTTGTTTTACTTAAGAGGAATATAATAATGTTAATTTTTCTCTACCAGATATCCTTAATTATAAAATAATACGCATTTAGGGTGAGTTTTAAAATGAAAATATGATAAATAAAATATATCATTGAATATGATTTAGTTGTTTAGATTTTGCTCAGGCAAGATAACATCATCATTTCCAAAATTATCTTTCAAGGTGAAGGATTTTTCAATTTTCAAAGGGGAAAAACCAACTGCTTTGAAAATTGATGATGTTAGAACATTATTAAAGATGCATCAATTAGGAGCAACATGGAAATTAGTATTCATTCTATAAATACTTAATTAGCAAGATGATAATTCATTATATAAGGAGGTGAAGTTTTCTAATTTCAAGGAAGCATTCTCATTTATGACTTAGGTGGCTATATTCAGTGAATAAATCAATCGTAATATTTAATTAAAAGTAGATCATCCTGAGTGGGAGAATCTATTTAATACAATAAAGATTAGGCTAATCACAGATGATGTAAATAATATTACAGTAAAGGATATATTTTTAGCATATGCAATAGTAATGATATATATAATCTTTAGGATAATATTGCAATGAATGTGCAAGTCAAATCAGCAGAATCAACTAATGACACAAGAATATTAGAAATTGCAAAAATAGCTGAAACATGGAATTTCAATTTCGATTAGTTTCATCGTATGATAGAGACTGATTCTAAATAAATATGAAATGTTAATATTTATTTTATTAATATTATAAGTTTATTAAGAATTATATCAGTTAAATAATATAGATAAGGGTAACAAAAGGAAATAAATTATTCAAAATTTCAAGAAAAATTAGTCTAAAATTAATTTTAATACTACTTTTAGATTATTAATGATATTATAATAAATGTCGATAAATCAAGGAATATTAGAATTAAACTTTTCAATTAATATTACAATTGGAAATTTAGATTAATAATATACAAATTAATTAATAAATCAAATTTAAGAAAGTAATTAATTATCTAAATTGTTTTTATCAGGAGATAGAATCTAAGTGAAAATGAATAAAATTCATAATTTAACGAGAAAAATTTATTGATAAATTGTTAATTCTATTATAAATGATGTTAAACATAGAAAATTAAAAAACAAATAAAAAATGAAACAAAACTTATAACTTATATGGATTGATTCAAAATTTAACAGTACACATTAGCAAAGATTAAGAACTATTATTAATGATTGTAGTTTCGTTCATTCAACTGATGAAGCTGTTTACATTATTCATAATAAAAAATATGGAGATAAATTTGTTGTCATTGTATCTAGTTCTTAAATCTATAATTAAGAGGAATATTTGGACAGTAATAAGATTGTCTTCTGTGAAGATTCTAACAATCATTTACATAAGTTCTTAGAGAACAATTAATTATTAGTTCTTGTTAAATCAGATATTTTAGAACTAGAATACTATGTAAGTAAAAATATTGAATTCTTAAATGCTAAAGAATCCTTGAATTTATCATTTTGTAAATAAGTTAAAGAAAAAATGAATTATTATCATTAGATTGAAGAAACAAGTTTTAGATTCTTATTGATTAATTAAAAATTACAATAAAATTATTTACTATGTGAGAGTGAATTAGATAATGAAATTTTAAATCTTACATCAGAAAAAGAATTAAAATTATTAAAAGATTCTGTTCGTGAAAAAGAAGAAAAAAAAGGAGTTGTGTTTACTATTTTTGAAAAATTAATATATTATTATACAAGAGATGAACTTTATAAGAAATTGAATTATAATTTAGCAGAATCAAATTATGAAACAATGAAACAAATTATGTGTATATTATTTGATGGTTTTTCAAAGTAAATTCATGATAGTAAACCTCCAAAAAAATTATATCGAGGAATCAATTTTTCATCATTGTTAAGAAAAAGTTATCTCTAAACTTTGGAAGATTTAAATTATTGTTACACACATAAAAAAAGTATGTTTTGGAACACTTTAACCAGTGCTTCAATTGATTTTGCTACAGCAGAAAAATTCTCAAAGGGAGATTGTAAAATAATATTTGAAATTTCATTAAGTGAAAACAATCCACATCCCTTTTTGAAACTTGATGAATATCAATCGGAATATCAAAATGAAGAAGAAGTAATCTTATTTCCTTAATTTGAATTTCATATTGTAGAGTACAGAAATGAAAATGGAATTTAATATTTTTTTATTAAATAAGTTGACAATAATTTTTCAATGGCCTTAGATAAGAATAAAAGAGAATAATATTGGTTAAATAGAATCAATAATGAACTCAAACCAAAATTGAAAATAATCAATGCTTTTTATCAAAATAGAATTAATTACATTATTAAAAATGTCAGAAATTTTCCTCCTGAAGTTGGAGATGTAAGATATTAATTAAAAAATAACATAGATGACTATTTTTATAAGTTAGTGTAATACCTTTCATAATTTTATTAAAATTATGAACCTCATAAAGAATACCTGTACAATTTATTAGATGTATGTATCTAAGATATCAAATTTGAATTTATTATAACAGATGATTTTTTATTAAAGTTGAGTGAATTTATTGAAAGTGTCTCAGAACTTTTAATCAATTAATTTATAAAAATAATACAACAAATATTTAATCTTGAAGATTTTAAGGGTGTTTTAATAAAGATATGGTCTTAATACTATCACTAATAGAATTATTCTCTTTTTAATTATAATTTATAAAATCTTTCATTAAGGACACCAAGTTTTAGAACTAAATTATAAAATTGGAGATAATTGCAGATGGAGGAAATCAAAACAATTTAAGTAGTCAAATATTCAACTACTGAAAAAATGGGATATGAATTAACTTTGAACGATGGGAATAAAGTTTTTAGTCTATATATCTGCAGATAACGTCCCTACATTCATAAAAAAAATTGATGGATCAGCATCATTTGGTTATTCAGACAAATGGTAAGGTTAGGGAAAATCTATAAAAACAACAGGTCTGAAAGTTGGAGATGTTTAAAAGGATATAAAAGTTGATTTAGCAAATGGTAACTATAATCTTAAGAATTTTTCAAAAAACAAAGTAAAATTCATTGAGGAACATATTGGATAATTTGGTTAAGTGGGTGGAATGATAGGAACAACTTTAGTTGAAGTTTATTGTGGTCAGCTAAATAAAGTTTCACTAGATTTAAATGGAGTTGTTACGATAGTTTCTTTCTATAGTCCAATTTTACCTATGGTAATATCAGGGGGATGTTTAATAAAAGAGACATTAGATCAATATAAGAATTTAAAATCTACATTTAAGGCTACTGTTCAATTAGGAAAAATGATAATTAAAACTGCCAGAAATGTAACAATACTTTAATCAGCTACCTATTTTGGGACGTTATTTGGATCCCCATTAGGTCCAATTGGAAGTGCTAGTGGTGCATTGATTGGAGGAATCATAGGAGGAGCAGCGATAGGATTTATAGATATGTATGGTTAATTAGCATAATTCAAAATATAAGTTTCAATTGGTAAAAGAAATAAAAGTATCTAAAAAAACGGATTGTTAGAAAACCCTGGAGTAAACCCAAGAGTCGAATTCTCAAAATTAGGAAAATAAGTGAAAAGTTTAATCTTAATAGCTCTCTCAGATACTAGGGTTATATGGTTAGCTATAAATATCCCAAAAGATTAAAAGATTATAACAGAAAACCATAAATATGGTAAGATTTCAATAAGATATCCGTATATAGGACCATACGATCATGAATCTAAAGTCATATTTTATTCTTTTGGAGTAAAGGATGAAAATCTAAATGAAAATACAGTTATAGATGAATTAAATAATAAAACTCTTCATTTAGTTTGTTTTGCTAAAAAGACGATAAAATTATGAAAGAATGATTTATAATAATATCAAATTAAGAATAAATATGTTTGTAACATTAATCAATATATCTTGTCTTTATATATATTAATATAGACTATATTGATATATATATTATGTAGACAAAATGAAGTTTATTAATTTATTAAAGTAGTTGTTTATGAAATCAAATTCTAAATAGAAAGGAATAATTAAAATTCATAAAAAATATGAATAAACCAAATCCTGATATTAAATAAATTTGAACTTGTTTTTGATAAAGCTAATAGAATTCTGAAATTTTCTGATTATAATAATAATTTATATTGATTTATTTAAATTTAAATAAAAATTATTATAAGTATGTTATTGTATATAAATGTGTAATAAGAGAATCAATAAAAATGAGAATTAATATACTCATTCAATGCATTCTTCTTATTCAAATTTGTTTTTATTTACAAAGCTTTTACTTCTTTTATGTATTCTATCAGCAATTTTATTTTTTTGAGAATTTAGATCATTTTATATTATCTAGTGTAATTGACTTATTACTTCATTTATTTTAGTTGTTTCTTTCTTTAAGTTATCAATCATCTATTTAACTTCATTTGTTTATATAGTTATTAAGTTATTTTTTTAGACTTCTTACTTTTCTTATGGAATTTCAAATTATTGAATATTGTTATCATAATGTTATTAAGTATCAATAATTGAATGTACTTTAAAATCTAACTTTTTTATTGATTATTTTGGTAGTGTTTGTTCTTCTTTTTTTTTTGGTGAGATAATTGATGGATGACTCATTAACCAATTTAATTTACTTTTAAAATATTCACTTTATTAATCTTTTTGTGCTTCATAATATTCAACTCCTTTCTTATTAATAATATCAATTAAATACCATGTATAATTAAATGAGATTATTTAATGCAATACTGTCGGTATATTTACTCATCATTAATGTAATGTCATTCTTAAGTATTTAATCAGCATAGTCTTTTGGCAACTCACCTATATTGTGGAATACTTGTTACTCCTTTTTTTTGGACTTGCTGCAAATTTTCCTAAAATTGACATAAATTAAATAATACTAATATTAAGTAATAATCAATTTCAATCTGAAATCTATATTAAAAACTAGTATGATTTAATAATATTATAATAGACATAAATAGAATATGGAATAAATGTAAATAATCTTATCGCTAAATCTATCATATATCTAATTATATAAAAAGAGTCTTAATATAATTTTAAATTATAAGAACACCTTTGTAAGACATTAATGTATTTATAGAATTGATTGATAATAAAATATATTTATTTTATATGATATATAAAAAATATTCAAGAATTCTTTTTTGCTTTATTGGTTGGAGTAGATGCTTATTTATTTGTTTATGACATTTAAGATAAATTTTCTGGAATTCGAATTTATCTTGTGGAATTATATAACCTAACCATATCAGATACCTCTGAATTTTCTTAATGAACAGGTTAATCTTCAAATTAATCTATGATTTATTTTCTATGTGAATTTTGAATTGCAATTCTATGTAAATCAATATGCTTTTTTGATTCTGTTTTTTATAATTAAGTATTTGGGATATCTAAATATAGAATTATAAAACTACCAGATATATCTCTGGATCCTAATCTATTTAAACGAGAACTATATTAACTAAATTTTGAAGCTCCAACAACAGAAGGTGGTTTCATTTCAATTTTGGCAAATGAATTATTTGAAACACATGTTATTGATTCAATAGAATTAAGATTTCCAGTAAATAGAGGAGATCTTTATTCCAATGTCATATCTATAGAACCTGCTCTAACATTATTTTTGAATTATTAATTATATTCTGTCAAGTTGTTTTAATATTTCTCCTATTTAATTTATTATTGTTTGGCTAATTCTTTGAAATATGGATGTCTTAAACACTAGAATATATAATTTCAATACTTCAGTAGAACTCAATCTATAAGATGGTTTTTTTTATAACATGGATTTAATTAGATCCTACATTTAAATGGGTGCAGACTTGAAAAGAGAGTCATCAAAATCAATTTAGCAATCTTTATTGGCTTTTAAAATTGCTTTTTAATCCTTCCCAGTAAATGGTTATCCTCCAGTCTATTATATAAAGTATAAAAATACTATCAAAAGATATAAAATTACACCAGCACTAAAAACATCACATTTTTCATCATAAAATTATTGACCTTCCATATAATCTAAAATTTCAGGTGCCACAAATCCTGGAGTTCCGCATCTTTTAAATAAAATATTTTCATCTGTCAGTTAGGCTGCTAAACCAAAATCTGCTAATATTATATCATAATTATTTTCATTTGAGCGTAATAATAAATTTTCAGGTTTCAAGTCTCGATGTGCAATTTTGTATTGATGTAAATGATTTAATGCTGATAATAAATTGTATGCCAATCTCTATAGTGTTTCAGCTGGCAGAAAGCCTAATAATTACTGAATTAAAAACCTGTTTCTCTGACTCGTTAAAGTAATTCACCTCCACTTACTATATCAACTACAAAGTATACAGAGTTTGTAGTTTCATGAACTTCGTGCAATTTAACTATGTTTGGATGATTTAATTTTCTCATCACTTACATTTCATTTAATAAACTCTCAATACCCTTATGTTGCTATTACATAAAGGATTTGCTAAATGCTTTAATGGCATATTATTAATTATTCTCTTTTCTAGTTGCTAAATAGACTTTTGCAAAACTTCCTTTTCCTATTAATTTTGAAACCATAAAAGCATCATGGAAATTCTCTAATAAGCAAACCTTCCTTAAATGCTATTTCCATTAATCATATAACAATTTTTCAGATAGAAAGATATCCAAAACCTTTGTTTGATATGTCAATTTGAATCCATATTATTACTCATCAGAATTTAATTAAACCATGTGATCAGCTCCAGGGTCAATAAAACTTAAATGCATAGTAGCAAGGGGTGCACATTTTAATTTATCAACAGTAACTTTATAAAGATATTCTAATCCAAGCACAATGAATATAGGTTTGACTCTAACTTTCCCTGCTGTCAAGAATTCTTATTCGACTAAAAAAGATTAAGTCTTATATAATATTATTGATCATAAGTACATCTAAGACAGATTTATCACATGGTTACCAAAATTTATTTCTGGTTTTACCAAAATCAAAGACAGAAACAACTTTTTAATCAGCCATTCTTAAAGTTCACTGAAACAAAATAATAATTTAATATATATATAAGTTTATAATTCTCAACACCTTTTAACCATTTTATTAGTTCCATAATTTATTTCTTCCTCTATCTTAAAAGAAAAATCATCCTCCTCAGCTTGAGAATTTTTTAATTACGCAAATAATGTACTTGTTTATAATTCATTTCTATAGAGATTCTAATAATTACTTATAAAATTATTACATGATAAAGGGAACACATTAATGTGCCTAACTAGAGTGGATTTAATATAGATTTCAATGCATCCCAAACTTAATCCAATTTAGAAGCATGATCTTAGATTGACTTGATTTCATTCTTGATTTTATCTAAAGAACTTAATAATTAATATAATTAATTACTTAGAAATATTTTATTTTAATTATTAAACCTTTGACTAAAATTTTTTAAGTTTGGTGAAATTCTCAAATTTAACATTTGTGCTTTCAAAACCTTCTTTCAACCATTCACTATAATCTCTACAAATAAAGAATAACCTAAAATAAAATACTAATCTGTATTTGCAAACATATCTTTTGAATTTTAGCATGCATATAATAAATATTTCACTTACATCGGTAACATTATTTCAGCTATGCTATCGAAGTAAACTCTTGCAGTATCATTTCTTTCTTATGAATTTGATTATATTCTATATCTTAATGCATCCATTATTATTCCAATTTCATCAAAATTAGCCTTTTTTATTATACACAATTCCAATTTCTCAAACATTTATTACTATTATTCTAAAAATAATTAAAACTATATAAATCAATTAAATACTTTTTGAGTTTTTTTATTCACTATTTCCATAGATTAGGCTTAATTTTTACAAATATCCTTTAATTTTTCATTCTCCTATTGTAATTCTTGTACCTATTTTTCGAGTAATTATTAATATATTTTTTTTCTTTCTCTTGAATTCTTTGCAGATTCTCTATTTTTTGCTAATTTTAATTAAGTTGGATCTGTCATTTCATTTGAAGTTTCATTCTAAAGATTTTAAGATCTCTTTCTTTCTAATTTCTATTAACTTTTAGATGATCTTGGTGTTATTGAAGGAGATACTGAGTTATTATTAGATGTTCGCTTCTCTAATAAAGAGTCAATCTTGTCTCGATATATGCTCTTACCCTAATTTTAAGGGATAAGCATTTTAACTTCAGGTTTAAATTTACTATTAATTTATTCCGCTGATTCTACATATAATAAGGACCATTAAAACCTAATCGGAAATCTTGATCTCCTGAATATTGAGATCTGCTATTCTTATCTGAATTTATGGATTATTTTAGTTTTTATTGATTTTAAGACTCCTCTTGAATTAATAAATTATCCAATCTAACATCTTCAATTTTCATTTCAAAAAATTAATCCAGACTATTTTTAACTTCAGAATCTATTAATTAAGATTGATGGAAATTATTCTAAAAACTTCCTGCTTATTGATCATTATATCCCAAATAATTCCTTCCGAAACTCAATCTAATTATAATATAATTATCATTACTATTATTCTTAACCTGATCCTGGTAAAAAGTCTGCTGTTCCAGCTGTTCCAACAAAATTATAAAATTATCCACTTGAATTAAAGCTGTCTGCCATTATAAATTATTTTATAAATGTTTAAATATATATATTTTATTAATATACATAAAACTACAAATTAGAGTATCATTTCATAAATTAGTTGATATTTTATAGATATTTTCTAATAATTTTTATAAAAATAAGGCATTCTTATGAGAATCATAATTTCATATAATTATTTAATTAATTTCAGATATAAAAATCGATTGGTAATAATAACATATAATGTCATTCTTGATTTCCATTATTTTAATACTCTATAAAATTAGAAGTATTGTTAGAGGTTGAGTTTTTTGGGTCAAACTTTTAATGATGAGATCGACATTAACTTGGCGACCTAGTCTTTATAAAATTAGACATTTATTTAAATATTTTGTTTTATTTCTTGAGGTCTGAATTTAACATTATATCCTTATTCATTTCTTTAAAACTTAGATACAAGTTGTGTTCCTTGTTTGTCCAATGACCTAAGAATCAAATTAAAAAAATTGCCTATATTATATAACTTTCTTTTGTTTGACCTTTTTCCCTTTCGCTTATTCTTTTAAGACTAAATATTGGGACTTTTTTTCAAGAGTTGGGCAGATTTACTATTTTCATGGTTAGTTATGAATTCTACTGGTTCAAAGTTAGACTATTGAAGGATGCATTGTTCCTATTTGATCACATTTTCCTGTTTGATTATTGGAGGGGACTAAGTGGAACCTTAAAAAAATAGGTGAGTTTGCTAAGCTCTCTAATAATTTAACCAGAGGTAATTATTGATGTATAATTAATGTTGATATGGGTTGAATTGTTGCAGTGAAGGTTAAGGATGATGGATATTTTGAGAGTCTAATACTATAGATGAATTTTATACATTAGAAGAATGGAGGATATTATGCAAATGGGTGCATAAGGAAGATATTGAGTTTTAATAAAAAATAATAATTAATAATTCGGATTCATCATTATGCTGAAATTGACGATCTACATCTATTTATGTAGGGAAAATGTTAATTATTATTTTTTCATGCTTAGGGTATTTTCCAACATATATTGTACTATGTTAAAATATATATTTGATCTTGGTTACTATTAATATTTCTCATTAATGGATGTTATAGAATTTAATTTATAAAAATAATTTGAGTAGACTAATTTTGGCTATTGTTTTTGTATAATTTGAAGTCTAGTAGGATTCAAGTTTTACTAGTTATTGAATAGCGATTGTAAATGATTATAATAAACGATCAATTCATATAGTTTAGAAAATGCTATTTAAAATAATTAATTTTAATATTTTAATAATATTTTCTTGTAAATTAAAGGATTTAAATAATTATAAATTTGATTTTCTTAACTAGGATGAATGTGTAAATAGTAAATATCATATATATAAATATAAACAATATATCATATTTTACTGTTTCTTTCATTAATTTAGGTGATAATTCTAATTTAACCCTCTAAACGTAAAGAATAATTATGTTCTATATCTCTCTCATCTTTTGCTTGCATTAATTCATTTCTGCATTTATCCAATTCCTTTTGAATCTCTTATATTTTGTAATTAAGTTCATTAATTTCTTATCTCAAAGTTTCATTCTCACTTAATAAATATTCTCTTTGCTTTTATAATCTAGAACAGTTATCCTTCTAATATTTAACCCAATCAGTTTCATCATCAATGCCTTCCTCCTTCTTTGCCTATCTCTCTTTGGCTATCTTCTCTTTCCAATATTCATTAAGCATTTCTGCTTATTTAATATTTTACTAATCTAAAGACTCCTTGCTTTTTTTATATTCATCTATAGCCTTTCTAAGATCTAACTTTATTGCCTCCATTTCAGCCAACTCTTATTTGACAACATCTGAATCTAAACATTTGTGTCTATGATATTTAATTTTCTCCTATTCTAATTCATGCAACTATCTAAATAATATATATATAAATATAACCTTTAGATTTCTTATTACTTTTCAAATTTATCCTATTCAATAGCTTTTAATTTAGCATTAATTCTAATTAAAGCATCTTCTTCTTTCTTTTTCAATTCTTTTAATTTTTCTTCATATTCTTCATCTGCTCCTGACTTCATTTATTTCAACATTTTCTCATATCTAATTCTCTCTTCCTACCTTATCATTTCCATTTCATGTTCTCTTAAACGTACTATTTCAGCTTCTAATTTTGCTTAATATTTTTATTCTACATCTTTTCTTAAATTATTCATCTAATCAATAATATATTTTTAATAATACTCTTTCCTCAATTGTTTGCATATCATGTAATCTTGAATAATTTATTTTCTTAAGAAATCCAGTTTCAAGATTCCTCATCTTTTATTCATATGTTTCTTCTCTTTCATCTGTCTAACAAGAATGATCTGTTTTTTCAATATGATATTTTCTTTTTATTACACTTCTCATAATTTCTAATGCAGAAATGGTTCCTTATTATAATTAGAATAAATGTTATTCATAATCTCTTATGGTTAAACCATGTAATTAAAGTAATTCTTAAGTTTGTAAAATATCTACTTTATCAATTCCACATTCTTATATAAATATTTCAGCAGTGCAAAGAAAGTTTTATGTTTATAAGAAATTGATTATAAAACAATCAGCTACTTTTAGATCAAATAATCTTTTTGTTTTTTTCTATTTAGGTTCCTACATAAGTTTATCAACTATCTCTTTTCTAACTTATAATTTGATTCTATCAAGCATTCCTTCCTCTCTCATCTTCTCATTCATAAATAAGAGTACTTAACTCTCTGTAAGTGATTCACTTTCCTCCTATCTCATTTTTAAATTTAATTTTTTTAACAATATTTTTTTTCTTTTGTTTATTGATTTATAATAATTCTATTGAATATTAGATAAACATTTGTAAAATATTTTGATAATAGAAAATAAATACAATTAGGAAAAAATAACTAATAATATTACATCTAATTCATATTACATTTGATATAATCTACACAGTATTATAAATTAGAATAATTGATTTATTAATTAGATTATAATATGTTTCAACAATTTAGGAATAGAAAAAGCTAGACAAACTAAAAATTATGAAATTTATTAAGTAATTATAAAATAAATTCTTATTTCAATTTTATTATAATTTATTTATTATGTAATAAGTTTAAAAAGAAGAGGTATGAATTTAATTTACTATGTAAGATACCATATTTTAAGTATTGTTAAAAATTAGGTGGTGTATAGAGAAAAGATATCTATGTTTCTCCAACCAAAGCTGCAACATTTCTACATTTAATTAAACATGTAATAGTCATTATATATAAAGAGATGTGATAAGGATTCTGCATTAAGATTTGCTTAAAGAAGAATTTGCAAATGGGATACAACAATTAAATAAGATGGTCCTAGTAATTGTAGAATTTTAAAACCTAAAGAAAATAAAGAAGTAATTTTGTTAAATTATATCAATTCAGAAAAGAATACATGGATGGTAGAATATTGGGATGGAAATGTTTTATGAAAACAAAGATACTGTAGCAGATATTAATTAATTAGAATTAGATTAGGATAATGATACAATACAGAAAGAAATTGAAAAGAATGAAATGAAACTAAAAAATGATTTTAAAAATAAAATAGCTCATCTCTAACAATTTTATAGAGAACTTAATTAAAAATATAGTTTTAGTAGAAGTGATCCCAATTTTAAAGAAAAAATTACAATGGCTAAATTAGATTTAATTCATAATAGAAATCAACCTATTAAATATCTTAAAACTAAAGGAATGAAATATATAGAATTATATAATGAATTCAATTAAAATAAAAAATTAAAAGGTAATGGATTATTTAATAAATTACATGTATTTAATTAATTTAGAACTGATGATTGTAAAGTTAAAGAAAAATTGTTGAGTGAATTATATAAACAAAAGAAAGAGAATTAAAGTGTTAATCATAAAGAATTACAACATGATGTTCATATCTATGATAATATAGAAGAATAAAGTGAATAGATGTTAAAAATAATTGAACAAACTAATGATTTCTCCATGACTTTGAGAAAGAATGAGCATAAATTAACTGTTTCATAAAAAGCAATTGCATTTGCAGAAGACTTTAATAGAACAAAATATTTATTTAATTATTCAAGTAAGAACTAAATGTAAAAAATGTTTGAAATACCTGAAATTCCTTAAATTCCTTAAAGTACTTAATCAATAAAATTGAAGAAGCACTTTTCTTCTCCTTCAAGTTTTGATGATCATTTTGATAATTGTCTTAATTAGTATGCACATGAAGTTTTAGAGTATTAATAGGAAATGTAGGATAAAGAAATAACAACAGAGAATTTATAAAAAATGTTATAAAAAAGAGAAAATCTAAGATGTAGTTAAATGAGGAAAGTTTCTAAGACCTCACATAGTCATTAACCTAGTATTCACTTAGACTTTAGTAAAGTGAAATGCTAACACTAATCTTCAAGAGATAGAGAATCTACAAAAGCAGGAAACTCTTTCAATATAAAATAACGATCTTATCTTGTAAGTCCATTTAGTAAATCATGACTTAATTGTTGAAAATTGTGATTACAAATTATTTTTGTTTAAAATCTTCAATTCTTCATTAAAATTTTAATTTTTCCTTAAGGTAATATTCTACAGGGTTAAATTTCTACACTTAAAGGATTAACAACACAAAAAAATTATCCATCAATTTGAATATAACTATTTACAGTAGTATTATCATTTGATTCTTAAAATTTAATATATAATGGTCCATTAGTTTAAGCTAATCTTGTGGCATTCCCTGACAATACTCTATTTTAATATTAATAAATATTAACCTTTCAGATCCAATACCTACAATAGAATCAAAGGATATAAATTCTAATAATCCATCAGAAAATGATGTTTTTTCAGAATATAATTTATTTTTTTATAGAAATTCTTATGGAGTTTTTGCATTCTTCCAAATATCTGTAATTCCAGCAGCATATGAATTGATATTCAAACATACTAATGTGGCAGGATTTCCAGGAACAGTTAAAGCATTTTTATCTTAACAATTAACAGTTTTGAATAGTGTTTTTTACTCTTTATGATTCTAATATATATAAGGTTCAAAATAGATACAAAATGTTCAACAAATTACACAACTTAATTTACTCTTGGATTTTTTAAGAACATCTTTTATATTCCTTATAAACAATAACAAATTTTATTTATATGTCTATTAGTTGTTCTATTTTTATCAAATCCATATCCTATTCTTGCATCAACACCTATACTAAAATAATTAGACATTTTCTTTTCTAAACTATTTGTATTCATTCCATCTAAATCTTTGACACTTTATTTAATATATCCTTTTTCATTCTTCTTTATCTCCTAAAAATAACCATCTTATTATGTTTATATTGTAATATCCCAAATATCAAAAAAACATTAATGTCCTCTCTACCAACATCTTATATATTATTTTAATATTTTATAGTTATTTTCTAACATATTTCCAGGTATATCTGTATCCCATCCTTTATATTAAATACAATTATATTATTACCTAATGCATTTGAGAAATCATTTCCTGTTCCACAAGGTAATGGAATAATAACTATTTAATTAATGTCAATGTTTTAAGATATCATTTACTCAATCACCCACATCATTGAACCATCTCCTCCTGCTATAATGATTGGAATTTATTTATTATCTGCATCAAACTAAAAAACTTACTTATTCGTAAATCTTCCTTTAATTTACTATAACCCTGATTTCTAGATGTCACATTTTATATACTGAAAAATGAGATCTGTACATCTTTACCTTCAATATTTAAAGTGATATCTGCACACTATATTATTAATGAATTATTACATCTAATATACAAAATTAATTAGCTTTAACACTTCCACTACCAGAATTGTAAAATAAATAAAATAATCCTAAATTTAATGTACTTTATTATTGTTCACTCTCTGAAAACTATTAATATTACATTAATATTAATTATTTGTATATTTATATTATTTACTTTTATTATTATATATATTCAATTATCATATACTTATATTTTTATAATATTCAGTTAAACTCACATGGCTAACTTTATTATTTTAGAATTTTATTTGAATTTGTATGATAAAAGAATAAAAAACTATAAAAAAAGTTGAATAACAGAAATTTATAAAAGTTTTTGATGCTTATAAAAATTTAGTTTAAATGATAACTTATGTTATATGTTTAATAAATACTGATTAAAACCAGTTCAATTTATGACTATTAAATTAATAATGATTTTCATTTATTTAAAAATATATATAAATAATATATAGACACATAGAACAAATGTAATACAAACAAGAATCTTTTGATAGTGAAATGACAGAATATATCTAGATTGAATAAGAATTAGAGATTAAATCTCTCTTTAAGTAACTCAAAATTCAAAACACACAACTCTCAAATAAACAATCTAAAAAAATAAAGAAATTTAAGTTAAATATCCAAACCAATTCAATCCTACAACGAAGAAATAATAACCTAAGTTAACTTTGACATTATTTTTATCTCTTTTCTCTATTCTATATAAAATATAACAACCTATATAGTATCAGTAATTCAATTACAATTCTATCTGTTATTATTCATTCTCTATTGTTTTACATTATTATTTCAAAATAACTTTGAGTATTCTAAGAACTCTAACTTAGAATTTATTCATACATTTTATTACCTTACTCTTGATATACAAGTCAACAACAAATTTTGTAATAAAAAGAAAGAATATTGAATTATATTATTATTGTTTAAAAATAGAAATCTCAAAAAATTAACAATATTTTTGTGTTAAGCATTCTTACAGAATCTGTAATTGTTTTCTAAATATTCAATATGCATTTATTTATTCAAACTGAAATTAATTACAAAAATTATGTCAAATAGTCATGTGTATAATAATTATTGCAAATCAAGCATTTTGTATGCTACCAATTATCATCCATTACGAATAATAATCAATAAATTAACAACTTTTGCAGAGATAAACAAAGTCATTAAAATTGCATGGAAAATTAGCCCTTCTTTTTTAAGAATATTTTTATCTAATGGAAGTGAAATTTTTGAAGAAGATTTATATTTAATTAGACAAGGTTCAAAATTATATGCAACTCTAGATGGTTCAGAATTAGGTTTAAATGTCTTGTTTTTGAATTACTCTATTAATGATTAACTTTGTCAAAATCCAAATTCAATTACTATGATTGGAAAAATTAAATCCAATAAAATAGATGTTATTATTAAACAAATCTCCACCAAATACTTTTCAAGAGATGAATTGGCTAATTTTGTTAAAATTTTATAATAAATTAAAGATGAAAATTGTAGTAAAGTTGTTCATATATACGATACTATTATGTTTTAGAGACAATCTGAAATAGCATTAATAACTGAATATTGTTAAGGAAAATCTTTAAATTATATGTTCAATTGTAATTTATTTAATCACACTTTTAGAAAATAAAAGGTTTACCGAATAAGAGATCAAAGTAATCATTAAATAATTAGCTGACGTCATATATTACTGTCATTCTAGAAATATCATCATAAAAAGCTTGAAATTTGAGAATTTAGTATTTAGTGAAAAAGAAAATTTGAATAGTGTATAAATTTTAACATCATTTAGATAAAACTAACAGATTTAGGTTTAAATACTGCATATAGAATTCAAAATTTGACTTCCATTAATAATTTTAATTATTATTCACCTGAACTAATAACATAAAAAGAGTTTACCTTTTCAAGTGATATTTGGTCATTTGGTATCATTCTTTATTATCTAAATTTTAATTCTTTTCCTTTTGATGGTAGAACTAAACAAAATATTTAATAAAATGTATTCCAACTTAAATATAAAATTAATGAAGAAGTCAATCCTATATTAAAAGATTTGTTATAATTAATATTTGTCAAAGATCCTGATTCAAGAATTAAAATACAAGGAATAATTGATCATCCTTATTTTAAATAACTGAATAAATATAATCTTAGTTTTAATAGCTCAATTAATAAATTGAATATGAATTTTCTAAGATTAAATAGTAGAAATAGTTTTAGGAAAAAGACAAATAGTCAAAGATATGATTCAGAAGAAAATAATTCTTCAATGAAAAGAATATAAAAATAACTATCACTCTAAAAATAGTCAGAAAGGGAATAATCAATATTGAATCCACTTTAACCTAAATAGTACAAATGTAAAATTGAAAGAAAAAGATGCCTCTCACACCTGATTATAAAATAATAAGCCAGGTAATCTACTATTAAAGAATTTTGATATAAAACTTTAGTCTAAATATAATATGATTTTATATTCATAATTAAAATATTTTATAAGCACTTCCATCATTAATTTAATCATTTATTTCTTGGATTACATAAAAATTAATTATAATTGATTAATTAAATTTAACAGAATAAAACATTGAATATCAATATACCAATATGTTTTAAAAGTTCTACATTTATTCTGATAGATATCTAACAAACTTTAAGATATTTAAATTAAATTAAATATCAATTATTATTTTAATGAAATCTAGAATAGATTAAAAATATTATTATTGATATTGAGACTGTAACAATAGATGATTAATTATTATACAAATATATCAAATCTTTTCATTATTTAAGTATGGATAGGAGTAGAATCAAATATTTATAAAAAAATACAAAAAGACTTTTATCTAAATATTGAAAATAAAAATAATTATGGAAATAATACATTTTTAATTAAGTTCTAATTCTTTTATTTTCATTAAATTTTGGAAAGATAGAAATATATTCTCAAATTTCAAAGAGAAATATTTTGATTTTACTTTAAATGATGTTCTTATTAAAAAATGGAATTTAATTTGTTGGAATTTCTGTATTATTTAATTGAAAATACTCTGTTCAAGATGTGATCTCATATGAAAATTAATTTATATATATATATATATGAAAAAGAAGTTAACTTTGTAATTTGCAATACCTGGAATAGAACAAGCATATTAATAAGATCGATTAATAAAAAATGTAAGTATGAGGAAGATTCTTTCTATATTATTATTATTGTTTGCACTAGTCAGATTGGTGGCTTCTATTGCTTAAGGAAGTATGGAAGTGATGTATTGGGAAATCTGTTTTACTTGTTACAGTATATTTCTTATGGCTTTTTCATTTAAAGGTACTCAAGAAAAAGTAAGGATGCTTTTTATTTTTACTAACAATCTACTTTGTGTACTGTAGGTTTGTGCAAATTATTATAATAATGCATAATGCATATACATTAATGGATAAAATGTAATGATATTCAATATGACTATGTTTTATTTTTCAAGTATATAAGAGGCTCCAATTTAATTGATTGTGTTCTTTGCAACTCGAATTATTATTTCTGGACTGGTAAATAATCATTTCATAGTTGAAGACTTCATTTAAATGATAATAACTACTCTATGTATAATATTATTTATCTATTAAAATGATAAAAATTAGAGAGCCCATTTTTAATTATAATTTTCTAATAAATAATGGGGTAAAATCTATAAATTAAATTAGAATAAACCTTACCAGTAATAATATAAAATCCATTTTTGATGTTTACTTATGATGAAGAGAGAATAAACTTTGATTTAAAAATATAGAATGATATGTAAAAGATATTTTGGGATAATGAAAAGGCTCCATCTGAAAATCTAAGATCTTTTTTAAGAACTTATAAAATGGGTAATGATAATCTTGAATTTTATATATTGAATAGAACAAGAATATGTAATGATTACAAAAAGATTTACTTAAATTATTTGAGAATTCAAAAACATAATGAGGATTCTGAATCAAAAAAAACACTTATTAGATTATCTGATTTTTATTTGGGTTAAAAAGTATTTTTAATAGTATTTGATTAACATGAATAGAAAATTCGTTAACTTTAAAATTTAAAAGATGCCTTAATTTAAGGAATTAATTAACATTAGAATTTGACTCTTAATTTTCTTAAAAAATAATTAATTTTATTGTAAAATGCAATAAATTCAAAAAATAATACTATTGATTATATTTATAAATTAAAGATTCATTATATGTACTTTATAGGAAAATATACATAATGCAATAGTTTTTAAGAAATAGATGAAAAAATTAAAGAGATTAATATTACAGAAATGGTTAAAAATCTTATACACATATATGGTATGGCCTATAAACATATATAAATTGAATTTTCCAGTAATAGTTTTGAAGATATTTATGGTTTCAGCAATGAATCATTACTGAACATATTCTTGGTCATTCTTTTATAAACTTTAGTTAGACTTTATTCAAATGGAAAAACTATATTTGTCCATTTAACTTATATTAAAGATAATTCTGAATTTTAATTAATAAAAATTAGCATTTTATTAGATAAAATAGAAGAATTCAAATAAAAATTAATTTTTAATCAATTATTTTAGAAAATACAAGTTAGATTGAGTCCAAAGGTTGATATCATAACATCTGAAAATTGTAAACAATAATTTTATATATTTAAGCTTGCCAATTCTTAATTTATAAGAATCTCTAATAATTAAATGAAATAAGAATCTTAGAAGAAGAAATAGAATGATTTAACTAATTAATATATATATTTATGTATCTTAATAATAATAAAGAAATTATAAACAAATCATTTATTTTTTACTAAAAAGGACACTTTATCCAATCTAGTAACAGATCTTCTACTACAACCTATTTTTCTTTGACTCATAACTTATCCTTAATCTTCATCATTTGATTTTCTTAATGATTACATCTTTACAACACTAGAAGATCTTCCTATACGAAGATTAACTCCATTTATATTTAATTTAAATATCTTTGATTATTCTTTAAACCAATTATGAGATTAAATATCATAAATATTGGCTCTGTCTTTTGGATTAACCACGAATATTAAACTCAATAGATTTATTATATCTTTAGAAACACATTTTTTTGGAATCTAGTAATTACATTATAGAATATTTCGATATGTTTCTGATGTACTGTTACCATCAAATGGAAGTTTCCCAAAGACTAAACCATATATTATACATCCAACAGCCCAAATATCTTATCCAGGTTAAATGTATTTAATTGAATTAGACAATACTTCTGGAGCCAAATAGGATAGAGTACCTAAAACATTTTCTTTAACTAAAGGTTGTCCAGCATAATTAGAAACTCCGAAATCAATTATTTTAATCTAATTAATTAATTATTATTTATTACCTTTTTATTAGAAAGAGATGATAGCATAATATTTTCCAATTTTAAATCACAATGAATAATATTTTTTTGATGACAATAAGAAATAGCATCTACTAATTGATGAGAAAAGTGTTTTGCTTCTATTTCAGTTAATTTAGCTAGAATTAAGAAATAGCTATACAATTAGCTTATGTTAATAATGATCCACCATATAAATACTCCAAAATCATAATAACTTCCTTCTATTTTGAACAGACAAATTTCTCATATAATTTTACTATATTTTGATGATCTAATTATTTTAAGATTAGAGATTCTTATTCTAGTGTCTCCAAGGCTTAATCTTACTAATTTGATGCATTTATCTTCTTAATGGCTACTAATTATTTTGTTCCTTTGTGCTTTCCCAAAAATACAACTCCTTATCCACCTTCCCCCACTCTTTTGATGATATCATAATCTAACTTTAGATTAGTTAATTCATTTTCATCATTTTTCAATTGAGTAAACATAATAGTACCTTATTTAATATTAATTAAATCTTGTTCTTCAATTTCGGTTCCATCAATTAAAAAAAGTCTTAATTATTATACATTTTGTCTCCAAACAATCTGAATTAATTTAATAATATCAATAAACTTTGTGTTAGGATAGAGCATCAAACGTATTGGATTTTAATTTTTTGACTTCAAAATGCAAGATCTAACATAGTTTTGCAATGTAAATTTGGTTGTATTCATTTTTAATTTATAATAAATATCTTTAATGTTAAGAGTTTTTTAAATAATATTTCTAAACTATCTTTCTACTCTAATATATATATTCCAAAAAAATAGGTAAATCCAAAAGTCCATATATATTTTTTAGAGATATCTAAAGATATTATTTTATAAAAATGAAGAGATCTTAAATAATTATATAGTAATTGATAGTTTATTTATGATATCTTATAAATTTATAATTAATGAAAATATGATTGATATAATATATTTATATAATTATAAATGATATTTAAGATTGTTTAATAATTTTGATAATAGAAAGTATAATATCATTTTATGAATACTTTCAACTGAAACTCTCAAATTTATCAAATGATTTGAGAATAGAAACATCTTTGTACAATTCTATAAAGACTCCCCCATCTGTAACTTTTACTTCTAGTTATGGAGAATGAAATTTTAAAAAATTCTTAATTACTAAGTTTTTGTTTAAGTTTTCAGCTAACAAATAAGTATTTATGCATATAATTCGAATAAATAATAATTCAGATTTTGAATGTAATAAGATTTTAGTTTATGTTTTGAAATCATTGTTAGTTTTTCTTAGTGTAACTTACATTAATTAAACAATAAAATCCTAGGCCATATCTTTATAATGAACAACATCATATTGGGTTTCTGAGCAATCGAAATAGAAATTATAGTCTTTATAGGCTATTTTGAATAATGAAATAATTGAAAGAAATAATTATTTAAAATTTGCATTAACAGTTTCAGATGTAAATTAAATTTATGAAAAAGAATTAGATACTTTATATTTACTTTGAAAATACATATGATGTAATTTAAGTTAATGTATTAGTTATATTTTATTGGATTAGCTTAAAATACAATGATTAATTATTTATCCTTATTTTTTAAGGAAATTTTAAACCAATTATTAATGTTTTCCAATTAGATTAATTAAATTATCTTTAGTAGATTACAAAGTTTAAGCTCTGTGTTTGGATTATTCAAGTACAATTAAGAAATTATCTTCTAAATGATATAGTTCAGCCAATAATATTGATTTTTCTTCAAAATCTGTTGAATCATAATCATTAGGTTTAAGTGTAAATTAATTGAGATCAAAAAATTTAGTTTATTTTTCAATTCTATTTAATATAAATTATTCAGTTGTAATATTACCTATAGATGACATTCTTATAAATTATCTAAAATTCTCTTCAGCTTATTATTCAAATGAGGAATATGGAAAATGATCAATTTAATTTGAATTCTTATATCTAAAACACATTCTTTCTTCATCATATGTAAATAAAATAAAAGGATCACTAATAATTGATGGTAAGAGACAATCTATTTAATTATAATTATAAAATACGCCAATCATTTCCTTAATTATTACTGAGAAAGAGTAATCTTTTCTATTTCTCAATTGTATGTACTACTGAAATAAAACATATAGGACAACAAATAGAAAGTATGATAGAAGTAATATCAATATTACCATCAAGTAATATAGCAATAAATAATTTTAAGGCTGTTTAAAAGAATATATTAAGTAGTGTTAATTTATAATCAATGATCAATAGTATACTTGAATGAGCAATAGCAACATTAGTTCCAAGTATAAATTAATTAGTTTAATCTGATTAATCTTACAATTATATTAAGATGAGTAAATTATTGATGAATATCATACAAAATATTGTACCTGATTAATAGAATCTCATTATTAGAATTGACATCACAAATATAATTAAAAGAGAAATTGAAGCTACTAAGATGCCAATTACATTATTCTATTACCCAAATGTTATCAAACGCATCAAAATCATTATTAAAGAAAGAAATGTTACTTTTTTGAAACCATTATAGCAATAATCTTATTTACCTTTTTGATAGAGACTTTCTAAATGTTTTTATCTAAATGTATGTGTAAATTTATTCATTTTATTAATAATGCAAGAAATTCCAAAATAATCTTAAACAAAAGCAGATCATCATCTTAAACATTTATCATCGTTATTTTAGAATCATTAAGGAATTAAGAAATTAAATTTATTAGGAGGAATATTTTGTTCAATTGAATATTATGAAAAAATTCATTATGTAGAATTTGAAGAAGGAGATGATATAATAAAGACTGGAGAGATTGGACATTTATTTTATTTACTTATAGAAGGAGAAATTAGCATTAAAAAAACTTACTTTGGAACAGAAGCATTACTAAATTTACCTTATCTTTAGACTATAAAAAGTGTTACTAAAACCAAATTTGGAACTATAAGCAAATATGATTTTGAAAATATCAAAAGAAAAGCTAAATTAAAAGATCCAAATGAATAAATTGAATTCTTTAGATAATCTCAATTATTTGGACAATTATCTAAAGGAATGATTGAAAAATTACTTAAAAACTGTTAAATAGAAATATTTGATAAAAATCAATTAGTCTATTATGAAGGAGAACCATCATAAACAATTTATTTAGTTAGAGATGGAATATTTTAATTATAAAAGAAAATGGTTGTTGGAAATAGATGGAAAAATATAACTATAAGTGAAATAGGAATCTATCAATTATTTGGTGATTTAGAATGTTTATTAAATAAATAAAGATATTTCACAGTTAAATGTTTAAAATAAGGTAGTTGTTACAAAATTAGCAATGAGGATTTCTATTAAAAAGTCATATCTGATTAACCAAGTTCAGAAGCACAAAGATATATAAATCAATATATTAAGGCACAATTACTTAATAGAACTGAGAGAATTGAAAAAGTTACTGAAACTTTAGCTTAAAATAGTGAATATTTAATTGGGTTGCCTGAAATTAAGACTTCTAGTAATAAAGAATTAAGTTAAATTGAAATGAGAGTTCTCGATAAAACTCACTCAAGATATGCTTAAATATATAATTAAGCTTGTTAAAAAAGAGTAAAAGTTAGGTATGCTACTATACACAAAACTGAAGTAGCTGTTCCTAGAGTCACTTCTAAAAATGAGTCAATTCATAAGACTATTGTTGTCTCAATTGAGAAACCAGTAAAATAATATATCTATGATGAAATTAAAATGCCTGATATTGTTTAAAGAAGATATCGTGATTTCTTACCTAAACGAAAGAAAGACTTTTGGATTATTACTTAAAATAATAAATCTTCAATACTTTGAAATAATATATAATCATTTTAGTTTAATTTCTTCTTGTAAACATTACTATAAAAATTCTTTATATTTTTTTGCTTCCTAACTTAGAGTGTCTCTCATCTAATCACTGAATGCATTTCCTAATCCTAATGTATTATGAAATTAACGAATAAAACTAAATTTCTAAATATTATATACTCATTAGGATAATTTTCTAGTAAACCATAGAGATCATCATTCTTTTTTATATCTCCTTCCTTACGAGGAATTATATGAATAAAACAATGATTCAATCCATCTGATTCATTTGAGAATGATGAAATATTTACTGTAGATGATGTACAATCAAAGTATTTTTCAAGACTTTTTGTTAAAAATTTCACACTTAAACCTAAATCAAATATTTCAGCAGGATCTAAATCTTATAATCTAAGTGCTTATCTTTTAGGTATTAATAACACATCTATAATTAATAAGATAATAATCTTACGTCCAGGTAACAATTTGACTACAGGAATGATGCAATAACAATACTATTTATTCCAAAATACTAAATTACCAGGAATGATAACCTATCCAAATTTAAAATAATCCATTTATATTAAATATTTATTAAATATCATTAAGACTTGCTGAGTTCTTGCAAGTATTGATACTCCTCTTTAAGTGTTTCTTACCTAAATAGGAATCTGCTTTAGGGTACATTATTTCTTTCAGGATTGTCTAAGTATTATATGGCCATTTATTACTTATAGTTTTATACATCTTTTCATATTGAACTCCAACATAAAATTCTTTGATTATAGATTCGAAACTAGAACATCTAACTGAATTACGTGCTAATTCAGACATGTCTACATTCGATAAATCAAAGATTTGTTGAGCAATTGCATATTCCTCTAAAAGAGGTTAATCTGTCATATGTAACATAAGTGGATCATCAGTGGATAAACATACATTGAGTCCTTATCTAAAATAACTGTTAAAAGGTGAATCTGCATATTTACATGTGAGTTTGTTATTGGCAATTGGAGACATAGATATACCAATTTGTTTGAGATAATACAAATATTTAAGTACAGGTGATTATTCTAAGATAAGTCCATGATTAATCCCTTTTGCCAGTAAATATGCACAAGCTAAATGATCTATATTTCCATTGAGACCACAATGCGGTCTTAGATCAAATGTATTTAAACCTCTTTGTTGTCTCAATTGATTTAAACTTGATAAATTTGCATAAATATAATATATCCAATAAGCATAATGTGGATTAGAGTCTTTAGTCCAATTAATAGGTTATATTTTAAGATGTTGAAGAAAGAAATTCTCATGTTAATTCTCATCATCAACACAATCCAATGCTGAGATGCTAAAGAGTGCTTAATATAAATCTGGATCAACTTCAGGATTGATTGTAACTTCAAATAAAGGTCTAAATATATTGTCAATCATATCTTGAAATGAATTGAGTTCTCCATTCTTTCTATATACTGAATAAAGTCTAGGCAATTATATTATCCATCTAATATTTGGATGCTGTAATTTATTCTTAATTAACCATTGAGCCTTCTTTCTCCATTCACTACTTGATTTTCCATATATAGTGATTCTCCATTCTGCATATGTATGTCTATCCATATTTTTAATCATATCTTAAGTAATTTCAGCAATATATTTTCCTTTGATATAATTATCAGTCTTCAAAAATATACTTCTTAATAGTGGTTATCCAAGAGGACTATATTTATTAGTAAATCTATCAAATCTCTTATAAAGAGATTTATCTGCTTAAACATCTAAGAGATCTATATTTAATTCTTCAGTTTTAAATTTAAATCGCTTTTAGATATCTTTCAATGTCATTTCTTTACCATCATCTAAATATACAACTTCTTCAGGACATTATCTGAATTTCTTTTTCATAAATTCGAGTAATTACTTGCCATTCATACTTTAACTATGATGTATATGTGTGTCTATTTTTAGAACACTATAAAAATCTCTATTCTTTATACGCTTTTGATCTTCACTTTCTCTGTCACTATTAAATAAAGAATGCATTTTAAATTTTGATTCTAAATATTTATTACGTGAATAACACCAACTAGAAATCATTTTATCATTAGCTATTTCAACAAAAGTAAGAAGATCCTTAATAAATTCTTTAATAGAATGCATTTTAGTAAGCCAAAATCCATCTTATTATACTGCATATACACCATCAGAAACATGTATTTCTACTTTTTCCATTTTAGGTAATGGTTCAATATGACATCTATAATCAACAATAGGTTCTTGAGTATCAGCTGAATAAGTGGTTACTTCTTCTAATCCATTCCAATCACTTTAAAGATCTGGATTGTAATCTTATCGTTTTTTAAGTAAAGAAACAATCTTCTTAGCAGATGCTCTTGCTTCATTTTCACTTTGTTCATGAATTGCACACTTTTCACATTTTTTAATCTATTTTTAAAACATTCATAAATACTTCAATATAATCATACTCTCGAATACTTAAGATATTGAAGTCAGATTATTCAAAAAATATAGTGTCTCTTTTAAGAGTCTTTTTAGGACTTTAGAATGGTTTAGAAGATTAGGCAGATTTAACAGATTCAGTTGGACTGTCTAATTAACTTAGTTTACGTCCAACTAAATTCTTCATATATTTATGTTTATCTTCAACTTCAGAAAGCTCTTCTTCTTATATGATTTCAGTGATCATTTAAGAGATACCTTACATTCTTTACATTTATTTCACTAAATGGTTTAATAGAGGTATTACTTTATTTGTAGACTAATGATTCTGGTTCTTCAAGATCACTATCACTATCTAGTCTTCTAAATTATTTTGACATAATTTTATATACTTTATTATGACAAATAAAATTAATAATTAAAATATATATATATATCTAATGTCAAGAGTAAAATAATCTGCATGTAATATTGTAAGTATTATAGGGTTTTAGATGTATAACCATCTCCAAGTTCAGGGAGAATATAAAAGATTTCTGAGAAATTATCAACTATCTAGATTGGAGTGGAGAATGAGCGATTCTAAAAATTAGAATAGGCTGAATAAAGAATTCAATAAGCAGAAGATGCATTCAATGAGTTTCAAGAGTAAATCTTTACAAAACTAAATGGATTAAGAGATTAAGTATCTACATAATTTTAAATGTTCGTTAACAGTTAGGCAAATTATAAAAGTAAGTGGAAGATGATAGATTGGCAAAGGAATAAGCTAATGAAGCCAAGAATAGAGATGTCTAAGCATTAACAAAGAAGTTTGAGAATGCCATTGAGAATGAATAGTAAACTAAGAAGGAAGGAGAAGCTAAAGTTCTTAGATTGACTGAAGATAAAACAGCACTTTTAAGAACTGAAGTATAAAAGGAGATAGCTCAAAGAGTAGATGCCATTGAAGGCATTCATTAAGGTCTATAAAATGATTTGCCTAAGATTTAAGAGGCCATTAGAGAAGAAGCTAATGAGAGAGATGAGGCAGATTAAAATGTAAGTTATTATAATTATTATTTAATAGGTAATGAAATCAATTACAGATGAATTGGTTAAGTTAAGTAATTTGATTAATGTAGAGAAGAGAAATAGAGATGAAAGTGAATAATCAATATTTGAAATGTTAAAAGATATTGTTAATAGAGTGAAAGTTGAATTAGATTAAGAGAAGAGAACAAGAGAATAATCTGAAGAACATTTATTAAGTTTATTGGAAGATACATGTAATAAACTAAGTATTGCAGCAAATTTATGAAATATATATTATGAATTATCATTAGTCAAGTTCCATCTTCATTTCACTAGGAATTTAATACAAAGTATTGAATTATACAATTTAAGATTCTTCATATTTTTATTCCTCTATTAAAGTAGAATCACCAATTAAATCATATCTTAAAATCAAATCGACCGCCAATTCATGAGGTTCACAATATTGTAATGAAATTGATACAAGTTGTTTTGTAGATTCATACAAATTAATAAATTCGTAATCTTGTTAATGATAACGATGCCCAAAAGTTTGATGTGTTTATGGTCTTTCTTCATTAATCTTTGTTAATGTATGTTAATCCATATTCTTGTAATTAGAATGTAATTTCACGTTTGAATCTAGTTTGGCTCCACTCAAGGATGAATTAAATTATTGGTTCTAAAATCTAGATGTACCAAAAACTTATCTCATTAATCAAAATAAAATAAAATCATTTCTTCGATTAGTATTATTGTTTTTAATTTGTAAACTTCTTCAACTCTTATTGTTATTAACCTAGATCTTATAGTTTTCTAGGAGCAAATTCTGGTGTTGTTTATTACTATTTAAATAGTAAATGTTCAGTTATTTGTTTAGCTGTAAATCTTTATTTTGGATTCCATTTTAACATTCCTTATATCAAATCTAAAGCCATTGGGGATGCTTTGATTACATGTAATAATTTCTATGGATAATGTGTCAATTTCAATCCCAATTGATTTACTAATTTAACTCCTTCACTCCAATCTTAATTATTAAAAGTTCTAAATTATTTTAACTTATCTTATTACCCTAATATTTATAACATTCGATCAAATTATTCTAACTCAGAGGCACCTACAAATAATGGTCTTCCCAAAAACAATTCACAGGTAACACATCCCAATGCAAATATATCGATCTATGCATCATAACTAGTAGAATGCAACAGAATTTCAGGAGCCTTTTAATCTCTTTAATCATTACTCTGTACCAACGAGTTGATACATAATCGGTAAATGGTGGCTTGACTTCCCTAGAAAGGCCGAAGTCTATCAATTTTATACAATCATTCTAAATCAAAATGTTCTCTGGTTTTATATCCCTTACTTTTTACTATATTCCATCATACCTATGAAAATATCCTAAATGATGAATATGAAGCAAAGCATTTGCACATTACAATATAATATGCTTTATCCTTTCCTCATCCAATTTATCCTATGTATATAGCTAGTACACATTGTTCTCCACATATTCATAGATCAAGTACAGGCGCTTATTCTCGTATCGCACTAACACATGCACTTATGCATACTGTCGAGCAATTTTATAATGTTTGGATGCTCCTTCAATTTCATCAATGCTTTCACTTCTCTTAATTGCAAACACTCTTCCATAGATTCAAATGTCTCTCTCAACATCTTTATAGCCACTCGTTTCCCATTCTCTACATTCACACCACTATGTACTATCCCATAAGATCCATTTCCCAAACACTCTTGCAATTGGTACTCTTATAATATATTCATAATAAATTTTAATTCAATTATGTTTTATCCCTCCCATAAACGTTCTTGCATTAGGTACCATTCCATTTACCTAAGCTCCTGAAAAATCAAATCCTGGATGTTCTTCCTAAAATCTCTCTAAAAGCATTTTCTTTTATAATTCCTATTCTGTCAATGGATCTACCTTTCCATGTCCAACAAACACACTTGGCCATAATTCTCCTTTATATGCCTTCTGCAATATTATGTGAAGTTCTTCATCCTCTATTAACCAGTATGATTCACTAGAATCACATTATTTTACTAATGGTTCATCAATAAATGGAGGATTTCCCTTTATTCCAATTTTTAAACAATCAGCCTTTATTTAAATGTCTAATTTTGGCATTTGCTCTCCTGGTTTCAATTATTATCTCACTTAATCTTCATACTTTTTTAATACAGCCTTTGGAGGCTCTATGTATATATTAATATCATCTAAAGTTTAATCCCATTCATAAATTGTTCTTCCTTAATGTTGAAATTTTTATCTTCCCTTTGCTTTTTCTTAAAAATCTTTAGAAGGTTCTAGCATTAATTTGAAAAAATAAAAAAATAATGATTATTTGAATACATTTAGAAGTAATTTTGATAAACTAATCACATTATTCAAAAAATACTAATAGATTATAGAATTGGAATGTATTTCTATGTGAAATTTGATTATGAAAGTATATGATTGCTTATGTTTTAAAAAAGGGATTCCTGGTTATTAATCTAATTTAAATCAATAATTATATGGTTTTAAAAAGAAATAATGATAAAATTTTTTGGGATTGTGATTTACATCTTCTTCATATTATCAGTTGTTGGACCGATCTATTCATTTTTGACACTTTAGCCTAAGAGGGCACAAGAGTTTTGGTCTCGATTAGCTGTCAAGACATTACGACTGTAATTTAGATATTTACCAAACTCTCAATAAGTGCAAACAAATAAGAGAGTAATCTTTTGTTATTGAATTGAAGACAATGTTACTTTTCAATCATAGAACATAAGGAGATTTCTTTATTCATGACGTGGTTTCTTAATATAGTGCAAATTTCTTAGCAAGATGGATGGTAGCAGTTGCATTTCCAATGCTATTTATATTCTAATAATTGTTTACATAATCAGTTTGGTTTTTTAGAAGAGGAGGAAACGATCTAAATAAGTAATATATATAATATTATTAAAAAGCTTCTTTAAATGGATTGATAACAAATTTGATAAAGCCACAAGACCAAATTTATTGGTCTATCCAGAAGGTCATAGAATGCATGAAAGTGATAAGGTTGGAAAGATGAAAACAGGAATGCTTTAATATGCATATGATCGTAAAATAGATACATAAATAATAATTGTTTTGGGTATAGAGAAAGCATTTAATGAGAAAAAATTTCATGCAAGTTTAGGGTATTTATGAATAATTAATTTCAATATAGACCAACGTAGATTGCAATAAAGGTGGATGAAATAATCAAGCCAGATAAATTTGCTACTTTTGAATTGTTTATTGAACACATTTAAGCAATGTTTAAGAAGAATTTTGAAGAGACTTATGATTATTAATATAAAAAATCATGAGTATTTAATTTGTTAATAAATATATTTTGCTGAATTGCATATATTTTATTTTCCACTTACTCAAAATATATTTAATATTTATTTCTTATAATATCTATAATTATATATCTTAAAGAATATGCAATTTTATCTTAATCAATAAGTATAAATAAATACAGGTTCTTTTTTATTAGTATCTAATTTTTAATAATATAAAAATAATTTATGAAAAGAAAAACTCTGTTACTTGAAGCTGATATAATATAATAAATAAAAAGTGCCTTCAACCTTAATCAACTTGAAATCACAGAACTGATGACTTAAGCTAAACGATATGATCCTAAAGGAACTGGTTTTATTAGCAAAAATGAAGTTGATGATATTATGAGAGGTTATTAATTATAATATTATGGGTTAGAATTGAAGTTGTTAACAAATGAAAAGATGATTGCCAAATTCAAAGAAGAATTAAAAACTTATGAGGGCAAATAACTTGAACTTAAACAAATATGTGATCTTTATTGTAAATTGAAGAATTATTAATAATAATTAGAGGATGAGGAAACTATAACTCAGGAATATAGTATTTAAAATTTCATTATTTTTAGTTGATGCATTTGTTGCCTTGGGAGGGTAGCCTGATAGATCAGGTTATGTATAAAAATAAACTATAATTGATATCATCTAAAAGGAATTCGAATTGAAAATAGATTTAGAATCTTTTCTTGGAGATTTCTAAGGTGATAAGTTAGAATTTGATGATTTCTGTTAATTATTTGAGAATGCTGGAGAAGATGCCAAATCTTTTATTACTGTATAATTAATTTTATAATAATCTTATTAGAGTTTCTCATAAGCTAAAAGAAATAATACTGATTTCACAGTGAGATTTAAAGATTTTGAAAAATGGGAGAAAACAGCTATGTGATCATAATTTAATTTAATTTATATCATAATCTGATAGCCAACTATTTATTTTTTACTATATTACATCATTTCAAATTTAATTTATCTTATAATCAAAATTAATCTTCAATTAATTTGTTATGAATTTCTAAAAATTTATTTAATTATTTTTCGATTCAGGATTTTTTAATTCATTTTAAAAAATTTATTTTGGAATTATGTTAAATATTGACTTTCTATATATTGACTATGAGTTTATTTAATTCATCCTAACAATTTATTTTGATTATCCTATTAATTAATCAATTGTATAAAATAAATAAGTTTTATTAGGTTTATATTCTAATAGATTGATATATACCTTATACATAACAATTTAAAGTATATTAAAAGTATATCAAATAGATTTTTCATAAGAATTAAAGAGATGGGTATTATTTATTCTCAGATTAATTAGTCTAGTTTTATTCAATTAACTATAAGTAATTTTTTTTAATTAAATCATAGTAGCTATTATTTCAATATATAATTTTACATTTATAATTTTTGATTTTTATTTTGGTAACTCTTTTTTATATTAATATCATATATACAATTCTAAAATATTTAAAGAATTAATTATAGTAAATGAGTATTTGTAAATGAAGACTATTTAAAACATTTAGATATTGAAATTTATTTATAAAACCAAAGAATATTTTTTTCAAAACTTTATTGAATTTTCTATTCAGTATATAAGAATATCATCAAATTTAACATAGAAATGAATATTATACAATTCATATATAATCAATAGAGTTTATATAGTATAGATAAATTATTCATCTACATTATTCTATTTTATTACTTTATAAATAATTGATAATTTTATGGAGTTAAAATCAGCTGATGATTAGTCAGCTAAACATTAAATGAATATTAATGTAAACGAATTTAGGCTGAATTATTTATTTAATTTCATTTTCATGATAAACTAAAATGATTAGTTTATAGAAAGGAAAATAATGACTCAAAGCTTAATTATTTACAAAGTTCAGTTTATTTCTTTTATTTTTAATAGTTGCCAAAGGAAAAATAATTTCAAAGATTAAATAATTAGCCTTAAAAGAGCAAGATAATCTTTATGTCTAATGATTGATAAATTTTAATTTCTCATGTATTTATTTGATTTCAATCAATTATATACGCTATTTTTGAATAAAAATAATAACCATTTCAAAAGATGAATAGAAAGATTATCAAAAATAAGATATATCAATTCATTTTTAATAGATTACTATTTAATTCATTCAGAATGTAATAAATTAAAATATATTATAATAATAGAATGAAATATGTATGAGCTGAATTAATGTAAATAAAAGCAAAGCAATATTTTGTCTATTGAATTAACATAAATGAATTAATTAATTCGCCTTGATAGCTCAGTTGGTAGAGCGGGAGACTTTTAATCTCTAGGTCCAGGGATCAAGACCCTGTCAGGGTATAACTTTTTTTTTAATTTACATTTTTTATTAATATTTAATTGTTAAATTATAATATAAATTTTGTAAATAACAAATTAAGTATTTACAATTAATAAATTAACTTTAATGAATTAATTAATTCGCCCGGATAGCTCAGCTTGGTAGAGCGAGAGACTCTTAATCTCTAGGTCCAGGGATCGAGACCCTGTTCGGGCGAAATTTTTTTTTTTTATTTTTATTAAAATGAAATCTATTTTATAATACTTCTTTAGAAGAAAATTGAATAAAATATTTTCTAAGATTCAATGTTAAGGGAGTAGTGTAAAAATATAGGTTTCAATTACAAATCATATTTAAGCAATTGGACATTAGTAAAGTAAATAGGTAAATATTGAGAGACGACCAAATAAATTAATAAGAGAGAAAACTTACATATATTTTTGTAAAGGGTTGATTGATAATAAATGATTTAAACTTAAGAAATAATTTAGTAAATAGAAATTCATATAGTTTATATTTTGTATCGATTTTCAGAATGAGGATGTTAAAGTCAAATAGAAATTGCTATGACAATAGGCATACAAAGAAGAAATATAAAAGAAAAGGAATGATAAGGATAAATAATAAACATCAGAGTTGTCAAAAATTAAGCATTACTTATAATAATGGGATGTATAAAAATGATATTAAGAGATAAAATAATTTGAAAACTAATAAGGTAAAATAAAGCTAAGGTAATCATTTAATCATAATATAATAAATAGATGAATGATAAATTCAATAAGACTAATCCTCATATTACTTTATATAGTTTAATCATTAAAAATCAAATAGGATTAAAATCGATAAATATTAAATTTAATCTTCTATATGCAGCTTAAAATACATATATAATAAATGATATAACAATAATATCTCTTGTTATAACAATTTTTATACCAATAATAATATTAGTAGAAAATTTATAATTTGTATAAATTAATGGTGGAAGATTTAAAAAAGAATAAAAAGAGTTAAAGTATATAAATATAATAAAAGTAAAGATAATAAAAAGGATTGATAGATTGAAAAGAAATTGTAAATTTTTTTGAGTGAATATTTATGAAAATTATTAACTAAAGCTCAACTAAGGTAAGAATAAAAAAACAAAGAATTTTATTAATTAGAGCATAGGAAAGGATAGAAAAGAGATAGAAATTATTAGAAGAGAAGTAATATCATAATTTATAATAAATAGTTCAACTGATATATGGTTGATATGAAAATGATAAGAGAATGCTTACAGAAAATGAAAATTAAAGATTTAAAACCAAAAGAATAGATGGAAATTTGAAGTGAATATTTATTATTATAATTCATTTTTGAATAAGAGAGTGATGAAAATTTATTATTTACTAAGTAAATATATTAATGTCTTATAATATCAATCAAAATCAAATTGGGCTTTCAACAAATATGTTGATATCAAATGGAACATTAGGCAATCAAGTATTCAATTAATCCAACAATAATAATTTTGCCTATGGTTAAAGTAGTATTAGATAGGAATCCCAAAATCAGCCTTCATAAATAAATAATACGACTGGTTCATAACTTTTAAAGAATTAGCAATTCCGTATTCATATATTTAATAATATATAATAGTTGAGTTTTAATAATCGTAATCACAAATGAAATAGCAACAATAATCTAGAATATAGCTTGCCTAATCAGACATTAGAGGTGGTAATTTTTTATAGAGCTAGTTTATGAATAGTGCATATGATACTAATATTCTATAATCAAAGCCCTTTTAAGGATCCTAGGAGTAGCATATCTAATAAAGATCAAATCTTCCAAATTCGAATTCAAATATAATGATTACAGATAATTGGACAGAAAGTGATTATGCTAAATAATTTGAAGAGTGGAGAGATTTAATTTAATAAAACAAAGACTTCATAAGTCAGTTAGAGAATGATAGATTACAAATTCCATTATCCAACCTTATTGTACAAGAAATATTAAACATCAAAACGAATATCTTAAAGAACTCATTTATATCTAAATTATCTTAATATGAGGGTATCATTAAACCATATTCATATGAATTGGTAATTAAGAGTGAAGAATTATAAAAGTCATTGGGGATACTAAAATAGGCTAATAAACCACCTAAAAATAAATATGCCTCTCCCTAATTAGAACAATAATAAGCTCAATCAAACATATAACATTTTAACCAATAATTAAGTCATGTTAAATTAGAATTACAAAATTAAATCAATATGACTAATAGTATACTTTAACAGATAGGTGGTTAAAAAAATTATATTGAACCATAAGAGAATTATTAATAGAAATTAGAAAATGCATATAACTCTTAGCTGCAATATGTAAGAGAGAGAATAACTTAATAAATTAATTTATTATTATTTATTCATGAAAGGGAAGTATTCAATTTAGATAGATAAATACATTCATAGATTTAAGAATCAGATACATTAAGCATAACATCTTTATCAGAGAAACTCATGATAATTGAAGGGCAATTGGAAAAGTTTTAAGAAAAGAAATAAGAATTAAGAGAATTTTAAGATAGATTGGTTTAATTGAGAAATAGAAATATTGATGGATTTTCTGAATTTTTTGATGATATGATGTCTTTGTATAAATAATTTAAGATTTATTATGAAGAGATTAAGTAAATTTAATAGATACCAAATTAATCAATTTTATAAAATTTATAAATTAAAACAAAGTAATAAATATACATAGAAGCAAAGAAAGTATGGTTAGACATTAAACAATTATATTTTAATGGAAAAAAGATTAAAGAGTTTAATGAAGTAGAGAAGCTTGAATAATTTAACAAATATAATATTGTTGCATAAGTGCAACATATAAAATCATATATGGATTAATTGTAAATTGATTATATGAGAAAAGGAAATTAAGTGCCTTTAGAAGAATCAAAGAAACTAAAATAATTTATTTATAAGGCAGAATGTAATTATCAAGAAACAAATAAACTGAGATAGGAGATAGCTGAATTAGAATAATTAGAATTTATTGGATATAAGAATTATATAATTTAAAATTTAAAACCTAAATTTTTTGTTGATTTTAAGGAACTTTATGCTAAAGACTTTTATGAAATAATTTATTTCTAATATGCTGATTCCAATATTGTAGAATCTATCAAATAATTACTTTAATTTAAATTCCCTACATTTGATTGGAATGAAAATATAGAAGATGAAAGATAGAGAGTATAAATTGTAATATAGAGATATGATGAAGTATCTGAAAAGTTATAAGGGTTAACAGAATAATATTCAAAAGAGACAAAATTTGTTAAATAATTAAGTAATTGGAAGGCAGAACTGTTCAAATGTATTAACATTTTGAAATAGTATCTTGTCATAAAGGAATAATTAAAAGGTTAATTAATAACTTTATTAAAATGGCCATAAATTACATCTGATATTTAAAAAATAAATGAATTTAGTGTTCATTGTGAATAAATTAGTAGATAAGCAAATTAATACTTCTAAGCAATTGAATAATTACAATAGATGCAACTAATAGAAAATTTAGAATAATTATTTAGATAATGGAATCCAAAAGTAAAAGAATATATAATAGAATAATGTCATTTCATTAGTTAGAGAGAGTTCTCTTCAATAATTAATGATTAAATGTAAATTGTGTATTAATTTTTATATGTATGTATGGAATGCTTAAATTATGATATTGATGATATATTTTGTAGAACTACAACATATTAAGAATTTGAGAATATTTTGAGTGGTTCTACAAAATTATAAGAATTAAAGAATATTATTGATGGTAATGTTCATAATTCTGCTTTGAGATATAAATTATTTGAAATTATAGATAAATTCATGAAAGATAAAATCAAATATGACTTTTAAAATTTATTTGAATTAAAATTACAATAAAGTAAATAGGATACAAACAATTTCAATCCAAAAGAATTAGTAAAAAGAACAGACTTAAAGTTTCCTATTAACAGATCTGATATTTAAGATAATTTGTATTGTAAATAGAATATGGATAAGATTAGTTAAATAATAGATTAACCAGAACTTAGATTAATATTCTAATAATTTAGAGAATTGTTAAATAATATTATCACTATTATTGATTAAGATAACACTGTAGCAGATATACAAATTAATCAAATAACTATTCTAGAATTAGCCAACACTTTTACAAATCAATTACTTATCTAAAATGAATTAACAAATATTTAACCATTAATCAGATTTCATTAATAATTATGTAAATTTCCAAGTATAAAGCAATTTTAAAATCAACTCATTAACTTAGGAATTGTATTCCCTAATGAATATAATAAATATTTAGAAGTTTGCCAAAAAAGAGTCTAAAGATTAGCTTAAAGTATTTGCATAGAGTTTGAATCTTTAGATTTTGATGAAATTTCCTAAGCTAAATTATATTTCAATAACAATGAATACTTATTGAAATAAATAGATTTTCCATATCTTTATATAGATGCCAAGTCTTTGATTTTGGAGTATTAACCATTAATATTTAATTGCAGTTTAAGTGTTAAAATAAATGGTAAAGTGTTAAAATAAGGATAAACAATTCAAATATGATGTATTTTTATTATTAAATCATTTTGCAAATACATTCAATAATATAAAAACTATGACAATGGCTACAATTAAAAATGCAAATAATTAAGCATTAGCTGGTGTACCTCCTCCAACTTACCATGATTCTTATGGTGATCCTTTATCAACTATACCAATTTTGTATTTTTCTAGTATTTAACGTGCTCCTGATGTATGACCTACAATTTTAATATTATTTTTAACCAGTTTGATTGAAATCTCTTGTGGCATCTTTACCAAAGCTATTTTATAAAACTGCAGGACCACCAGGATGTTAATTAAGATACAAAGTTGGGTCATAAACTATTCCATCTATAACAAGCCATCCATTTTTTTTATTTTAGGCAACTTGTTACCATGTATATGTACTCATATAATATATAATAATTAAATATAAAAAAGAAGAATTATAATAATTAAAATAATTACAATATAGTATAATAGACATTAAGTATTGTTATAAAAAATGTAAGGCTGAATAAACTTAATAGAATTATAATTAAGCAAAACTCATAATTACTATGTTTACAAAAAAATAAATAATGATAATAGGAATTTAATTAATCCTTGAACTAACTATTTTATTTGAAGTAGTATGAATTGTTTATTATAACTTACCTTTATTGATATTTTAATCTATTAATCTTCAGCAAAAATAAGAGAGAAAATTATAAAATAGATAAAATATTAATAAAATCAATGAAAGAATCAGAATAAAATTAATAAAATGATATTATAACATAAACAAATCAATAGTTATTATAATATAAATAACATAGTAGTACATCCTTTAAAAATTCAATATTAAAAAAAATTAAATAAAAAAAGTCTGATTTATATTATAATTTAACAATTAAATATTAATAAAAAATGTAAATTAAAAAAAAAGTTATACCCTGACAGGGTCTTGATCCCTGGACCTAGAGATTAAAAGTCTCCCGCTCTACCAACTGAGCTATCAAGGCGAATTAATTAATTCATTTATGTTAATTCAATAGACAAAATATTGCTTTGCTTTTATTTACATTAATTAAGCTCATACATATTTCATTCTATTATTATAATATATTTAATTACTTATATTTCAATATTCAAATTTATTATATTTCAAAATGATATAAATAGCCTCAAAATATTCCTATTATTATGACTGACTGGACTTTTTGAAAACATCCTTTTGACAAAAGAGAGAATTAAATTTGTTTATTAAAAACATATAAAAGAAAAAGAAAACTATTTTTGAAGATTATTTAAATTAAATATAAATTTATTTAATAAGCTCTATCATGATTATAATTCCTTCTATTTTCGCTTATCTACTCAAATAAAATCTAAAGTTTTATATTATTGAAGATTTTATTCATTTTTTCATATTTTAATCAATTTCACCTAATAACTCTTTTCTTTTTACTATATGGTTTAAATCTATTGTTTACCCAAAATATTAAATATTAATTTTATTTTTTAAGTTATTTATTGTATAAGAGAATTGTCTAATTTAGAAAATAAAAATAGGATGTTTTTTGTTAAATAATAATTAAAATTTTTTTCTTTTAATCTTCTCTTTTTATCTTATTAAATTAAAAGTATTTAATTAATTTAAGTAAACAAATCAATTTCATATATCATAGTGATTAAAGCAATAATGATATTCATTTACTTCAATTTTTAGTAATTTAATCACCTATTTTAATTTTTGATATTTTTTTTATTAAAATTATTTACCATAATTAATTATTTTTCTATTAAAGGTGTAATAATAAATGTGTTAAATAAATAAAAACATCTTAACTAAGTGAGTTTATTTTTAATATAATAAAATAATTCTTTTATTTTAATTTAAAATAGAAAAATACTATGAATCAATTTTGTATATTTAATTTATGATTCAATAAGAGTAATTCACAGCAGAATAAATCTAGCAATATGATTAACTTGCTGATTGTACATTTCAAATATATATATTTAGAGGCCATTCAGTAATTCTAACAAATTCTACCTCTTACTCCTGAAAATAAATGGGATCTTCATAGTGATAAGAATGGTTTTAAGATCCATCTTAGGCCTGATAAAGACACTGGTCTTAATTTTTCAAGAGGAGAAGGCTTCTTACCTTATACTATTGAATAAATAATGGAAGTTCTTAATTAAGTAGAGAATGCTGAAAAATTTGATGAATTGTGTGAATAAGTATTAATTTACAATACAATTATTTTAGGCCTCCCTCATCTAAAAAATAAGAGATGATTTACTTGTCTTTTATTAAAGATTGAAGGATATGTTTATAGTGGTTTCAGGAAGAGATTTTGTTATTTTGTAAAAGAGACATAGAGATGGAAATAAATTATGGGTAGTGGGTAAATCAATTGAATTAGCATCAAAACCACCTGTAAAAGGAAAGGTTAGAGGTGAATTAAAACTAGGAGGTTGGTTATTAGAGGAGAAGGAAGGAGTAATTATATATCTAAAATATTAGGGTACATAAGTTATTTATATGACCTGGGGAGATCCAAAAGGTAATTTGCCAGCAAAGGCTGTAAATTTTGCATCTAGTGCTCAGGGTTAAGTTGTAGAAAGATTGAAAAAGTTTATGGATTAAAAACACGGAAAAAAATGATATCTATCATTTATACATGTCATATTAAAATATATGTATAAACAATGTTAATAAGAATAATTTTAAATAAAGAATTTAAGATAAAATTTTCTTCTTATTTTCTTTATACAAATTAATCAATATATATACGTTGATTTAAAAGTATAATTTTTGATTTAATCTATTAATGAAACTGTTTTCTAGATTATTTTAGTAATATATTATATTAGTTATAAGATAATGGAAGTAAGTTTGACAATATTTTTGAATAAATAATCTTTAATTTCATAATAAGGGATATGAGATTTAATAATAAAATTTATACACTATTAAATTTATCGTTTTTATAATTTGTTTATATTTATATACTAGATAAGATAATTCATATTTATATAAAAAAGTATAATATTAGTGATAGTTTTCAAATTTTATTGTGAAGGAATGTATAAATTTTGATTTAATACAAGCACAAAACAAAAAATTTAATTCAGAATAGTTATTAATTAAAATAGTAGAAGTAATGATAAAGGAGAATGAAGAGATATCTTTTGAAAATGGATAACCTAATCAGGTTGGTCTACTAAAAAAGCCAAAAAAGAAAAATGAATATGATTATCATAGAAAAAAACGAAGATGTGCTGATGGAACAAATAATAAAAAGTCAGGTCAAAATTTTTCATTAGAAGATGATAAACGTATTTTATAGTTGGTGCTTAAAAATGGACCTAAATTTTAAAAGATTCATAGACATTTTCATGGAAAAACATTAGCTATGGTGAAAAATAGATATTATAAGTATTTACGCTTTAGATGGGAAATTTTAGGATAGTATCATATTATTAATTTTAGAAATTACAAACATTTAAGTGTTACCTAAGAATAATTAAAAACATTATGTGAACAACAAAAAAATGTAAGCAACATATTGAGTGCAGAAAAAGATGATCTTATCTCTCAAATAACATCACGAACTACATTACTTTAGAATGCTCGAATGTTTGTTGAATTTATAGTTGAATAATTATTATGACTATTGATTTTACAATTTCTTAATCCTAAATTATTTGTAAACATAATATCGTTATTCATTTATTGATTTTATAAATTGTTAAATGTATATTTAACTATTCAAAATGATAGTTGAATAGCCATTACTAAATTTTAATTAAACTATGACTTCAAGCATTTTTTTAATGAAAATATTAAATTGATTTAAAAAATCTTCTTTTTAAATGAATTCCAAATGAATGCACAAAACCAAAAAAATCTATCTCAACCCAAAAGGTTTCTAAGTTAAATATAAGATTATTATTTGTAATTCCTGGAATTTAATTTAAAAAATAAAATGATACAATAATTAGAGTTTCTGATTTAATATTTGTATGATTGAATCAATTTTTATTTATTGTTATTTTAAACATCATGAGAGAATTAAATAAGATATATATTCACATTTAGAATTAGAGATTATAATTTAAATATAATAAACAAATTTTAACTATCATTACAAACATTAAGTTAAATATTTGAGTGCAATTTTAATTGAATAAACTTCATTAGGATCCATTCTTGATTAAGTTGAAAGTTATTAAAATTCATTAATATTTACAATTTTAGTATTTCCATTATGAAATTATAATTTTATTGTGTCTGAATTTAAAATATGTTATATCTAAAGTTTTAAAGAAAAATTTACTTTTATTTTTGATTATGCAATATATCCTTCATAACATTAACCTAATTTTGTATTTTTTAATGCAAAATTGCCATGTTCATTATTAAGTTTCTATTTCTAATTTTTTTCTCTGATTGCATTACACACTTATTTTGAATAAGTATAGAATTTCTATAATTTTTAGGGTAATTCATTTAATTTATATTATTTTGCCTTTTAACCCTTCTTTTAAACAATTATCTAATAAAATTAATATAAAATAAATTACTTCTTATCCATTAGTTTAAATAATAAAATTTAAATCTTTATTACTTACATCCATTTCAAATCTTCCATCTTCATGAATTTATAATAAACCATTTTTTGTTTATAATTTACAAGATTTTAAATCACCTAATTTTATTGGTGATTCATTAAATATGCATAATGTTGAAGAATTCTATTTATTAATTTTAACACTATTCTCTCTAATATTTTCTTTATTAAAATTCTATTGATTAATATTTTCTTTATTATGATGATTACAACTAGTATTATTATTAGAATATTTATCTTATGGTAAAAAGAATTTAGGAACATTATCAAGATGATAATTTTATTTAAGTGAAATCTTTCCATTTGTTGTTTAACCAAATAGTAACTTTTTTCCTTCTAACAACTGTTATTTCTATAAAAACTAAGTTACTACTTATTATTTATCTAATCCAATCATAGAACAAGTAGAACGATGTTATTATTTCACAAATGGACTCAAATCTAAAAGTTACTTAATTTAAGAACTGGATTAATTTCTACTTTAAATTCTTGGAGGAATAGGATCTATAAAAAATGGATGTTTTATTATTTTATCAATAGAATATCTTTAATCAACATCAAGATTTAATAAATTCATTATTAAATCCTTAAATGTTTCAGTAGAATTAGCAGGTAGATCAAAATCACCTTATTTTACTTTTCTTAAAACATCACCTAAAGCAGCATTTTTCTCTTCAAATGGACCACGTCCTGTTGCCATAGCAAATAAACAACAACCCATACTCCATAAATCAACTTTCTTTCCATAAGGTTATTAATTAATGATTTCTGGACTTATATAATTTGGAGTACCACAAAGTGTATTTCTTTCTTCTTCATCATCTGTTAATTTTACAGCCAATCCAAAATCAGCAATTTTTAGAATATCATTCTAGATTAATAGATTTCCTAATTTAATATCTCTATGAATTATATTATGAGAATGTAAATATTATAAACCTTCTGTTAATTATTTACCATAAAAACGTATTTATTATTCATTAAATTATCCTTTCTTAATTAATTAATAAATGTCTTAATCACATAATTCCATTATAAGATAACTGTTATCAGCATCTTCAAAAACATCAATTAAATTAACAATATTTTTATGATGCAATTCAGAATGAATCATAACTTCATTCTATATTTTGTGTGAGTTTGATGATGTTTTCTAAATAATCTTAGCAGCCATTTCTACTTTACTTAATCGGTTTACAATCTTACACACAAAACTACCAGCCCCTCTACCAATTGGGTTCTTTATTTGGTAATTCTCATCTAATAGTAATATAAACACTTACTGCTAAAGAATCTGATTTCATTATTAACAACTATATTTTTAACAGATTTTATTATTAATTAACTAGAATAATTATAACACTAATTCATATATTTTATAAATACTAAATTTAAGATGTTATCATTCTTTATAATCAATTGATATAACTTAATTAAGATCTTTTTCAAACTGAATTCCTAATTATATTGTATAAATAATAAATACTTCTTAAAATTATTCACCAATATATTATATAAAAAGTAATAATATATTTATTACCAATAAGATTTCAATAATTCATTATGAGTATTATTGAGCAAATATTTTGATAAGTTATTTAAGGTTGATCTCTAATTATTATTATTTTTATAACCTTAATGATTTTTATTAAATTTTATAATATATCAATAGAGTTTATAATAAAAGTAATTGATCTTGAAATAATTGTATTTTTTGAAAAATATACTTTTAAACTTAAATTCAATATATTTATTGTTGTATATTTAGAATTCATTTATAAATTGAAAGATTACAAATGTACTAAATAGAAAAATGTATTAAATAAAATTATCAATTTAATTGAATATCATCTAACTATATTCAAATATAATTATTAGATTTAGATTTCTAATTTTTATGATTTTTATTGTTTTTACAAAATAGAAATATATTCGTTAACTAAGTTTTATTATAATATTAATAAGATGAATCATATACCTATTCATTAACGTGCCTAACATTTAATGAAAGAAAAACAATAGAAAATTGCAGAATACAAACGATTGAAAGAGTTGAATGAAGAATAAGAATGCAGTAAATATTCATTTCGACCAAATATTAATAAGGATAGAGAACATCGAACTGTTGATTAATTTTTAGAGGAAGTTGATTATTGGATTGAAAGAAAAAATGAATAACTTCATTTAATGTAATAAGAAAAGTAGTAAGAAGAACTAAAAGGTTTAACATTCAAACCAAAAATTAATAAGAAATCTCAACGATTAATATCAGATTAGAATTCATCCCTACTTCAGAGATGCTAAAAGACCCAAATTAATAAATAGATGAATGGTTAGCATCATTTGATTGAGGAATTGAAAAAGACTCCCTTTTGCCCTTAATTAAATGCAAATTCAATTAAACTAGCATGTCAAAGCAAAACACCAGAAAGATCAATATCTCCAAATTTAAAATAGCAATACACTCCTAGAATAATAGGAAAATCAACATCAAGAACACCATAAAAGACTGAATAAAGAGTTTCAACATAGACAACTACACCTCTCAGATAGAACTAAAAAGTTTCATATCATAAGCCAACTAATTCAATGGCAAGTACAACAGTCAATTCTAACAATAATAGCAAGAAAGCAGTATTGCCATTATAAAATGTGACAAATCATATGAAATTTATAGTAGATTTAGTTAATAAGACTCCTCCTAAAGGATTGTTTTGAAATATACTATATATATATATATAGATATAGATTATGATATAACTTAATTTCAAAGATTCAATAATCATAAACCCACTTAAAAAACAATTTCTAAATTAAAATACATATTTTCAAATGTATAAACAACTTCATTAAGATGATTAGAATTTAATATTTAGATTTCTCGAAAACAGGATATGTAAACAAGTTTTCTTTGTTCTAGACATAAATGTTTAGAATGGAAATATTATTATCAATTATAATTTGTGAGTAGATAATAGAATATATATATACATCTATTATTATTTAATAATAATTCTATTCTAAATTTAAATAGTTCATCTACTATAAATCTTTTTTTATAGTATACTTTTTGAAATTATACTATTCAGATTATTAATAATATTTTACTACTAATTTTTGGAATATTTACTCTTGTATTTCAATTTAATGGAAGAGTTATTATTTAATATAAATTTCACAGAATTGAGATTATAATAAAAGTAATTGGTTAGCTTATATTAATCGCAATTAATTTATTTAATATCAAAACTTTTCATAATAAAATATTAATACTGATAATGAGAACTAAGACTATTTAAAAGTTCATTTTATTATTATTTGAAATGTTAGAAGTAGTATATTTTATTAGATAAGAATAATGAACACAAAAATTATATTCGGTGGTCTCCTGATGGTTTAAGTTTTGTAATTCCAAAACGTAAATTATTTTCAGAAAATGTAATGGTGAATGCATTCAATACAAATAACATCTAGTCATTTTTAAGATAACTAAGTTTTTATAAATTTAAAATGCAAAAAAATAAACAAAATCAAAAGCAATATTTTCATCCCTATTTCTAAAAAGGAAGAAGGTAAGATTATTTAATTATTGAGTGATTTTATAGGGATCTTTTAAACAAAATATAGAGAATTACAAATGATAAATTAAACTAAGACAATCTAGATTAAGTATCAAGTTTGGAGTAAATAAAAATATAAAATTAACAATTATAAGGTTAATTACAACAATTGAAAATTAATCAGCAATATATATTGAAACAATTAATAATATAAGCTAAAATTTAAGCAACATTAGCTAGTCGTGTTGAGAGAATTACTCAAGTAATAATTCTATTTTTTAAATGTTTTAGAATATGGCATTTATTTATGGAGAAGATCGTTAATCAGAATTTGCAAAACCAATGAAATTATTTTTCAAAATTATTTAAGGATATAGAGCAGATTAATTAGAAAGAATAATTGCCTTTTTAATTTTTGAGATGGATTTTCCAACTCCTATTTCAGAAAATTACTCTCCAATTTAATTTCCTTATTATTGATATTATTTTTATTTTTAGAAATCCTCATATATTGTTAGTTAGTAATTAATTACACTTCAAAAATATCTTTAATTTATTCATTTATAATTTTGCAACTTATCATATATATGGAAATATCATTGGAGAAAATGAAGGAGTTAAGGGTCCTCCAATATCTTATAATTCTAGAATTATTTTAGAAGCTATTTCAAATTGAAAACCTTTAAATATTTCAAACATCGATGTGAAATACATAACAAGCTTTCTTTCCTATTCTCTTTCTAAATTAAATTTCTTTTATTCTTCACAAATCTTTTTGATGTTTTTACAAATTTAAGTTTATATTATAGAATGAATTCGAATTTATTTTAATATAGAATTTTATTGAATTTATAAGGTTTCTAATTCTTCTTTTAACTATTTCATTTCCTCTCTCATTAAAACAATTGAATAATTCTTCTCTTTATCTAAATAAGCAATACTTTGACTTTTTTATCTCTCTACCTTATAAAGTGAAGATCTTTAAAATACAAGATATTGAATACATATTTCCTTTAATAAACCACTTATGTGAAAACATTTTTTAGTTCATTTCTAAACTTCTCATCTTAAATCCATAAGAATTCAATTATCGGTAGAGAGACTTAATTTACGTTGAATAAAAATATTCTGGCATTATTGAATTCTAAAATTCTTCAGGATTAACAATTATAAAAGCCCTTCCATCATCTGTCCATTTAATACAATCAAATTTTTCTGACTATTTTTTAACTGTTTTAAAGTTACCTGAACAATTTCATACAAATTTTTTATTAATATTTTAGGTTTTCCCATTTGATATAATTGAAAAATGTACTTAAAAAAATTAATGAATATTAGAAAAAGTTGAATAAAGATTTTAAGAATATTATTAATTTAATTGAATTTATTTTATAATATAATACATTAAAGATTAAATAAAATAAAAATTATAAAATAAAATAATATTATCATATCGTTAGAATTATTTTTGATCATTAAGTAAAGAATTTATTTTTAGTAGTTTTAAATAATATAAAAATACTTAATGGAAATTCAATTAATTAATAAGTATTGTTTTATAGAATGAAGTAATAATTAATATCTATCAGATTAATTTGATAAGTTATCATAAATTAATTATGAGAAAAGTATGCGTATAAGATATAGCAACATAAAAATAAAAAAGATAACAATTGATGTCTATTTTTAATGCAATATTCAAGGATAGACTTAGAAATTTAATATTTAATGATGCCGATTTAACTCGGTGGATAAAGCATTTGTCTCGTAAGCAAAGGGTCAGGTGCTCAGTTCTCCTAATTGGATATTTGTGAAATTAGAGGAGTTGAAGAGAAAGATAGAATTTAAGTTTTATATTCTTATAAAATATATTATTAAATATGGATTATGAGTAAGTGACGAATGATAAAAAGTTGCGAGAATAACTAGAAGGAGGTGAAACAATAGTACTTACAATGAAGGTTATAAAATTTACAGGGTAGAACAAAAAATTACCTAGAGTTATTGTAAAAGAAAGCATATATTATAGGTAATCACAAACAAGAATGTATATAATATTTCACCTGCAGAAGGAAGTGCCGTTAAAAGCTTTTTTTAAAGTTTAGTAAATAAGTAAGAGAATTGAATTATTTTTGCAGATCAAGAATAAAGAGAAAAATACCATTATCTGCAATTACTTCGATCACAATTTCGAAAATTGTAAAGGAATTCATACTACATATACCTACAGAATATGATTAGCGATATCAAGTAGATGATTAGTATGAAACTGTAAATATTGGTTAGATTGTCATTGATTATACAAACCTTATGTGAAGTATATGTAAAGCATAATCTAAAAAAAATACGATGCCATTTTATTGAAGAAATGAATTTAAGTCCATATACAACAACAAATTATGATATTAAGAAAAACATTCGTAGATAGCTCCCAAAATAAGGAACAGAAATGACAGTGGATGATGTGAAAATTGCTATGTAAGCTTCAAGAGGGAATGTTTAAACAATCTATTAGAAATCAAATACTTAGGAGATTAGTATAGAAGATTTTACATTAATTAAGATGTTGGGTAGAGGAGCATTTGGAAAAGTAATGTTATGTGAGAAGAAAGATACAAAAGAAATATTTGCTATAAAGAGTTTACGTAAGGAAGATATCATCTCAAGAGATCATATTGAATATCTAAAAACAGAGAGAAAAATTTTAGAATAAACTTAACATCCATTTCTTGTGTCTTTGGAATATGCTTTTATTACTTAGGAGTGTGTTTACTTTGTTATGAAATTTATGATGTATGAATAATTAATTATATATATTTTAGAGGAGGTGAATTGTATACTCATTTATAAAAAGTGAATAAATTTAATGAAGATTTTGCTTTGTTTTATTCATCCTAAGTACTTTTAGCTTTGGAGTATTTGCATAAATAAGGGATTATATATAGAGATTTGAAACCAGAAAATATTTTGATGGATGAAAAAGGTTATGTGGCTTTAACAGATTATGGATTAGCTAAGTTTTTATCAAAAGGACAGGTAGCTTAATCAATAGTTGGAACTCCAGAATATTTGGCCCCTGAGGTAATTACTCAATAAGGACATGCCTTCACTGCTGATTGGTGGTGTTTAGGCATACTTATGTATATAAATTGATATATTTAAGATTTGAAATGTTGTGTGGAAGAACTCCATTCTTTTCAGAAAATAGAAATCAAATGTTTAGAAATATTGTAGAATCTGAATTGAAATTTCCATCTACAATTAATTTATCTTTTGATTGCAAGAATCTATTAACAGCATTACTAAAAAAGAAACCTCATGAAAGATTAGGAAACAAAGGTGATGCTGAAGAAATCAAGAAACATCCTTGGTTTAAAAAGATGGATTTCTAAAGATTAATCTAAAAAGAAGTATTATTTATATACTAATTTTAGATTTAAGCTCCAATAATACCAGATTTATAATCAGCTACTGATTTATCTAATTTCAACCCATAAATTCTAGATGAAAGTAATCTCTTAATTATTAACCATTAGAAATTGAGGAAAATTAAAATCAAACCTCAAATACACAAGCACTTAAAAAGTTTGATTAAGAATTTTATGGACTCAATTATAAAAAAGAGTGATTATTTATTTTTATCAAGATATTTATCATAATTTAGCTTATTATAATTAATTATCATATATTTAAATGATTGTCTTTCCTTTATTCTTCCCTAAAAATACATTCTATAGTCCAATTACGAATTATTCTATGCCTAAAAGTATTTCTTCCTAATGTTTTATTGATCCTTCATTGACCATTTCAACCATCTCAGCAAATCCATCATACATCTTTTATTTTTCATTCAAAAACATTATTCCTTCAAATTTTATTGAATTTCCAATAGCTTATGCCAAATTCTTCAAACCACATCTTTGTTTCCATGAATTATATGTAGAAGTAGCTCCACATAACAATACATATCCATTCTTATTTAATACTGGTATTACTGCATCTAAGATTTCTTCTCCTGCATTATCATAATAAACATCTATTCCTTGAGATGCATGAGATTTTAATAATTTTGTTAATTAACTAATTAATGTTATTAATAATATTTACTTCACATTTATTTCTTCATTTTGCTTACATTAATTATATGTAACACATTCATCAACACCAAGTTCTTTTAAGAATTCAACCTTCTCCTAACTACTCACTATCCCCACTACTCTATATCCCATTCTCTTTGCTATTTAACAAACAACTGATCCTGTTGAACCAGCTGCTGAAGAAACACAAAGAGTTTTAGGCCTTTCTTAAGTAGGTTGATTCTATTCTGGTATTTATTTCATGGCATTCAGAGCAGTTAAACCTGTCACACCATAACTAATATTTAATTCAAATTCAATTACATAGACAAAGTCAAAGGAATTATTGGATCACCTATTTCTACAAAAGATGGCACCTTAAATAATTTATTTATCTTTCTAACACAATATTAAGCACATTCCATTATTCCAAAGACTAATTGTCCTAAAGAATATTTAGAAAATTTAAATTACCTGGATTCCAATTCTTAGCATTGCTCTCAATACATTGTCCTACTCCAAAGGCTGGCATTACTTAACCAATTTTTACTGAATCTATGTATGTTTTAGCACCCGATAGCCAAACCCTCATGACAGGATCAATACCAATGAATAGTACACGAATAAGGATTTCTCCCTTATCTAATTGAGGTGTAGGTTATGATTGTATTTCGAAGAAATTCATATTTTAAGGGAAAGACTCATCAGGTCGTTTTTGGAGCAGCAACACTTTATTATTCATATATTTAATGTTTAAAATGTATCATTTGATTAATAATATTATCACATTTATACCCTTACATTATTTATTTAATTATCTCCTTTCATTAAAATTAATAATAATTTATCAAAATTAATCAGAAAATGATTCATTATATCAATTTTGAAGAATACTTTAAGTTAATATACATACTTTATTCTTACAATCATATAAAAGATTAAATTAATTATGTGAAAGAATGATTAAGAGATTATATTAATAATATTTAAATTTCATTGAAATATTAGTTATTTATTTTTTCAGAACAAATATTTTTATCATAAGATTAAAAAATTTATAATTAAAATATTTCTACATTTGTATAATTAAAAATTTTTATGATTCAATAATTCTTTAATGATCTTCTAAAATAATTTTGTGTATGTAAACCTTATAATATTATTTCTTGTTAATTATAATTATCATATAATATATATTCCAAATATTATTTTTGCTCCGCATTTATATTATGTAATTTCAATTATTGAAAAACTTAAATCAAATTCTAATATTTTAACAGACTTTAGAGTGTGTTACCTAAAGATAAATATTTTAGATAATAATTTTATATGTTTTAATCATTATATCAATGGAATCCAAGTTATTATTATAAATTATTGATATGAAAATTTAAAACTATTTATATTATTATATTTTTAATATTTATTGTTTTAATTAATCTATCTAAATCTTTTTTACTCTAACTTTAATGAAGTAGCGGTAATATATTTATTTAATTAAATTGATTATTTTTGAATTAATTCTTACCTGTTTAAATAATTTAATTCCATCTTTTTTTTCAAAATTCAAAGCCTTTGTATTTTGTTACTTAAATTATTATTTTAAGTAAAATTTTAGATTTATGGGTGGGAAAATCTCAAAAACTAAAGTTAGAGGCGAAGGATAATAAGGTGATATTTTGGAAACCAATGATTCAACTAATTCAAATATTTCAAACTAATAAAGCCAATAGAAATAAAACGATATTATTGTTATTAAAGTCTTATGTTCTAGATGTAAAAGACCTTTAGCTAATAATGATTATTTTTTGTAAAATTGTGGACAAAATTAATGTTAAGTTAAATTTCACCAAGCATGTTTCTTCAAAGAATTGAATGATTAAAATACTAAAAAGGAGGTACTTTCATATAAATGCTAATGCGGAACTAAAATTCCTCTTAAAATACTTCGTAAATGTGGTGCCCCAAATCTATTGGACCTATTGTCTTCAATTCATCGCAGATAGATAGAAATTCTTCTGAAACTTTCAACTTTGAGAAAAAATCAAGAAATTCTTTCATACTTTTCAGAGAATAAATAAAAAACGCATGAATTTGACTACTTTTTATCAGAATAAGATTAACTTATATACGATGAGACCCCATAATGAAATGAATTTTATGATTTTTAAATGATAAACAAACTATATAGTTTAATTTACATCAATTAAAAATATATTTCATTTTACTATTCATATATATAGGATTTAAGTATTTTAGAACAAGTCTTTAAAAATTATAATACTTAATCTAAAAATGCATAAAATCTTTTTCATGATACATATACGTATATTTATTAATAAATTTCTTTAATGTATAAGATCTAAGATTCTATTATCCAATATTAAATCTAATTATTAAGAGAGTTCAAGAAACAATCACTTGGATATTGAAGTTTGCTTAAATTATAATAATCTATATATTTATATAAAAATTCACAAATCCAAAAGAATAATAAACTATTCCTACTAATTTGTAAATTTTTTTATCACTATACTGATTATTTTAGACATAATTTATATTGTTTTTTTTATAAAATAACATTAATGATCTTCTTTATCATTTAGAATTAAATCTGTTTAATAAATATTAAATCTTATTTTTATATATTTTAACAACTAGTGTATTTATAGAATAATTTGTTATTTTTTTATATATTTTGAAAATGGAATAATATGAACTTATAAGCTATATTATCTCAAAAGAATAATTAACTAAATAATAATTTTAATAAAAGTATAAGGAATATAAACAAACACTATCTTATTCAAATGTTATATATAGTTAATAATAGAGAGAATAATTAACATTGCCCATGTGGCGCAATTGGTAGCGCGACAGCCTTCTAAGCTGTAGGCTGCAGGTTCAATCCCTGCCATGGGTGACTCCTTTTTTTATTTTTTATTAGATTTTAAAATTAATATATTTTTTTTATATTTATTATAAATACTAATGAGTGCTGTGCCTTATGAAAAGATTTGTGAATTAGCAAGTCCTCTTTATTTTCCTTTAGAGATTGACGGTGCTATATATATGGTTTCATAGAATGGGGACATTTTAAAATTCAAGGATGGGTAATTTAAGGTAAGTTACATAAGATGAATATAGGCTGAGTTTCATATATCAGGATAGCCTTATTCAATAGTAATTGATAAATTGAATAAGTTTATATATGTTGCAGATATGGCTCATTAAGCAATTTTAAAGAGATATATTGATGAGAACAGTTAAGAACAAATTACAGAATTTTTGAAAGATTATGAAGGATAACCATTATTAGGGCCTAATTCATTATTATTGTCAACAAAAAATAGTATGATTAAATATAATTAGATTTGTTATTCTTTACTGATTCTGGACCATTTGGTGAAACTTCAATAGAGAATTGCAAAGGATCTCTATTTGCTATAGATATGGATGCTTAAATTGTTAAACCATTAGCATTATAATGTTTATCTTATCCAAGTGGTATATGCTTAAGCAATAATCAAAAATTATTATTTTTGTGTGAGACAGGTAAAAATAGAGTATTACGCTTTGTTTAAACAGATGCAGGAATATTTTATTATAGGTAGAATACGATAATTAATTGAAATAGCACATATATATAATTTAATGGTAGATTTGGACCAATAGCTTGTGCTGTATCACAATCAGAACATCTCTATGTAGCTAGATTTGAATTTGGATATGTTTCAGAGGAGGGATAAATAAGCATATTTAATTCAAATGGAGTGAATGTTGAAAATGTTTCAATTCCTTAATGTCCTGAGATATCAGGATTAACATTTTCAAGGTATAAATATGAATTAATTATAAAGCTAAAAATCGAATATTCTTTATGTAACAGAGAATTCATCAACACCAAGTTGTTTACGTATATTAATAAATATAGAAGAGAAGGATGATGTAAAGAAAAAGGATAAAGATAAATTTAAATGATTGATTTATTAGAAATTATAATATCACTCAATAAATTTAGTTTCTCTAAGTGTTTCTTCTACTTTATAGATCTTTTTCAAATAATCTCTCACATCATTTTCTTTTTTTAATCTTTCAAGTATATTCATCAATCTTTATAAATCATCTTTAGTGTCTGTGTTATCTGCTACAAACAGTCTAACAGGAATAGCTATTATAAAATAAATATTTAATATACAATTATCTCCTGTAGTCCAAAAACTTAAAGGTTTAGAATCAACATAGACTATTTTCTTTCTGTCTCTACCTAAAAGATCAAGATCCTTAAAATAATCTTCTAAATCATCTTCTTCAACTAAATTGCATTGTTCTTAACAAAATATATGATCTTTAGGAAATTATGGACATAGTTATTCTAAGACTCTTTCAACATATATCCTTTATCCTTTTGACCAAATAACTGGTTCAGTTTGATTAAGGAAATATTCAAAAAAGTCATCCAATTATTCTCTTTTATAAACATGAACAAAATTATCGAATTCAGGGAGATCAATATAAAAATCATGTTGTCTCAAAGGTGCATTCATGAACATATCTTTTGGGTCAGGTATAAAGGAATATACTAAGACTTCATCTATTTCCATAACAACAGTTAATTTATCAGAATATTATTTCTTTTTGATTGGTAAGAGTTTTGGTTTATTTTAATTTTCTTCTTTTAGTTTATTAAAAGCAGGTTATAGTTGTTTCCAAGTAGCTGGATCATATGCTGAATCATCAACCTTTTCTTCTTTTTTATTAAACCATCCAAATAAACCATAAGATTATTTAAGATTTATTTAGTGAAGACTTCTTAAAATTTTAATCATATTTTATATATATATAATAATAATCAATTTAGCAATTATTCCAATTTTTATAATATTTATTATGGATGATCAACTTTAATAATTTTCATAATTTTAATTATTAGATCAGGATCATTAAAATGATTTTATTTCATTTTTTCAATTAATTTTAAGATGTAAACCATACAAGCTTCATTTTTCATATTTTCATCTAATTCTAATAGTCTTTTAGCTATTTTGATAAATTATTATATATCTTATAGAAGTAGAAAAACTTGATTAATTTTAAACATAAAATTATCATTGTTATCTATTTTAAAAAGTGATTTGATAGTTTAAATATCATGATTTTGATGATTTTATAATTATTTAATGGCATCTATTATTTATTAATCTGTAGAATGTTTCAATGAGAGTGTTTATTCTAATTGATTTTTAAAGTATAAAAAACAATCAACATATTTAGAATCACATTTCCATTTTTAAATAATAGGAAATACTTAATCTAAATTATAATGTTCTTCATGTTAATCATAAATGATTTCACAAATTTATCTACAAAATTATTCTAAATGAGAAACACCTAACATTACAGTTTTAATCTTTTCAGCTGTCATAATTAATTAATCTATTGAATTGACTGAAAATATATCCATCAATTTATTTAGATCTTTGTCTTCATTTTCAAAAGTACCTGTCTTCATATTTTTATTCATGTTTTAAATAAAATTAAAAGATTCTTGTAATTCTGATTTAGTTTCAGAATATAAGAGTTTTAATTAATTAAGTTGATCAGTTAAAAATATATTATTATCTATTAATCTTTGATTTTCTTTTTTTATGCGATTCAATTCTTGTGTTAATAATAAATTTTCATTTGTCAATGTTTAAAATGTTGTGTTTTCTTTTAATTAGTATTCTTAATTCTATTTTTTCATTTAGTTAAATTCATTAAGAAATTTTGATAATAATTCTGTGTTATTATCTGTTGACATTATTATTCAAATTTAAATTAATAATTTGTTTATAATATTTCATTAATTCATAATAATATAATAATATTGTAAAAGTAATAAAGATAGATAAATAATAAAGAAGAAATCATTTCTTAAATTTGGTTTTCAATCTATTATATTTACTATTATCTGAATTGGCTCTGTTATTCTTCATTTTTAATATTTATTCACTTGTAAATTCAAAGGAAACCTTTTTACTGTTTGATCTTATCATAGAACTATTAAGACTTTAAGTGCTTGGTCTGCTACCTATCCTTAATACTTCAAATGAACTAGATTTGAGAATACCTCTTGGAGTAGATGTAGAACTACCTCTTTAAGATTGTAATCCATCATTATTTTAAATAATTCTTGATAATTTTTAGGGTTTAGGGAATGGAAAACTTGTAATTTCACAATGATCATTTACAATTTATGTGACATAAATTTATCTTTTAGGTTTACGACCTTATATCATATTAGTTTATAGATTTGGTTGACTTTTCCGATGATTTTAGTTAATTTACTTCTCTAAAAATTATTCAATAGAATTTCTAGTGTTGTGTCTTTTACGTGAATTAGCCAAATGTACTTTATCTTATTTAGTAATATCATCTACATTGATAGTTTAAGATAGACTTTCACTTTATTGTAATCCATTTTAACTTGAAATACCATTTGTAGATTTAAATGGAGATGATTATGTGTATATTTCATCTTTGGAAACCAATGACTCTTTAAATTTACACATCAAATTATTGATTGCATTCATTCTGTTATGAACAGAAGTATTTTTATCATTGCAATCCCAATGAAAATTAGGAGTAAGAGATTTACATTCAATTGATTTGATAGCTTCATCAGAATTAATGGAGTCTTCTGTATCAAATTGTTAATTCATTTTTATAAAATGTCTAATGATAATTTATTGATTACTAATGATTGGAGAATTATTACTTATAATGTATCAACAAGCATGTTTCAAATTGTGAGTGGTTATATATGTGCTGATCTAATGTCAATGCTCAATTTGCATTTCATGGGTTAATACACAGATAAATATTAAACTGCCGCATATGGGATTGCATGGATGATAATATAGTTGCAATTTGTTCCCTTAGGATTAGGTTTGATATATATATATATTATGTAGGTATCAATTAAGGACTGAATAATCAAGTGTCTCATGCTTTAGGGTAGAATAAGATCAAACTTTCTTAAACTTACTTGAATTTCGCAATCTATTCCATAATATTTATATCCTTACCCTTTTTTCTATTAATTTACAATTCACAATATCTGGTTCAATTCATAGTTCAAGAAGAAACAGAAATTATTACTTAATATGCATGGTATACAATTTCAAATAAATAAGGAAATTAGGCAAATGATTATTCCTTTATTTATAGCCGCATTTTTGCTCTTATAGATTGAATGTTTAAAATAGTATCTTGTTGGATGTAGAATATTTGAACCCTTTCCATTTATCTATGCATCAACTCTAGTATTCCATTTGTTTGCATGTTCATTCCTATTCATAATTTGCAACCTAGGATTCATGGGCTTATGTTTGGCCATCATACTTAGTGAAGTAAGAGAACTCCTTTATTAACATTCAAGTTATTTACATTATTGATGTTGATCAGATACATCTATAAGAATCCAGAAGTATATAATTTGATTGCCAGTTTCGAATTCTCTTGTCAAATATTTTAGTATAGAGAAACATACAAAATGTTTATTAAAGAGTCTATCCCATTAATTCTACACATTTATGCTGATTTCATAGTTTTCTATATATTATCCTTTGTGGCCTTCTCTTTAGGAGTCAATTAAGCCAATGCACAACTTGCATTTGCCAATACTAGTTCTATTTACTTTAAATTCCCTATTAGTTTATCAGTAACTCTGATGTCATATGTTGGAAATAGTTTAAGTAAAGTTTTTTTATTAATAGAGGCCAAAATAAAATTGCATTGGCTAAATAATATATCATAAGTGGCATGTGTCTTTAAGGATTTGTATTGATTACTTTAGTAATTGGTCTCACTATTTTCAAAGAGGAATGGAGTCATTTATATTCATCTGATGTTCAGATTCAACAAATAATGTTAGAAACTCTGCCATATTTTCTTATTGGAAGTGTGTGTTTAGATGGGATTTAAGGAGCATTATCAGGAGCTTTAAAAGGAGTAAACAAATCAACAATTGTATCCAATCAAACAATGATATCATACTATATCATTGGAGTTCCAGTAGTATTAATATTAGCATATGTTTTCAATTTATAATTGATTGGAATATGGTTAGGTTTTGGTTTATGCAATTTGTATTTAACAATAGTATTTCTTTATGTGCTCAAAAATTTAGATTGGAATTAATAAGCTAATTTGATAACTGAGAAACTATAGAAACATTAAGATTGTTTAGGAGATATAGATTTGCCATTAATTTAAAAATAATAAGAATAATAATGATTTATAATGTACAAAATTATTATACAATAGTTACTCATTCTTTTACCTTCTTTTATTTTTATCTAAGATTCTCAATATCCTATTGAAATTATTACTGAAGTTATTATTTTTACAATTTCAAAATATCCTTCTTCTTTTAATGTGGTAAATTATCATCTAATCCTTATATTACTTATTCTATTTCTTCAACATCTATATTCTTCTTTGTTTTATTTTTGTTTCTTCCAACCCAATTTCTTTTCTCAAATTTAGGTTTCTCTACATTTGTCTCAAAATCACCATATTTATTCATTGCTATCTAATATCCTTCTTTTTATGCATCCTCTAATATTTAATTCTTTTTCTCATCTACAAATTCATAATTTTATAATAGTTTCTTTTCATAATTAGTTGAAATAGGAGCACTTTTAAATTTGTTATTAATTCTTTATTAAAAATATTCAATATCAAAACATTTAGTCAAATCATATTCATTCTTAAAAACTACTAAACCTACATGTAATAGTTTTTTTTTATTATTATCAACTACTTTCATTGATCCAACATAAACTCTTCGAATAATTCCACATAATTTAAATACTTTTGCAATAAATTTACGATCAAAAGGAGAATCAAAATTCATTATTATTAATGTTCTATTCTTTGGTAATTCACCTTAATCCATCTTTACACTGCTTGTCACTTCTTTCCCTTCCTCCACTTTCTACTTTGTCTATTCTATTCTCTCTTTCATGATTAATTAATTTAATCCATTGTATAGATTGTCATTCTCTTCTTGCTCTATTGGCATTCTCTTAAAATACAAAATCATCCTCTCTTTATCAAACACTTTAACATTATGAAACTTAAAATGATTTTCACTATTATATTTAATCATAATTAATTATTTTTAAATATAAACAAAATTATCATAAACCTAATACAAATTAATTCAAAATGACTTTTCTACATTTCTCATTCCTTAAAATAATCCATTTTTTTTTAGAGATTTGATCATTCATCCAATTTTACAAAGACTTCAAATATATATAGATCTTTAATTTTATACTATTTAAATGGATTTATTAAAATATTAATATAAATATACTTAAGTTAATTAGTAATAATCAGTATTATAAAGAATTACCAATATTTTTATTTTGATATAAGAATTAAAATTATTAGATTAAGAACTTTAGTGTAAACTTATTCATTATTTAATATTAATCATTTCTCAGTTAATTCTCTATATCCTTTCCAATCACCTGGTTTCTGATAATTTGTTTCCTCCATACTATGTAAAACAGCTTCTGTTGGACCATCATTTGGTTTAATTTTGAGAGCCTCTTAGAACATGGCACGAGCAGTCTTCCAATCTCCATCCAAATAAGCTTAAAATGCCTTACCAAATACTTCCTAATTTCAATTAAATAAACAATTTACCATAAAATCTTTTTTAAATCCAGTCAATAAAAATCTTAAATCTTTATTTTCTAAAAGATGTTCTGCTCCTTTAAATTCTCCACTTTCAACTTATTCTTTAATTTCTAATTTCTTTTATCTCAAAAGCATTTTCAATTCTTCCTTAGTCAAATCTTTGTATTTCACTTGTGGATCATTACTTGGAGGTAAATTATCCACATTCATATCTATAGTATAAAGACTAACAGGAATATTTGATCCTTTAACACAAACTCTATCAATATGTCTGATATATTCTTGGAATTCAGGTGAAAAATGTTCATAGAGTTATTCAGAAATTAAAATTGGAACACCATATTATTTAGTGGCTGCTTCTAGTCTTGATGCCATATTAACATTAGGACTCAAATATGAAGCATCAATTTTATAATTAGATCCAATAGCTCCTTCAATTCCCCATCCCATATGAAGTCCAAATCCTATTTTGACTTTATAATTGTCCATTCTAGCTTAGAGTCTTTTATCTTATCGATAAGCTAAGATCTTTGGTTCTCTATTGATTTTGCATTGAATTTTCATAAAAGAAATTAAGGCACAATCAGATAAGGTTTATATATATCTATAATATAATAATATTGTATTACTATTTATCATGCCAAATTACATTATCTTCTTCAAAAGAATAAGTTTCTGGTCTTGTTTTCCAAACCAATAGAAATGCATCACCAATATTCTTGTTTGCTGCTCCAAGATATCTATCAACCATTGTATGTACTATATCTCCTATGTTATTAACAAACACCATAACATCTTCTTAAAGAACTTCAGTTGCATCTGTAAAATTTCTGATATCACAAAAACCATAAATAGCTACTTTTTTGATTCCAGGTAACATAGGATCAACATCTCCTTACTTTTTCATATTTATTCTAATAATTTCAGTACCAGCATCACCAAATCCTAAAGCTAATAATGTTCCAATTTTAACAATTGTATTTTCAATCTTAACTGTTTCATTAGAGTTTTCATTTTATATAACAGCCATTTCTGTAACAATTTAAGGATCATTAGCTATTTTATTAATTTTATCAATCATTCTTTCTAAGGGTCTCAATGCTAAATCATTAGAATCCTTTGAAAACATCATAGCTCCAAAAGTCAAGACTATACTAACAAAGATAGTTCTGATAATTGATAAGATACTTGTCATTACAGCAGCTTATCTTGTACTCAAGATACCAACAACATCAGGATTTTCTTTACTAAAAGAATATTATTTAATTAAAATACTCAAAACCTGCAATTGCAGCTTCAGGTAAATTAGTAGTTTTTATGAGAACTTCATAATCTAAGGTATATGCTCCAACATCTTATTCATCAGTTCTTAAATTTGGATAATCTTCATGTTCATAAATGGGGAAATCCTTATAATTGTAAAGAGGACTAGTGAATAAAACAATAGAATTGTCAATGCCACTATGATCAATAATAATTTAATCATATGCATTTTTCACATCTTCATAAGTTGATGCTTCTGATTCAGCCAGTTTTACAAATTATTAAGATTACATCAACATACTTGTAGGTGGAGACACAAAGTAATCTACTGAAAACAAGGGAATCAAAAATAATAAAGCCAAGACAACAATAATAACCTTTTTAGTAGTTGAATCTGATAACATTTTTGATACTTTAGATTCTTTGGTTTCTCCTTCCTCACTCTATCCAGGATTATTTTAATCAGGCCTATCTTATATTTGTGGTTCCACTGTATTAGCTTTTCTTTTCTATCTTCTTTAAGAAAGTAATTTCTAAACTTTATCTTCATCATCTTTGTTAGCAGATTTGTAAACTTTAACCAACCTTATCAATCTCACTAACCTAACTACTCTACCTGCTTTAGTTCCAACTCTAGATGCTCTTCCTGCTCTTGCCAATCCTGCTGTGTTTTTAGCTTAACCTCCTGCTCCACTCAATCCAACAGCCTAATTGAAAAGACTAATATCAAGCAATAAAGAAATTGTTGAAATTGTATCAAGCCAAAAGAAGAAGGACAGAAAGTATCCTTCTTTAACTATTACTGACAGTATGATTTCACTTGAAAACATTATCTAAACCCATTAATAAAACTGTTCTTACCAAACATGTAATGTTCAAAGCATCAAAAACTATGTCTGCACTTAAACGAAAAGCAGCTACTCTGATATCATCTCCAAAAAGAGCATATAGAGTCAGAATGTTAATTATTACTTAAAATAATGTGCTTTCCAAAACTATTTCAAAAATAGATGCTCGTTGAGAACTAGACTTATAAACATATAAATTTTACTTCTTTTCCATTGTTTATTAAAAGATGTCAACATCTGCCTGTGCTTGTGGCTGATCAGTCATATTTAATTTTATATTTAATATTAACTTTAATATTCATATTCTTTTCTCCTTATCTCATCAATTCCTCTCTCCAATTCAATTAACATTCCAACAGAAAATCATCTCTGATAACATTTTTATTCAATAGTTTTCCCTAATAATTCTTTAATCCTTTCCAGCATTATATTAATATGTAGAAACTAATTAATCATCATTTATTAACTTTGTTTTAACAAATCTTAAAATATATACAAATATCTTTATATCTATATTAATATATATAATAGCACATAAATTACAATAACAAAATCTTCACATATAGTGTATTGTTTATCAAAATATTATTAGAGGTACTTCATGCTTTTTGATTTGCAACAAAAAACGCATTAAATTTTCTATAATGTTATTTAGATTAAATCATTGTCTTTAATCAAAGTTCATATTATAAATATCTTAATATTAATAATAATAATACCAATTAAATTTATGCTTATATATTCAATTTAATTTTAGCAGAACTTTCAGAATTATTTACTTAATCATAATGATGAAATCAAATAATTTTTATATATTAAAAACAATTATATTTAATGAGTTTAAGTAATATACTATTATTTATATAATTAACTGGTAATAATCCTAATAAATTAAGTATATAATGTGAAAAAATAATGTTATGAAAATTATGAATTATCTAAAATAATTAAAAATATATTTATGCATTAAAATGTCCCATTATATATTTATCATTATTATTTAATAGTTATACAACTTGATTTACCACCTTCCCATTTGATACCAAAGCTATATTCATCAATTTATGTATATTCAAATTTATTTTAATGAATACTGGACCATGTATATTTTGAATTCAAGAATTTTTTATGTTCTGAACTCTAAGTTTTTCTTATACTACCACTCATTAATATTGGTTAATGATATTTGTATGTTATAAATTCTCCTTAAGGATCAAAGTAAAGTGTAATATTCTTTAACATTACAATAGAATCCTTGATTTATTATATTCTAAAGTTTATTTGAATATATATTTACTGTTAATCAATAGGAATTACAACTTATGAATTTATAATTTATTATTGGAATTGCTATGGCTGTAATTATTGCATTGGCAATGGCTATGGCTAACTTAAAATACTTTAATTTTGTGAATCATATTGTTGTTTTTCATTATTTTCGTTATAATAATTCTAACTATTTAAGAGTTATTAATCTGTATTTTATAATCCAAATTATTATTTTATTGGTCCCTATTAGTATTAGTCATATTATGGCATGTATTATTGATTTATTACATCATTTTGATTTTAGACTGGATTTATTTGATTCATTACTTAGGGAATCATTCCTTAATTATTTATATCGTTTTATGGCATATTGTTGCTTTAAGCTGGTTGAGGTAACTAATTATTAATAAGCACCATATTCAAACCGGGTTAATTCCCAAAATGACCAAAAAATAAGTTTTGGTCATCAGTCAATGCTGTCCAATTAAGATCATATAATACAAAAGAATCAGCTATTAAATTTTATTATTGTATCAATTAGTTGAAATACTTTTTTATATTACTATAAATACCTATCCTAATTGTAAGTTTGTATCTACACAGTCTTACAAAAATCCTGTTGGTTAAATGCCTTCAAGTTTATAAACTGATATTGGTACACCTTATTGTACACCTTATAGTGCATCTTATGGTACACCTTATTGTGCATCTTATTGTCCCCCTTATTGTACACCTTAATCATTAAAAACTATAAATAATTATGCATTAGCATCAAATAATTGTTTAAGATCAAAGTCAGGTTCTAATAAAGCTGATTATCCATTTAATTAATATCCAACTTACAAATTTGGATTCCCTAAACATGAAATCACATAATCTATAATTTCTTTTGCCTTAGCTGAAAAATCATTTGTTTGAAATGGAATAGGTTATTCTAGTTAAAAATTGTAGGGATAAAGCAAAAAATTCATCTAATTGATATATTTATTAATGTTTTCCTGATCATTTGATTTTTGATTTATTTATTTGTAATTCTATTAATCAAATGTTTTCAAGATTTTATTGACATTATCATCAAATATCACAATCACCAAGGTTTCGAGACAAATTAGTCATAAAGTATAATTAAAAAAAGTAGTGTTCAAATGAGATGACTAAAATACTTAAAGAAAAGGATATTAAATTTTTTGTAATATAAGGTTTTATATATGATTTTAATAAAATATATAATAAATTTTATTAATATAAATTCTTTTGATTATTTTTGAGAAATTTGAATCCAAAAGAGAGTCTAATATATAATTAGAATATAGTAATCAACTATTTTATAAACTTAAAGTTAAGTTGAAAAATAAGAACAAATATTCTTTAGAGAGAATATCAAATCAAATAATATATGAGATTAATTTTGGATTGATATAAGATCAATTTTTGATTTTCTATTTGATTTACATTTAACTATGACATCTACTTTTAATATTTTTTTTGCTGTCAATTTTCGAGGAATTAGCGAGACTGAACTGTTTCCTATCTGATGTTTTTGTATGTTGATATGAGAGACTCAATAAATAATCGAATATAGAACAGCATTTTTAGATAGGGCTAGTTTTTTATTTTGTTAATTTTTTGAAGTTTAACATACTATTTAAGACTAAGATATTTTATGTTTTAAAATACCTTATTTATTTTCTAGAATTCCAGTTTAACATCTCTTATGAGTTGGTTTTTTATCTGATGTTTTTTTGAATTAGACACTTGAGATAAGAACATTCTATTTATTAAGATTAATGATAGATTGTTTTAATTTTTAAGTTGTATTTTATGACTTTTCTTATCTAATAGGTGATGTATTTTTGGTGAATAAATCAATAGCATTCATGGATCTACGACGTTAAAACATTTATGGTTCAATAATAAGTTAACTCTAAAGTGTTGAAAGGTTTATAATTTACTTCATTCAATTAAAATTGATGTTGACTTCTATCAGTAAGTAAACTTAATTCATGAGATTCAATTAAAAGATTCGAGAAGTCATAACTAAATGTTTTCTTTTAACATTTTAAACATTGAATCCAATATTTGTTTTATAATTAGCTACATATATGATAAACAAATACCTTTATTATAATTACTTATTTTTATTTGTGCATTTGAGACATATATGATGAGAACAAATCAACTAAATCAATGCTGTATTTTTCAAGCAAAGTTGACATGTTTGCATTTATTTGTAATAATTTCTTTTTATAAATACATAAATGATTATTTGTAATGTACTTAAATTATAAACTCATTTCTTAGCTGGAGCTTTCTTTTAAGCTTATGGCTTATCTGCAGCAGCAGCAGCGGCAGCAGCCTTTTAAGCAGCTACTACTTAGGCATTAACAGTGAAGATATATTATTTAGAGTTTTAATCACCAGCTGGAACCAATAAACCTGATTTTGCAAAGTGTCTAATACATCTTCTGGCTAAAGAACTATAATTATAATTATAGAAGCAATATTTTACCCATTTACTTTGAATTTATCTGATACTGTTGAGACTGTGATCAATGCTCCCATTTTTGGTAATTAAGTTTCAATTTATTTGTAGGATGCTTAATCTAAATATACGGCATTGTTCAACTTATCCTTTGCTCTTCCTTTGGTCCATTTCTATTGTGCATAATCAAAATAGATGTAATACCTTCTTTGTTTATTTACTTCTTTGTGATGCAGCTTTAGCAATCTAATCTTTTGTTTTCTTTTAACCTTATGTTGGTTGTTTTCCCTATATTATATAAAGACATGTATTACCATGATTTCAAATCTTTAATAAAAATTTTGAAAAATATTTAATACCAATTAATGCAGCAATAAGTCACCACAGTCCAAACAGATAAATTCAAAGCCATTGGTCCTTATTCAGCTGGTAAAATTGTAGCTCCAACTGCTAATTTAGTCTATTTATCAGGTCAATTGGGTATTGTTCCTGAAGTAATTACATAAAAATCTATATATAATAGACAGGAAATCTTATTTCTGAAGATGTAGCAGAATAAGCAACACAAGCAATGAAGAATGTAGGAATCTTGTTAGAAGCATCAAAATCTAGCTTTAAGAATGTTGTAAAATGCATAGTTTATCTGGTTGATATGGCTGACTTTGCAAAGGTCAATGAGGCATATGCTAAATTCTTTGATGGTGATTATCCAGCTAGAGTTTGTATTGCAGTCAAATAACTACCAAAAGGTGGTTTAGTTGAAGTTGAAGTTATTGCAGTTCAAGATACAGAATGATGAAGAATTTTATTGCATAAAAAAATTGTATAAAAAAAGAACATTAGTTTTAAATAATATTGGTTTCACCAAATAGTTTATAATCTATATTACATAAACCTTAGATTATCAAATTATTATGAAAATATATATATTTAATTTAACACTTGAAATAAAGACACAAATTAATATATGAAAATTCATGATGATTTATCCCTTTCAGATTTATAAACTAGTTTTTTCGTATTATCTTTATGTTATATTTTTAAATAAAATAAATTAATGATGAAAGGAAGTTAATAAAGTGTTCTTTTGAAAGAGTTGTAAGAAATTCCAATTTATTCTGATAACTGGTTTTGGAAGCTTCGAATGAGAAATCAAGCTTTGCTCTAATTTTCAATTATTTTTGTCCTAATGTTAGGAGTGGTTTTAGGAATTTATTTAGTTAATATGGCAATAATTGTTCCTCTTTTAGAATAATCTTCATTTGAGATTTATAATAGCAATGCAAAACATACATTATAAAGTCATTTGAGAAGTTATGATGGCATTCTAAATGGAATCTTTAATATAAGTAATATGTTTTTTTTAAATTAATTAAGATATTCACTAATTGCAAATTATTCATTAAATTTATTCTTAGTCATATAGAAACCTAGAAAAATAAGATAATATTACCTTAGATTATAGAGCTCATATGGATTATGCAGGTACAAATACAATGCCTTAAATACTTGTTAATTAACCATCAGGTTCATTACAAAAAACACATTCATTTATGTGCTACACAAATAAAACTAACATTACTTATCCAATGAATAAGGTTACTTTAATAAACTTAAAAATATAAGAAACTATGTATCCTATTGGTCATATATTGGATGCAACAAAATTAAATATCAAATCACTTTTTTATGTAGGAACTTTAGAAGAACCTGAAGTTTACTTCTCATATCCTTGTACTAATTTTCAATAAGTTATTTATGGATTAAATATTCCAAAGAGACCTTGGTTTTTAAAAGGTGTAAGTGTATATAATCAAACAAATTTTAATGACTATGATTATTAATTCACTGATCCCTTTCTTTGTAACTTTAATTAATTTTATCTTTAGAATTTACCAAAGACAAAATTGAAGTAACTTTAGTCATGCCTTTGCTTGATAGTAAGCTTAATTTAAAAGGAGTCATGGCTTCAGATTTGGGAACAGATCTTAATAAGTTTGTAGTTAAAACAGATTAAAATGTCCATATGGTTCTATTAGCAAATGCAAAAGGATTACTTATATATCATAGTTACAATGTTAGTTTATCACTCTTACCAATTTATATCTTCAATACTTCATTAACTGGATTTACAATGGATGATTGGACTTCAATAGTAGATACCAAATAAAGCAATTGTTCATCCTATCCTAGGAACTCTAGTTTACTTTGTCGTTATAATAGTATTTATGATAAAGATTTGGTTATTACAATTCATGAAATCAAGAAATTTAATTATCTCTTTATGATGTAAGTATTTAACTTCAATCTAGTTAAGATTCCATGACACCAATGATTATACTGATTATCAACTTAAATCAACATAAGAGATGTTGAATAAACTTTAATCAGAAGCAATTCAATTTCTATAAATTGCTATTGGTATATTTCTAGCAGCTATGTTTATAGCTATCTGTATTCTTATTTTAATCTTTTATCCAATTTAGAACATAATTGACAATTGTCATTATATTATGGGTATTAAGAATAGATAAAATGTACATAAGAAAATTTTGCTGACTAAATTCTTTATTCCTTTTTTGAATCCTCAATTATAATTGTTATTTTTAGCCTATACTAATTTAGTCAAAAGGTTTTTATCCTTATCACAGTCAAAAGGAACACTTTGTAAAACCTTGGAAGCATTATAGTATCCAAAAAAGATCAAATAAAAAGCTCACATTTCACTAAATCGATATTTGAAGCAATGTTTAAATCTAATAGAGAAAAACACAATGATCCATTAGGCTCCATTACGCCTTCCATCTTAATTAATGGGAAGATTTGTTGAAAAGTTACTAATGAAATTTTACTAATGATAATAATTATATGATAATAATTTTCATGAAGAAGGTGCTGGTTATTCTTCAATCAAAGGTTAATATAAATCCTACTACTATTATTATTATTATTGTAGTTATTGTTATTGTTAATCACCACCTAAATAAGTATTAACAACTTCAGTTCCATATTTCTTTTAAACTATTTATTTTGTTCCATTACCAATAGAACTTCCTACTTAACATAAGGCTGTGCCTAATCCTGATAGAGCTGTTCCTGCTGCATCCCAAGTAGCTGCTGTTAATTGTTTACTTTACTTTAAAACTAAGAATTAAATTTAAATTTATATTTACTGTTGCTATCTGAATTATCTATTTTATGTCCTAATTCATTTGTTAATTCTTTAGTCTTCTCTGCAACTGGTTTAAATAATTATCCTAGATATTGTCCTGTAACATCAAAGGCTACATTAACTTTCTCTTTTGCTGATTAAAATTTAGTTTTTGTATTTGGATCAACTTAAACTTCTTAACCTGGCTAAATTTTATCATTCAAATATTAAGTTCCTTTATTTATTCCTGTTGCCATCATTGTTCCCAAAAACATAAATCCTTTCTTTAGATAACTAGAGGAATATAATAACTAAATTTTTACTCTCCACCCTTCACAATATATGATGCAGCATCATTAGGATTATTTAAAGGATTAGTAGCAATATCTTTACAATGTAATTCGATTGTGTCTTTAAATTATTGTATTTACATAGCTTAATCAAATGGGACCATTGAAACTACAGTATTTAAGGCTGTGTGGAATACATTTAATAAGTCACTTTGTGGAATAAAGATTCCATTTAAACCTAAAACATATTGTGGTTTTAATCTATTACCTTAGTCTATATGAGGGAAAATAAGTGTCAATCCAGATTCAGATGATAAGTATACAAAAGGAGTACCAGGAACAATATTCTGACAGAATCTCTCTATAGTAATGAAATGAGTTTTTGAATCTTAAAATTAGGCCAACTTTACAGTGCCTTAGAAAACCTTTGTTCTAGAGTTTTATATCAATCTGAAGAATTATGCATTTTCAGCAATTGAAACTACTTATGCCATTTCTTTAGGTTGTTCTTATAGCATTTTTAATATTAAAAATAATAGATACGTGTAAAATGAGAATTATAGCAATGTACCTATTGAAATACCATCCTGAAAATCCTCTATTTATATCTTAAAACTATGAGCTTTCATTTGTGAAGTACAAATTTTGAATAATATATTGATAGTTGGTTTTAGCGTCCTTTCTTTAAAGAAACTCTCAATTTTGGAGCAAGAACATGTGCAGCGTATTCTATATAGTATAAAATTAATAGACGAGCCAAACCTGGTACTAGAAGTGCTGTCACTAATCAAGAAGCTCATGCTGTGTCATATATATGCATTGATAAAAATAATCTAGCAGCTCTTGTTATTGCAGATGATTAATATCCTGAAAAAGTAGCTTTTATGGTTATTCAAAATATGTATTAAGAATACTATCGTCAATATAATTCAATGTTTTTAGACACTATAGTCGGTATTCATCATATTTTATCATTTTACAGCTGATCAAAACATAAATATACCAAAATTTGAAGAATTTATCAAACTTTATCAAGATCCTAAAGAGGTTGATAAATTACTTAAGATTGAGAATACTCTTAATGAAGTAACAATGATAGTGCATTAATCTCTTGATGATGTATGTTTATTCTATATTATTAGCTTTTAAAAAGAGGGGAGACATTGGAATCATTAATGGCAAAATCAAAAGATATGAGTAGTGTGAGTTTAGATTTCTATAAAAATGCTAAAAAAACAAATAACAAATGTTGCAGCTTATATTGAATAACAATATATATATCTATATTTAATATATGAATCTCATAATGTTGCTGCCTTAGATGCCATTTCTTTTGCTTTGGCTTCATTGTTACCCAAAAAGGTAGATATTTATTGACCTTTATGGAATAAGTAAACAGCTGGAATTCCTTAATTCTAAAAACTTTATTATATTCCTTACAGCATATTAAGATGAAATCTTTTGTAATTCTTCAATGTCTACATTGAGGACTGCCAATTCCCACTTTCCTTAACTTTATTCATGTAGAGCATGGAGTTTGGGTTTTAACACTTTGCATGGACCACACCTAAATAATTAAATAATTTAAAAAACCAGTCAGCATAGAAATCAACAATGACTGGCTTTTGATTTTAAAGTACAAGTGTATTCCAATCATTTTCTGTTTTGATTGTTAAAATATGATCTTACATTAATAAAATATAAATATTAATATTTGCAACACTTGATTTTATGAGATTTTAAAGTCATATTCTTTAATTAAAATAGATATATCTCAAACAATTTTAATTAAAATTAAATATATTCTCATTATCCAGAATTTTCGAAATTCTAATTATCTATAACAAAGATTTTGAATAGATCAGAGATTTCAAAAATAGAAACCACTCTTTATTCATTATCTAAACACACTAAACTACCTCTAGGTGATAATAATAGATTTTCAACAACCTATTTATATTAATAGTTATAATTTACTTATTTTATGGTTTGATTAAATGAGAATTATTATTTATTTCTAATATAATATGCCAAATATTTAGAATCTTCAGTTTTAATTAATGATAAAAACTTCTCTGTTGTAGATGCTAACTATTTAATCATATATTATTATAATTACTATATCAAACATCTAATATTTTAAAATAAATAAGAAATCTCTTCTATCAATCAACCCCAAATATTTATTATTTTAATCTACTATGGCTATTGTATTCCTTTTGTAAATGTAAATTAATTTATAAAATAGACTAATAATACAATTCAAAATTAATACTCATAAACAGGTATATGTGCAGGTAATGTATATTATAATTTTGTTACTTCATCTTTGAAATATTCCATTTATAATTCATGCTATTCATGATGATGATTTGTATTTGTTGTTTTATTTTAATGTTTTTTTAATGCAAAATATTAACTAAATCCTTTAACTAGGAAACTAAGTATATCTTTTTATTAAATAATTCCTGAAATCATTTTTGATTCTTTTTCTATGACAATGATTCTAGTAATATTTTCTGTAATAAATTTTTAACACACATCATTCAAATTTTCATCTAATTCTGCTTTTATTAAACAATTCTAATGTAGATTTTCTCCAATACTATTAAACCAAGCTTTAATAGATATATTCTTGAAGTCTTATAATAATTAATTGAATTAATCTATTGTTAATCTACCAAATATGGTTCTTTTGATTGGTGAATAAGACTCCTCTTCATTCTCTATTTCAATAATGGCTGTTATATTATTTGTCGTCCAAACTATCTAAAAATAAACTCATATTAAATTACTATTTGGAATATCATATAGAACATTATAATAACATTTTAAAACAGTCTTGATTAAATCTGTCTATGTAAATACTCCATCATAATTAGCTATCTCTTGATTCCAAAATAAAACTTCATCAACATGAGAATCAATAAATATCTTGAAAGTATCAAAAAGAGACAAATTCATATCAACAACAGAAACTTGATTATTTATTGATAAACAATCATAAACACTACTATCACGTAAAAAGTAAGTCAGAGTTGTCACATATTCTTCTTTTAATAAATCTTCTTTACTAGGTTGACTATGTTTCATATATATATATATATATATAATATTATTATTATCAATATGTAAGTTCATATATTTATTACTCATAAATATATTTTCGATATAAATAAATCAATGATAGGGGGATATTTACATATAATTTTAGAAAAATATAATTATACATCTTTATATAATTTAATAAATGTTAGAGAGTGTTAAGAAATCAGCCATTAATTTTCTAATTTCCTAAGATGACTAAGCCTAATTTTATGAATACAAATACTTTATTGGATAATTCAATCCAAAGAATGATCAAGATAAGTGAATAATATTATTTGCACATAAGGAGTTTGTAATCAAAATCCAATAGCGTTATTTTACTTATCAATGTGCTGGATTATGCTTTGCCGCTTATATCATGTTTGCCTATAGAAGAATGTTGAGTGGTGGAGTACTTTCCCCACTTACAAAGATTTCCATAGATCTCACTTTATTATCAGCATCTTTATTGTATTATTTGATTATTAATAATTAAGTTTATCATCTAAAATAGGAGTCACTTCTGTCATGAGAGATCTAGTACCTTTACGTAAGAAATTGTTAAATGAACCAGATGTTGATTATTTAAGACATCTTCTTAGTAAATATCATAAATTTGATTTTTACAAAGAAAATGAATTTACATTATATCATGATGTATTAACAGCATCTGAATACAAAGAATGGAAAGAGTTACATAAATTTGATGTAACCAAATTCTGAGTATATTAAGAATGAATAATTAATTATTTGATCATTTTCTTTAATATCCTTATTATATACTATTTTAATGATTCCTTAGGTTCTCAAATATTAAATATTTATTAATAATAAATGATGATATAAATTAAATAATTAAGTCATATTTTGTTGAAAATATTAAAATTACATAAATAAACAATATAAAATTGTTGAGTATTAATAATAATATTAATTTATCTAAAATATTTAGATAAATTATTTAAACATAATCATGACTGATATTATTAATTTCTATATAATACTTAACATATATAAAGTATATATATATATATCAATTCATATTTAAATCATTTTAGATCTCAAATTAGCTAATTTAAATTAATAAACATAAAAATGGGTGTTTGTTAAACTAAAATTAAGAAAAATTCAGAGATCTCAAAAAATAAGATTAATAATAAAATTGAAAGAGTAAAGACTGAATTTACTGCTACTTAAGAAACAGGATTAAAAAATCCAGGACTTTTGTAAATAAATAATTATAAAACTATCAATTCACCTAAATCCTCTGGATATTTAGTGTCAAGAAGCTAATAAACTAAAGTAGGATAAGTGAAATTAAGTGGATTAATATAAAACTCTATATAAATAGGATAAATTACCTTCCTTGAAATAAATGCTTCTAAAAAATATTCAATAATTAAGAAACGTTAAATTGACGATGTAATATATATTTAGTTATTCTATAGGAGAAAAAAATATTATCAAATAACAAGACTGGAATAATAGTAGAAATGGAAACTTTATTAAAAGTAGATAAAGAATCATTAGAATACTTAAAATGGATATCAAAAGCATAATTAGTATATATAAATCATTAATAACATAGGATCATCCTAATCTCAATCGTATACTTGAAATATATCAAGATTAAAATTCTTATCAAGTCATTTATGAATTTTTTGATGGAAAATCATTGTCAGAATTAGTATCTGAAGACAATCGACTTCCTATAGTTTAAATCAATTAGATTATGGGATAGATAATCTCTATTATATCTTACTTACATTCTCTAAATCTGATTCATGGAAATTTGACTCTTGATTCCTTTTAATTTAAAAGAAAGCAAAATGAAATTTTAATTAAATTAATTGATACAAAAAAAGTTAAAATCAAAGAATCAGAATCGATAAATATCTTAAAATTTACATCTCCAGAATGCTTGAATCACCCTAATAATTTTACAACTGCAAGAGATGTATGGGCTATCGGTATCATATGTTATTGTCTTACCTATGGTAATTTACCATATACTATTCCTCCAAATATAGATTATTTTTTAATCTTATAATTAATTAAATAAACTGAGATTTAATTTAATGATCATGATTAGTTAATAACTAAGTTTATTTAGAAAATGTTAGTCCATAACTCAAAAAGTAGAATTACATTGAATTAATTAGTATAAGATGAATTTTTATAGTAAACTAATGAGAAATAACAATTTTTTTAAGAAATCTTATTGAATAATACAAAATTTGCTAAGCCTTGTTGTTTTCTATAAGAATTGATAATTAGCTATTTTTTATAAGAATTTAATTGGGAATAATATCTTTAAATTTAAAAGTTATTTTCAGAAGGAGATTAAGACATGAATGGATATTTAAGTAAAAAGGAATTATCAAATCTATACAAATAATATCTAAATGATCCAAATTCAGAAGAATTAGTTGAGTAAGTATTTTTAAATTATGATATTAATGAAGAAAATGGAATTAATAGCTAATAATTCTAATCTCTAGCTGCTAACAGAGATATATTATTAACAGATAGCAATATTGAAATAGGATTCTAGATTTTCTCATATGGCAAATAGGAAATAAATCTGAAAGGTTTAAGAAGATAATTGAATTCTGATTCAGAAGAATTGATTGATGAATTCAATCGTATAACAAATAAAGAAAATATTGTATAAATTATGTATCTTATTTTAGTTAAATCTCAAATAATTTAAAAAATTAGTTCAATTGATTATTTGATAATTAATTAATCAATATAAAGTTATTCAATCAATTTTATCTTTATATTAACAAATAATTAAATATAGAGTTTTATTTGATCAAATTAATACACTTGATAATTTAAATATAATCTTTTTCAAATCTTTATTTGATAATCTATATTATTAAAACTGTTTTGGATGAATTTATTTATTATTATTATGGGTGTTTGTCTAACTAAATCTGCAAATTCTAAAAGATCAAATACTTAAACTTCCTAAACTAAAATCAGATTACATACAGAAGTTGCTGAGATTTCTCATAATATTCCAAGAAGATGTCTCAATCTTTCAATTGATCCAATCAAAAGTCATGACTATAAAAATTCTCCACTTTCTGAAGGAGTAATTCTTACTTAAAGAGCAAAAAGAAGAATCACTTTAAAGAAATAAGGTTCTAATAATTACACTGCAACTACATGCAGTTCACATCATATACTTTTACCTACTTGTGCATTCAAGAAATATTCACTGATTAGAAAAAAACAAGGAAATCATGTATCTATCTCATGTTTAATATAGTCTATATCCATAATTTAAAACAATGTGACAGGCAAAATCATGTAATTGGAAACTTTTAGAAAAGATGATTTAGATTGTGCAAATTACATTGAATGGTTGATTAGAAACAAAATTGTATTCTTTAATCTCATTTCTAGGATAACCCAAATATTATAAGAGTATCTGAGATATTTTAAGATAATAAATATTATTAAGTTGTTTCTGAACACTTTGAAGGCAATGAGTTATCAGATTTAATGTAAGAGGGAACTAAATTACCTAAATCTTTAGTATCGTAAGTCTTATATCAAATGATGTAAGCTATTCATTATTTACATTAACAATAAATATTTCATGGAGCACTTACTATTAATTCATTTTTATATTAAAGAAAATAAGATGGAATTATAGTTAAATTATCTAATCTAAAAGGTATATTGATAAAAGATTAAGATGATATGGAAATACTTAAATACACCTCTCCTGAGTGTATTTATCATCCAAAATAGAATGAGGCAAGAGATGTATGGGCTATAGCATTGATTGGATTGACATTAAAAAAAGGAGGTATTCCTTATGAATTACCTAAATAATTAACACAGGAAAAATTGAGGATTTTAGTTAAAAATCATCTATTTAAATTTGAAAATAAGAAGGATTAATAATTTAAAGAATTTCTTACTAATTCTTTGAATAAAAATCCAAATACAAGAGCTAATTTAGACTAATTATTAAACTTACCCTTCATAACTAGTTATTAATCAAAGATAAAAACTGCATAAGAAATCTTACTTACTAATATTTTAGAGGCAAAACCTTTTTGTTTGTTATAGTAATTGATTATTGTTTTTTTTGTTTAAGAATTTAATTGGGAAGAGTATATCTAGATTTAAAAACTATTTTTAGAAGGGGATACAGATATGGATGGTTTAATCAATAAGACATAATTAATTTAATTATTTGAAAAATATATAACTATAGAAAACATTAAGGATAAAATAGATAAATTGTTTTAAGAGCTTGAATTGGAAGATGAAATTAATTCAAACTAATTTTTAGCCCTTTCAACATCAAGAAGAGATATTTTATCAACATCCAATATTGAGATTTCTTTTGAGATATTTTCTCTTAACACTCAAGAAATCACATTGAAAGGATTGAAAAAGTTTTTAAATGCTGATATTGATGAGATTGAAGTTGAGCTTTCTCGTCTAACTGAAAACTCAAATTCAGTATTATTTATTTTTATTCTAGTTAAATTATAAGCAATTCTCTAAAATTTTAGAATTGATGATTTGATGTAAGGTCTCAATAATTTAATCATAAAATTTATACAATCTTATATAAAATATTAATATATTTACATTTCTATTAAACTAAATTCTTTTAAGATGTATATTGACTTTATAATTATAAATATAATCAAAACAGTTGAATAGTGAATATATAAGTTTTCTTTAAATAGATATTCTATTTAAATTTTGTTTTGTTAAACTTAAATCAATTTTTATTGATTCTTATTTTAAGTTAAATATCTATAAATATATATTTCTTTATGATTTGAGAGAGCCTGTTTTAGAAAAAAAAAACTCATTATAATTAAGAATTATTTATAATTAATGGAAATAAATAGAAACGATGTGATAAAGTTGATTTTATAATTTTTACAGGAAAATGGATTCAAAAAATCACAAGAAGAATTGTAAAAGGAAAGTGGAATCTGTTTAAATTTAGTTGATTCGAAATAAAATCTTAAAAAAGATATAATAGATGGTAATGAATTATTTGAATAGTTTAGGAAAATGGGATTAAGTATTGAATTAAATTAAGTTATTCAATTTTACGGGTGACACATTATTAGATCTTTATGAATTAATAGTTTAAGAGTTAGTTGAAGTTAATGAGACACAAACAGCTAATTAATTTTTTCTTCAAATGATTGTTCCAAATTTATAAGAATACAAAGAGAGACTTTTAAAATTAGATTATCTAATAAGGAAACCTGGTAAATTAAGTATTAATGAGATTTATAATGATACTTTGAGTAAAGAATAAAGAAGAAACAAGGTAGGTGAGAAGGTGATTAATGAATGTATAGAAGCTCCTGCATGTAGATTATTGGAATTGATAGGTGATAGTTTAAGACATTTAAATGCAAATAAAATAATTACAAATAATAAATATGATTTATTTATGGGTTTAGGATAATAAGAACAAAAAGTGATACAAATTAGTAGAATAGAAAAGGTTGTTAAATATTCAGAGAAAATGAGAGTTAATTGTGCTACATTTACTCCTGATGGATAAAATCTTATTACAGGATCAATAGATGGTATAATAGAGGTATGGGATCCTAGTAAATATTCAGTTAGAAATGATATAGAATATTAAGTTAATGATCAATTTATGATGCATAATAATTGTATAATTAATTTAAGTGCAAATAATGAATTACTAGTTAGTTTGGATAATAATGGATAAGTAAAAGTTTGGAAATTGAAAACTGGTAAGTGTTTAAAAATAGTTGAAAGTACACATCCTAAATAAATTGCTAGTGTGTTATTAGGTAAGGATCCTTAATAAATTTATATTGCATCAGATTATATTTAATTATTTGCACTTAAAAGTGGAATCACTTAGAAATAATTTAGAGGACATAGTGGATTGATTTAATCTATGTTTTAGAGTTCAGAAGGTTCAAGATTGTACAGTGGTGCTTTAGATCAATATTTTAAAGTTTGGGATACACATTCAGGAGAATAGATTTATAGTTTGAAATTTGAAACAGCTTTAGAGAAAATATATTATATTTAAGGTTCTATTTTGTTATGCCCTAGAGGAAAATAAATGATTTTATTGAATAGTAATTTTTAAGAGGTTAAAAGATATAATTCTGAATCTGAATTAATTAGTTGTGTAGCTTAAGGTGATTATGTTTATGGTTTAGGATAAGGGTAATTATATAGTTATGAGATTAAATCAGGAATTGGGTTGAAATTACTTAAATTGCCAAGTGAGAATATGTAAGATATATGTATAGGACGTAATGTAATATTTTGCTATTCACAGAATGGCCATTTAATATTTATACAATGAGTTTAAAATTAAAATATTTTTTAATTAATATGTCAAATAATCAAAACAATAGTTCAAATCTTAAAAGTTAATTGAAAGTATCATCATTATCATAAGAAAAAGAGGAGGCCTAAGAAACACTTGAAAGTATTTGAAGATAGTTATTGATAATAGTCATACATGAGATGTCTTAGATTTTAAATTGTGGATTGGATAGATAATAATTAGCTATTTTAGTTAGTATGATAGAAAATGGTGTTAATCCTGAAGCTTTGGCCTTAGTAGTGAATGAAATGAAATCTGAATTAAATACCTATAAAAAAATTCATAAATAATGAAGAAAATCAAAATAGTATTTGAGTCTTTGTTAATTTGTAAAAAATGTTCATATTAAAAGAGATTTTAAATTTATTTATTTATTTTTTACTATGTTTATTAATATAAACTATTAAGTTTAAAATAATATATTACTTATAATAATTATAAGTAATCCTTTACTATTATATATAATTATATATGAAATATAACTATTTTATCATACTATAATATGAAATGGATTGTCAGTTAAACTATAACTTTAGTATATTAAATAGCTTTTTAAAGTATTATTTTTAGTTATTGTTATTGAATAATGGTTAAGTATTAAAATGAAACAAAACATTCAGTTTTATCAAATAAAATATTTCTTATTTAGTGTTGTTTTCAAACTCAATCTATAATTAATTATATAAATGGGGCCTTGTTAATCTTAATCTAAATTGAAATCAAGAAAAGATTTACAACAACCAACATTAATTCGAAAAACCGATCAAGTACTCACAAATAACAATCCTTCACTAATTCTTCCAAGTTTTTCTCCTAACCAGGAGCTTAATAGTGAGCCTTATGACGACACTAAAAAAAACTTGTCTTAACTAAAGGTTTATAGATCTTCATACAATCAGTTTTATAGTGAAATCACTTAAGGAAACATGAAATGTATGTTTATATATTTATATAATAAAGTGTAGCTGAATTAGAAGTTGGTTCAGCATAATTTAACAGGTAAAATCAGAGTAGTTGAACAATACGAAAGAAATTAATAAAATGAAGAGTTCATTAGTCAATTGAAGTTGTATTATTTGGTAATTGATAAAATATTATAGTTATATAGGATAACCCTCGAATTATAAGTGTATATGAATTGTTTATCGATGAATAATCATTTAATTTGATTGTAGATTATTGCAGTGGAGGTCAACTCTCCAATTATTATATTGATAAATCAATAATTCCATTTAATGAAGTTGAAATAGCTTCAATCATTTATTAAGCAGCTGAATCACTTAGATATTTGGAATAGATAGGATTAACACATGGTTTCCTTAATTTAAATAGTTTTTCTAGAGTAGATATGTCACATAATTTCCAAATTAAACTTAGTGATATAAGGAGTCTATTTGTTAAACCAAACTTAAATAAATAAAATGTTTTCAGTCTTCCACCTGAAGCATGTATTACAAAAGATTAAAATATATTTAATCATTCTAGAGATATTTGGAGTTTAGGAGTGATGTCATATTAAATGATTTGTGGATATCCTCCATTTGAAGGAAATACTATAGAATCAGTGAAATCATAAATTAAAAAGATGGCTGCTTAATATAATAATTTTTAATTTGATAGAGTATCTAAATTATGTAGATAATTAATATAAAGAGTATTGGTACCTAATAAATAGAGAATCTCTCTTTAAGATTTTATGAATGATTAATGGTTCAAAATAAGAATTAAATAAAATGATTAAAATATCTTAAATAAACTTTAGTAAAATAAAGTCAAAATTTCAGAACTCTAACAATTATTTTTGATATTTATGATCAAAAATATATGTTCAACTGATTAATAATAACTTTATAATGAATTTGTTAATTTAGATGAAAATTAAGATGGACAATTAACTAAAGATGAGATTCTTAAAGTGTATTCAAATCGATTTGATTCAAAAATAGATGCCAAATTATTCATTGAAAATATTTTTAAAATAGCTGATGTTGATAAAAGTGGTACAATAGATTTTGGAGAATTTTTGGTAGCAATAACTGATAAATCTGGATTATTAACTGAAGAAAACTTAAAGACAACATTTAAAATGGTTGCTTCTAGTAATGGAAAATTAACAACTTAAAAACTTAAATTTCATTTTAGTACATCTATTTTGAAATTAGATAAAATGTTTTTAGAAAATTTTACAAATCCATAAGTATTTTATATATTAATTATATAGAATGTTGGATATTCGGACTTTGAAACAATGATGAAATAGTTATTGTGATTTTATTATATTTAAATATTCGAGTTAATTATAATATAATATATTTTACATATATGAATAATTATCATAAAAACTAAAATTAATTAAGAAATTAGATACTTGAATATTAATATTAATAAAAATAGCATCAATGTTTGACAATTAAAAAATTACACCTTAGTTTATCGAATAATGTTTATAGACTACAGACAATTACAAACAAACTGTATTAATCAAATAAGCTGTTTAAAATAATTAGGAACATCTATTTGAAACTATATGTATAACAATAAAAGAGATTCTAGTATTGAATGATCCAAATCCACCATTTGCTAAATTATAAGCTGTTAGAGTAAATCTCTTAATTCTATCTTTTTAGTTAAGCAAAGAATTAATGGATATTTTTAATATGACATTTGTATATCTATTTGAAAAACACACAATAGAATCATTTATTTAATATTCAGAATTTGGGGATCCAAATGATCAACAAAGAGGAAGAACAATATTTTAAATAGATTCAGGTATTCATAATCTATTTTTACTTCAGACAAAACTATTAGATAAATTGGAATATCCCTTTCAAGATTTACTTCAGAATGTATTAATGCATGGGCTTTGTTTTTTCCTGAAACTCCATCTGGTGAACCAACTAAATTTATCAAATTATAACAAAATATGATAAATAAAGGATTTAAATTTGATACCAGGGATTATTATAAAAAAGACTTTGTAAAATAACATGAAAAAAAGTAAATAAATTAAAATGGTTAAACAGTTTAAATACCAAATAGTTAAAAAGGTGTTATTTTAGAAAGATAAAAAATTTATATTTTAAGTTGTCAAAAGTTATTAGATTTAGTTGCAGATATATGCTTAAAAAATCAATAATGGGTCCCTGATTTATTTATAAGATATGAAAATGAAATTATAGCTAAAAATAATGATGTGGAAATGTTAGTTAATTAACTAAAAAGTATAAATTAGGGAGATTTAGCAAAATAGATTATCGAATAAGCTGCTAAATTAAAATAATTAGAAAATGATTTAATTTCACTTAATAGGGCAACTTATTTGGAATTTAGAAGGAAATATATTTAAGATCCTACAAAAGATGGAGAAAAATCAATTTAATATGTAGGGCCAGTTAAAATACAAGAGATTCAAGTATTACATTAACCTTCCTTTGCTTTGAGTTCTTAAATTTAATAAAAAACCCCTAATGAAGAACAACTTTTATCAAATCAGTTCTTATAAACTTAAAAAATATTAATTTAAGAATAATCAAATGTAAATTTACAAAAAAATGATACAGTTTAATTGCAAAAACAATTAGAAGAAGAAAGAAATAATTGTCGGTATCTTTAAGGATAAAATGAAAAATTAGAATATGAAAAAATGTAAATTTAGTAACAACTTTCTATGATTCAATAAGAATTTAATAATTATAAAATAAACTCTGAAAAGTTGATAAAATAATAAAAAGATGAACATAATGTAGAGATAAATAATTATATTATAGAAAGATAAAAGCTATATTCAGAAAAATAAATCATGTTAAGTTAAATAGAATAATTAAATAAATAATAAATAAATGGAATTGAATAGTAAAATAATTAATAGATAACGTAATTAAAAAGAGAGATTGAAAATTTGAAATAAAATTAGGAAATAAAAATTAAAAATCTATCAATACAAATAGATTAATATCAATTAAAAATTAACGAATAATAAACTAATCAAGAAAATTTGAATCTGTAATTAAATTAGTATAAGGCTTAATTGAAATAAAAATAAATAGAATATTAGATTCTAGAGGAAAAATAAAATAAAGAAAGTTTAGTATTATAATAATAATTAATTGATGCTCAGAAAAAATTTAATGAAATTTAAATATAACATGTTAATAAAGTAGAAGAATTCAAATAATTAGATTCAATTTATTAAGCATTACGAAAAGAAAACTAATTAAAAAATAAAAATTTGGAATCTTAATAATAAACAGATCAATTTCGCCAAAGTATTAATATTGATAATAAAAACTAAACTATATAAAAATAGTAGTAATTTGAAATTGATCATCTAAAGAAAAATAATTTATTTTCTGTAGAAGAAAATGAATTAAATTAAAATATACAACAAATTAAATAAGATCTAGATACTATTAATAAACCTAAGTATTAAATACTTCAACGCCCAATTTTCTTCAAGCATTTTCCTTAAAATCTAAAATTTTAAAATTATTAAGTGCCTTAAAGAAGAAGACCTATTACTAGTGAAAATTTAGATCTAATTTTCCCTTACAAAACTCCTTAAGAATACTATTAAAATAAAAAATAAAAATTAAGAAAAGGCAAAGAAATTAATTTCTTATAAGATTTTTATGACCTATCATATTTGAACCAAGAAAATTAAGTTTTCTTTAAATAGAGATGCTTAGGATCTTAAGGTATTCTATTTGTAAATTGTTGGATTGAGTTAGGTTTGTCCTATTAGACTTAAGTATCATAAAACAAAGCTTATTTTTCTTATGGGTTGTATATAAAATAAATATAAAAAGGAAAAAAAGATATAAAAGTGGATTATTTGGAAGTTGAAAGTAATCATTTTTTGTAATATTAGAATTCTAACAATTTTGGGCATCAAAATAGACATTTTCAAGATAATTAGTTTAAGATTCAAATGATTTAATAGAGATATTGGTAGAATCAAATGTGTTTAATTAATAAGTTTTGACATTGATGATTTCTCTATCTGGAATAAATTCATTCTAAATTTCTATTCCAATTTACATATGCTAATAAATAAATTATTCAGAAATCAAAATAGAGGAATTTAAAACTAAATGGAAAAAGAAGTACACTTCTATAATTAGAACATCTATGTTAAAGTTAAATAAACAAATAATGAAAGATATTAATAATTTCATGAAGTTAATACCAAAAATAATAATTATAAATCCAAATAAAATTCAAGATTTTGAAATTGGTTAATCTGCAATTAAATTGGGAGGCTTAGGAAAATTTTAAGACACTGAATTCTTGATAAAAGTATAAATAGATATTAATATTATTATCAGTTTGAAATTTTGCCAAATGACATGATATACATTTATATATCATACAAATCTGACCTGAATACTAATTAAAAACAAAAACTTGAGTAGATATTAAGAGGATATGCATTAATATTTTTAGAAAATAATTATTCATGAATATTAATATAATTATAAAAAATATTCTTACCTTTCAATAATAAAAATAAATAATATAAATTTATTATATATTTAAATAATCTTTCAAAAGATTATGAGTAATTTTATTAAATTGAAAAGTCTTGTATTGTAATTTGCAAAATAATAAATTAAAACAGATATAATATGATATAAACAATCAATTAAAAATAGAATTAGGTAGAAGAGCATTAAAAAAATCTAACGGAAATTTAGATTTTCCATTTCTTGGAATGACTAATTTGTTAGGCTACCTTACATTGATTTTAGAATTCCCTATTCTATTTTATTCAGAGAATTTTTTTTTCAAATCTTAAGTAGACAAACAAAGTAAATCTAAAATTCTTTCTTTAGTTTCTTAAGTTAAAATAGGGATTTCTTTATTTTTCTTATTTTATTTTGTTTCCAAAAAGAATTAACTATCTTCTTCTAGTTCTATAAAATTTTCAGTCTTTTTTTCAATTTTCTTTATACCACTAACAATTTTATCACCCAATATTGATTCAAATTTATCTCTTGGTTCTGTTGGAATTGATTATTTATGAAGACGAAATAAAATATCTTGAGATTCATCTTATTTAGTAATGGAATGTGTGGCAATTTCATTAGGTTCTGTTTTCATTTTAGTTAAGGGGGTAAAGTTTTTTCTTCTGTCAGTTCTTAACTTTATATTATTGATATGTTAACTCTTCTGTTTCTTTGTAGGTACAATTTTGGATGTCTAATCATCTGATTTGATTCTTCTGGTTATTGGTAATTTGTAAACAGATAAATCGTTGATAATTTTATACTTTGATATAGATCCATCATGCAATGGAGAATTGAGAGTTGGAATACGTTTATTAGGGTTTATACGATGTCTTCATACTTATAATAGAGTTACAAATCTTTGAATTGAGAGGGAGAGTGTAATGGCTGAGCAATAATGGGAGTTTTCCTTCGAACTCCCTAACTGTTCGAAGGGGTATCCTCTTTATTGAGAAAGCTTATCTTATTTGTAGAATGACGAGATGAAAGATTAGGAGGTCTTATGAAATAGGGTTGCTGTTGTTTCATTTATTTTACAAATAAATAAAATATAATAATGAGATTTCTAATTGTAAATGGATTCAATGCATCTGCATCTTGTGCTAAAGTATTTGATTATTTTAGGAATAACATTTAGAATGTATATAATTATATTAGATTTAGATGATATCAAAATAAAGGGAAGTAGCTGATACTTAGTGTGAGTATCATTTTAGAGATCGGCATTCTTTAGATGATTTCCTTTATGAACCAGAAACAAGTTTAATTAGAATGGAATATGGATTGAAATTCAATTCAATAGATATTGTTTTCATAATAGCATCCCCTAATTCAAAACCTTGGAATCCAAATATGAGGAAAGTATTAATATTAATTTACCTTATTAAGATAGTAACTTTGATTAGAATGTGTTTGAAGACCAAAAAGTTATTATTCTCCACTTCATTTGGAGCATAGGCAATAGCTTATCTTTGTTCAACTAATTTTTCAGTAGTAACTAATTTATTTTTGATCTAAAGCATGCTTCTATTACTAACAATCATGGAGAAGGATGTAAATTGGTGGATTTTCCAAAATATACATTATAAGCATTAAAAAATGGTCCTAATGAATATTTTTTGGATTCCACTACTGGAGATCTTTATTTTTATTGTAAAATAACTGATGAATGGTTACCAAAAGCTAATATTGGATTACATAATAGGAGGGATGCTATGGAGTATCAATCTATTGGTAAATACATTGTCAAATCACCAACTTATAAACCTAAATAGAATATGTTGGAAAATTAAAGTGAAATGATGTGTTAGATAAAAAAACAATTCTTACATCATTGGTTATTTAGAGAAGTAACAATGGAATTTGCAATAACTTCTTACAATTAATGGGATATTCATGCTATTACATTTACAAATCCAGATAAAGTATTTATTGAAATACTTATATTAGAAATTCAACTCATTGGCAGAGCATAATTTGAGAGGACCATTAATAATTGAGAGTGACAATATAATAGCAACAATGTTTGAATTGGAACCAAAATAGAAGGATACTGTAAAAATATTATCTAATTTTATTGATAATGCTGTTAAATTGATTAGATTCAATAATAATTATAATAATATTAGCATTACAAATGATAAGTACTTTTCAGGGAATAAAGGATTAGATAATATTGAGATTGTATTTTAATAGAAAAGGAAGATAGGTAATTTGAATCCTGAAGATTTGTTAAAAAGATAATAGAAAAATTTTATGCATGAATATAGGAAATTATTGAATACTGCCATTTAAGAAACTGAAAGAGATAAGATATTTCATGTTGGATTCTCAGTTAAAAAGGATAGATTACCAGAGTATTACTTTATTAATATAGTTTTGTATAGCAAAATAATATCTAAGAGAAGAATTATAAAGTAGTGAGACGAAAATCGTTTCAAATGAAAAAGGCTCAATTCTTAAGATAACAGAGTTAGATTAATGTTGGTGGAGATGATGATTAATAAATGAGAGATTTATTAGATGAGGCTCCAAGAAAACCTTTACCATTCTAACGTGTTATATCAACTGCTAATAACAGTAAAAGATTAAACTCAAAAAAACATTCAAATCCAAAAACACCAAATACAATTGAAAAAGAAGACAATGAATTTCAAGATTTTGAAATAAAGGGAATAAATAATATCTCTGTTAGAAAAATGCTCCATCCTTCCTTAGATGATGAATTCTTAGGATCAAATAAGATATGGGTACCAGGATTCTTATCAAAGGATAAAAGTAAGAATAATCATATTGGTCAAAGTTAAAGAGGTTAACGCAATTAGAATAATAGATTTCACACTGATTCACTTGTCGGTTGATAAGAATAATTATTCAAATATAAATTATTTTATTTTTATGTAAAAATACGAAGTTCTTGGCATCATAGGTAAAGGTTCTTATGGTGTTGTACTCAAAGGTTAAAATAAAGAAACAGGAGAAGTAGAGCAAATTAATAATTTAGATTGTAGCTATCAAATAATATATTGGTTCTGAAGAAGATGAAAGTGTTAAAAAAACAATCTTAAGGGAAGTTAAACTTTTAAAAATGCTTAATCATGACTATATTGTTAAAATTAAAGAGGCCTTTAGAAGGTATTTATATAATGAAATTATTAATAGAAAAGGCAAACTTTATGTAGTATTAGAATATGTTGAAAAAAACTTATTAGAATTACTTGAAGAAAAACCGAATGGTTTAGATGTAAAATTTAATAATTATGATAGCCTGAATTAGCAAGAAGATTTATTTACTAATTATGTTTAGCCATTGCATATTGTCATTCACTTGAAATTTTACATAGAGATATTAAACCTGAAAACCTTCTTGTTAGTGATTAATATGTTTTGAAGGTTTGTGATTTTGGTTTTGCAAGACTAATTCCATAAAAATAAGGATAGTTAACTGATTATGTAGCAACTAGATGGTATAGAGCACCAGAATTACTATTGGGAGATGAATATGGCAAAGGGGTTGATATATGGGCTATTGGATGTATTATGGCTGAATTAACTGATGGGTAACCCTTATTTTAGGGTTAAACAGAAATGGATCAATTATATTTGATTTGTAAAGTTTAAATTAGTGTGATATTTCATAGTTACTAGGTCCTTTGACTAGTGAATAAAAAGAAGCTTTTCTTAAGAATCCTCGTTATGTCGGAATGAAATTTCATGAAATCACTAAACCAGACACAATTGAAAAAAAGTTTTAATCTAAACTTTCATTAAAAGCTATTTCATTTATTAAAGGATTATTGAAAATGGATCCTAATAAGAGAATGACTGCATTTGAGGCATTAGAACATCCATACTTTGATGGAATGAGAGATGATTAATATTATTAGTTTTTAAAAGAATTAAGAGATAAGGAATAAATACCAAAAGATAGAATACAATCTGCAAATAAAGTAGCTTTAAAATAAACACAATAACTTAATTAATAATAATAATAATAATAATAATAATAATAATAATAATAATAATAATAATAATAATAATAATAATAAGTATTATCATAATAAAAAGATAATTTAATAAGTAATAAAAGAATTGATAAATCAAATGAAAGGTATATTTTTATAATATTCTTATAGAAAAACATAATAAAAAGGAAATAATAATATATCTGTTGAAAGAGTAAATAATTTTGTTAAACCTGCACCTATAAAAACAGGAGAGAAAAATATTGGAGATTTTAATCCTTAAGAATCTAAATCAATGCCTAAAAAAGATGTTAATTCATAATTAGGTTTTTTATAAAAGAATGTGATTATTGGATATTAAGAAGGATAATTCGATAACTTTTTATAAAATAAAATGGCTTAAAATTATAATTATGAAATACCTGAAAATGATTTAAATAATTCAATTGAAGGAGAGAAAAAGTCTATGAATCTTAGGGCTAGAGCAAAGAAAAAATCATTTAATCCTGATATTATTGAAGATGATTAAACAACAATCATTAAATTAAAAAGAAAAGATTAATAATAATAATAATTATTTTAATAATAAATTCCATCATATTAAGTTAAAAAGAAATCTACTTAATTAAAGTAAAACTTTTATCCTACTGATGAATATTCTGGAGATGAATAGGAAGTCTATTAATCAAAAGAACTTTTGAACATTTAAAAAGGATAAAAATAATAATTATAATATAATTACAATATTGGGGAATGTAGAAATACTTAAGAAGATTAGGATAAGAATTTAAACATTGTGTATAACAATATAACTTATAATTATAATATTAATAATTCTCCTGGGTGGATGAGCAAGAAAAGAAATTGATTATTTAAATTTTATATCATATCATCATTTATCTTATAAAACCACAATTTGATTATATTGTATAATTAAATAATAATAATAATAAATAAGAAAAATTAATATTCAAATTGCATATTTAGTATTTCAAAGAGCATCAAACATCAGCTGTTAAAATTACTTAAAATTCATCTATAAATTAGTAATTATTATTACTTGATTATTTTCATAAACAGAAAATTACTATTTTAACTATTATTTTTTATTGTGATATAAAGTACACATTTTAGATAATTAAATAAATCCTTCTATGTCAGACAGTATTTTAAATGTTTCTTTTAGATTATCTTCTGTAATTAAAGTCTCTTTATTTATAACTCCAATTAAAAATTCTTAGAAATCAATTTCTCCATTTTTATTTATATCAATCCCTTTAAAAACAGCATCTACATGTTCTTTAACTTCCTAAAGACTACTAAAATGTTTGATATAAGCAATTGTGAGATCTTATTTACTTATCTTACCATCATGATTAACATCAAATTAACCAAAAAGTTGATATAGGAATTATTCTTAATCAGCTGAAAAAGTGGAAATCATGAATTATAGAAAGCAACACTAAAGAAAAGTCAAAGAATGATTAGTATTTAACTGTTTTACTATTAATTTCTATTCTTCATATTAAATCTCTATATTATGTTTAAGCCAATCATCATTTAAAACTTAATTCAAATTAATTCTTTTAGCAGGATCAAATTTGAAAAATCTTTTTAAAATATCCACAGATTCAGATGGTAAACATTTTTGTTTGAAATCTTCTGAAATTGAATAATCTCTTATTTCCTCAAATACTTCTTCTTTATTATTTCCTTTAAATGGAAATTCCCCAGTCAACATTTAATATAGTATTACTCCTATACTCCAAACATCTCTTTCAGGAGTGTAATCTTCAGGAAATTGGATAGCCTCAGGTGACATATATTAAAAGATTTCTTTTTCAGAAATATAGGATTTTAAGTAAATAGGTTTAAAATCAACTAATTTAATAAAATTAGAATTTGATTAATTACATTTCTGAAAAGAAGTCAGTGTTAATCCCCCATGATTCACTCCATATTAATGAAGATGCTTCACAATTTCTATAATCTACTTCAAAATTAATGCAGATTACTATTGAGTGTAAACAGATTTATGTAGGTTTTAAGTTAATAGAGGTCCGTTGCAAAAATCATGAATTATTTAATAATTATTACTATCCTAAAATATTTCGAAAATTCTTATTAAATTAGGATGTTACTAAAAATATCATATATAATATATATACTAATTAAGTTTAGACTATGGACTCAATTAGTTAAATTCCTTATTAAGTTTTTTTGATCATTTCAGCAACCATTATTTTACCACTTAGATTATGTTAGACTACAACGATGTGGTCTAACTATTTTATTCTATAATTGAATTAGTCTTTGTTTAACATTGTATAGTATTTTGAAAATTGGGCATTCTTTATTGAAACCCAAGTTTTGAGGGTTCCACGAAAGCCTGCATTTTCGACTATTTGATCAGCCCAAACCATATGTTTAACCTATCGAGTAGAAGGAGTTGCAGCAAACTTAGACAATACTTACTTTGGAGAAGAAGCAGTTGGTTTTATGCTTTTGATGCTTCTTTCAGATTTAACTAATCTTTGAATTTCTAGTGATTAATCATTTTGATTTAACTATTTTGTTTGTTATTCTACATGTTCTTTGATGTTTACATTCTATTTTCGCTTAGCTGAACAGATTCCCATATTTAAAAATAATATTTTATGTTTGATGTGATCAGTTTATTTAAGAAACTTGTATAAACTTAATTACTGTATAAATATTTGTATTAGAGTTATAAAGAGAATTTTGAGTACATTCTATTAGAATTTACAATTTACACTTTAAATGGTTCTTGGATATCAAATTAAATTAGTAATGAACATGTTAGAAATGAATATTAAAAATTTACTAAAATAAAAATTAAGGGTCGAGTATTTCATCATCTGTTTATGTTTATTTAAATGTCATTGATTTTGATTAGATTTCTAATGATACATACCTATTTATTTGTATGTATATGGTATTATAATAGGTGATATTTAATTAAATGAACATAGAAGAGTTAAAGGAAGCTATTAAAAGAATTGGGTAGTGTTAATAAGAGTAAGTAAAATCTAATAACATTAGGTCTTAATAGGATTTAGATATTGTGTTGTAACAAATCTAACACCCTGTAGGATTGGATTTATTGTTTCAATGTGCAAAGAACGTAATAGAATTCAGACAATACACAATGTTTTGGAAAGTAAGTATCATCTTATTATGAATAGTCTGCGAATAAAATCTTGATGAACATAGTGAAGTTGTGTTTAAATAATCAGGATTAATTGAAAGCCTGGGAGACAATGCGTCTAACCATAGATCCAGATAAACATTTCTATAAATGCCATGAGTTAGTATAGATGGATGAGGATTAGGTAATAGAATCCAATAGATTTTTAGTTTTCGCATCAGGAATTCACTTAATAAGAGTTTTGTGCAAATCTATTGGATGGATAATATGTAGATGCATTATATGAGGATGAAAAGGGCAATGTGATTGGATGGTGTAGGGCAAATATTGTTAAGATTAATGAGAAATATGTTTGGGTCAAATGGCATGACAATGAGGGAAAGAGAAAGATTGCTCGATATTCAATGGATTTGGCTCCATATAAAAGTCAAGTGACAGATGAAGAATGGAATTGGAGACATTCTCTTTGTGTTGGCGATATTATAGATTGTTTTGATAATCGTGTATGGTAGAATGCTACTATTATTACTGCATTAAATGAAGAAGAGAAGGAGTATCTTGTTGGATTTAGAGTGTATGATGAAAAGGGCAATTAATATGATTAATAAAGTAGGAGATTCTTTGGTTGGAATTAATAATATGATGAAAGAATTAAAGCAGTGAGTCCAAGAATTTAGAAAAGAAATTTATTTTCAAGAGGACAACCTTCTAATCCTCATTGTTAAGAGGAAATTATCCATGATTGTAATGATTTTCTTTATCCAAACACTGATTATGCAGTACCACGATTTTAAACTAAATAAGCTAGGAGATCTATTGTTATTTGTGAAATGATCAATGAATTTGGTCGGGCTGGATTATTTTAATACATATTAGATTAAATTCTCAATAAATGCACCATAGATTTCTTACATGCATATATGTTATTATTGAATAATTTCCATGAAATGTTACATAGATAATTTGTTTAAACTTATGTTCCATAATTATTTGAAGCAGTTTAAAATAATATTTTATTATCAGCTGATAACAATCTTAGAAACTTCACATTATAAAAGATAACTGATATTTTATAAACATTAAGTAATTTATTGAAAAGAGTTTATGCATTACAAAAAAGATAGGAAATGATAGATAGATTGGATTTGGATATAGCTTATAAGTGTTTTACAAGTGATTTTTTAGAAAGAAAGATTTAAGGTTTAAAGGCAATTTAAGAGTTAATAAAGAAGACAAAAGATTAATATAATCAATATGGAATGTAAGAATAGTAAAAACAGGCAACTACATAAATGATATTGGAATGGTTAAATGAGAAGAAGATTTTTGAGAGTCTTTATGTTGGGTCTGGAAATTCTCATTTAGTATAAAGAAGTGCAGAATTCTTTAAGTTTTTGATAGAGGAGAAAATGATTAGCTTAAATAATTTCAAAGATATATGGAATAATTTAGAAAAAGCTGAATATGAACATAAATTAGCTATCTTTAAATTATTTAAAGATGTTTCAAACTCTTTAGAAAAGGAATGGTTAGATTTCTTGACTGATGCTGTATGTACTAAAGATCCAAAGGATATCACTAAGGATGATTTGGAATTATTACTTGATATAATTAAGATTAATTTTAGATATAAAGATGAGTATATCTAGAAATGTTGTAATTATTATTGGACAGTATTGAAGAGTGGATAATTGAATTAAATAATGTTGGAATAATATATATCATATTATATTGATTAAGTAACATAATATGAAATGAGACCACATAAAGGAGCCTAGATTAGTATGATTGGAGAAAGTATTGTGAAAGGAGAATAAGTTAATGTAGGTTTGAGAGTGTTAATTAAGTTGATAGAGAAATTAGACATTTAACCAGTAGCTTGGGAATAATATACAAGAAATGTGGCATTGACAGATTTGGAAAGTAAATTTAAAATAGTTGAAGAGATAATTAAATCTATTCCTGAATTAAAAAAATAAAAAGATTATTTTGATGAAATCAAGATTAGAATGTAATTTATTTAATTCTTCTATTAAAACATAAATACTTATGAATATAGATTAACTTTTAATATCATTTCAAGTATATGGGAATAATTGGTTTGTTAATCATCTAGTCAATAAGAAAAAGATTTAGTGTATAAATGGTTTAGTGCATTATCAACTTAAGATGGACAATCACAATTAACATCTATGGTGGCTATATAAGATCTTAAATCATTTTTCAATGAGAAAATGACAAATGATCTTATTTAATTGACTGAAGAAGGATTTAATTGTTTTAAGACAGTTTTGACAGCAATAAATAAATAATAAGAAAATGGTTTTGGACTTGATGTGTTGTGGAAAATGATTTTAGAAACAGAAAATGAGAAAGTTTCTTTATCTGCAATAGATTATTATCTTTAATTTTAAAGTACATTAGATGTTTTATTCAATAAATTATAAGAAAATAGAAATAATGATTAGAAATTATATAGGTGTTTATTAGTATTAGAAGGATTCATAGATTAAAGTGAAGTGGATGGAGTAGGTAATTTAAAGAGTTTGAATGCTTTATCATAAGGAGAAGAATTGTAAATATAAGTTTCATATGAACATGGAAATTAAAAGAAATTTACTATAAAAATAAATGATAATTAAACTATTATTGAATTGAGATTAGCAATTAGTAAAGTTATTAAATAATAATGGGATTCAATTGGATTGAATAGTTTGAAAGGTGAAATTAAGTTTACTGATAATGGTAAGATGATTAAAGATTTAAGATTAAAAAAGGGGGAAATAATAATGGTTTTTAGAAAATAAGTAAAAGAAATACCAGAAGTTAATCTATTGAATGGAGATGAATTATCAGAGCCTGCAAAATAAGTATTTGGTGAAATCTTTACTGATTATTCAACTGATGGTAAAATGAGTAAAGAAGATTGTACTAGATTTGTTACTGGTTGTACAGGTAATCCTTGTAGTATTGATGATGCCAATATCTAAAGAACATTTGAATAATATGATAAGGATAAAGATTCCATTTTAACTTTGAATGATTTCTTAGATTTTTACACTGATTCTGCAAGAACAAAGAAATCAACAGTCTGGTTAAATCTTTAAACTTTACATTATAGAAATGATCTTATTAGAGGAGATAGAGTACCTTTACCTTTAGTGAATGCACAATTATTACCAAGAGGATAAATTGTATAGAATCAAAGGTATTTGGATTTGCTCTTTGATCTTTTATAGAATTCAAGTAATGAAGTTTAAGAGAAAACTTGGTATTTATTAAGAAGATTACCTCCCTCACCATAATTGATTAAGTAGATGCTCACTTTTGAGAATATCTAATAACCAACTGATTGGGATTAGATTTTAGTTAGTAGTCATTATAGATTATTGTACAGTCTATATATTATTGAATTTCTGATGAATCAATATGATTCAAATAATTTATAAGCATTAATAGATGATCAAGAAATACTTGTTTTGAAGGATAAATGGATGAGTAAGTTTTTATAATTAGGTGGATTCGATAAGTTATTACAATTCTTTAAATAATATTAAGGAAGGAGTGTAAGTAATTTACCTCAAATTGAGAAAGAAATCTTATCATTCCTTTTAAATACATTCTAAAATTATATTATTGCTGCTTGTGCTACTAATGTTGCTAATTTGTATAAGGCATCAAGAGGTATTTAAATAATTAAACCTTTGGATCAAGTATTATTAGATATCAGATAATCAGAAGATCCTGAAGAGTTTAAATTATTAGTATAAAAATTGAAAGAGAGTCGTCTTGGTGATAGTATCACTGAGAAGATTGAAAAATTCATTAGTGTCTTAATTAATTTAATTTAAGAATTACTTAAGAGTAATGAATTAGAATAAGAAGATAGATAAATTATTGAACATAGTGTTATAATAATAATTGTAATATTATTACATAATTAAGAATTATTAACAAGTAGCATAGAAAATGTTGAATTCATTAATATTTTCTTTAGTGGAATCTTTACTGATAAATCTGATAGTGTACGTAATTTATTTAGCAGAGCAATATTAGTGCTTTGTCATGAAAGTCAGAAAAGAAATAATTAGCCTACTAAAATTATATTATAATAATTGATATCTATGTAAAATCAACAATCTAATTCATCATAATATTATGAATTATTAAGTTAATTAATTGACAGTGCTTTTGAGAGTGAAGACTCTTAATAGTTTATTGATTATTAATAATTGACTTAGTAAGTGATTGATGGTTTGGTTAATCATAAAAGTGTAGAGACTAGATAAAAATCTACAAATGTTGATAAAATACTTATTGGTTTATTGAATTTGTTAACAAAATTGTACAAATTCATTAAATAACCAATTCATGATATTATATTTAATGATTGTTTGTTTAGTCTTTAAGATGAAAAAGAGGTAAAATGTAAATCAAATGAAAGTAGATAAACTGCATTCAAATTGTTATATTAATTATCTCATCAATAGAATAATTGTGAAAGCATTCTTTTAAATCTATAATAGTTGAGTTAGAAGATTCCTATTATAAATAGATGGAATTATATACCTTCAAGTGATATGAGAAGTTCTTTTGGTTATTCTGGAATAAGAAATTTAAGATGTATATGTTACATGAATGCTATGCTTCAATAATTTTATATGACTATTCCATTTAGATATGGTATATTATAAGCTGATGATGGTAAAGAACCTGATATGCAATTAAGTAAAACAGGTTTTTAATTTGATGATAATGTCCTACATCAATTATAATAAATGTTTAGTTATTTAGAGTTATCTGATCGTGTTGATTATAATCCTTAAGAGTTCTGTGCAGCATTTAAGGATTATGCAGGAGAACCAGTCAACATTTTTATTTAATAGGATGCTCAAGAATTTTTGAATATGATTTTTGATAAATTAGAGAATCTCCTTAAGGACACAGTCTATAAGAATATTTTAGATGGAGTTTTTGGAGGAAAAACCTGTACTCAAATTGAATGTTAGAATTGTAAAGCTATAAAAAATAAGGATGAAATATTTTATAATTTATCTGTTCCAATTAAGAATCTCAAAAACTTATAAGAATGTTTCGATAAGTTCGTTTAAGGTGAAATCATCTCAGATTTTAAATGTGAAAGTTGTAATTAAAAAGTGGATGTAAGTAAGAGATAATTGTTAGCTTAATTACCAAATGTTTTAATATTACATTTATAAAGAATTGTATTCAATTTAGATACATTTATGAATGAAAAAATTAATTCTCGTTTAGAATTCCCAATTAATTTGGATTTAGCATAATATACTATTAATTAAGATCAATGTACATAATATAAGTTGGTTGGTATAGTAGTTCATTTGGGAACTGCTGATGTAGGTCATTATTTTAGTTATATTGATATCAAAACTCAAAATTAATGGTTGGAATTCAATGATCATAAAATAAAAGAATTTAAATTGAAATAAATGGAAAATGAATGTTTTGGTGGTTAATCAAATTTAGAATATAATGATAATGATGTTTGGGGTAATGGTTTTAGAGAGAACTCTTAAAATGCTTATATGTTAATTTATGAAAAAGTAGAAAAAGATAAAATTCAATTAGAATTCAAGTCTTAAGAAGAATTATAATAATAATTGTCTAAATTTGACAATTATATTATATAACCAAATAATGTATTATTAGTAGATTATAATTCATTCAAACCATATATTCCTAGTTAATATCATAAAAAAGTGAATAGTGATAATTAATAGTTTTTATTGGAAAGAAATCTATTCAACCAAGAATTTATGAAATTTATATTAGAGATATGTGATTTTGTGAATAATGATAATGCAAATATAATAATAGAAATACTTATTCGATTTAATTATGATTTATTGGCTCGTGCTTATGATAATTCTATCCTTGAATAATTTAATACAAAGATTTTACAATTGATTTAATAATATCCAAATAGTAATTATCTTGATTTAATATACTTTGGTAAATAAACCAAAGTAATAGATCTCTTGTTAGTTTGTCCAGAATCTAGAACTCGTAAATACTTTGGCAAATTATTGTCTACCCTATTCAATTAAACTATTTAAATTTAAGGGGAAATAACAGAAAAGATTTCTGAAGGTTTGGATTAATTATTCCTTATGTTATAAGATCAAGTACCTAAGAATTGGACACGTTTTGATTAATATTTCTAATTTTGGCTAGATTTTCTAAAAGAAGGCAAAATCTAAATGTAATATTGTTTGGACAAAGATATGATTCTGTATATGATTGATTTCATTCTAGATAAAAGTAGTCCATTATAGTTATACGAAAAGAAAACACAAATGGGAAATGCTTATTTCCCAATTAATTGTTAAATTCCTATGTAAATTATAAGTACTCTACTTTAATAAAATCATCAACTTAGTCTTCAAGAGAAGAAATTACTCTATTCACCTAAATTCTATGATAAAGCTCTTAAAAGTACAAAAATTGAAGAACTAAATCCAATCATTATTAAATTTGCTTATAATAATAGATATTTCTCAGAAATCATAGCTGGATGTATTTTGAGAGGTCTAGGTAATGGGGATATTGATGAATTCAAAAATTATCTCTATTTGGCTATACCATTCTTATTAATTAAAGATAATCTACAAATTGAAAGATTGGAATGGTTAGTAGGAATCCCATCATCAAAATAGAAAGATTCAGTTAAAGTATTTGATGGTTAATTAATTGAACATCCATAATTTGGATTATTTGGATTAACTAGTTTAGAAGAAGATTACTGGACATTTGCTAGTCCTTTGGGATGGTAAAATAGTCTTTTTGATAATTTTTGCTCTCATAGAACAATTAAGAATTTGGATAATTAATGTTTATTAATACTTAAATTATTATTAATGATTAGTCTCGAATGTGAGACCTGTTATAATTATGTCTCCAAATTACCTTGTGTTAATTATCAATATGTAATTATTATTATTCATTTTATTAGAAATACATGGAAGAAATTTTCAAAGCTTTCATTGAAACATATATCATAGATACCAAAAGATTCTATTCCCAATATCCTCGAAAACAAGAAACAGATGAGGTTAAAGGATATTTGGATTAATATTGTACCAAAGTTTCATAAATTCATAATGAATTTTAACCTCAATTTGATTACATTATTGGAAAGACTATTGAAGTTACTAAAGTCAGAAAAACCTATTTCTTATACAATCCTTGTACAAAAGAAGAAATAACAATAGATGAAGGATCTGAAGGTTTTGATGAAATTAAATAGTAGATTGAAGAAAGTACTTTACAAAAGGTTCTTACAATGGAAGTAATTTAATAAAATTATAATTAATATAGGAAAAGATATATACAACACATGTTTGCGATAATCTACCAAATGGAAATACTAATGAGTCCTTACCATAATAATATGTTAAAGGAACCTAAATTCTTACTTATTCTGTAGATCCCAATTGTTAAGCTGCAAACTTCCTCTAATCAAATTCTTGGAGTGCTGACAATGATGACAAAGCCACAGTAACTAATCCAAGAATTGCTAAAACTGTTAAATAGATTTAGATTCAGAATCACACTAATAGAAATTTACATGTTATCTTAGAAATCAAAGGTGAACCAAATCCTTGTCATTACATTCCAAAATCTAAGATTTAATCACTTATGAGCTCTAAGAGTTCGACTACAATGTTCACAGCTATTAAAAACAATTGTAATTAAGAATTCCCACCCCTTTAATTGACATTAGTGTATAAAAAATAAGAGCCGAGACAAGACTCTTACCTATATTTATCGTCTTCAGATGAAATGAATTTGGAATTATTATGATATATATAAAAAATATATATAAAATCATTTGAATCTTAAATTCATTTATACTCATTAAACAATATCAAATTAAAAATCTTTAAAAAAAATTCAATAAGAATGATAAATATATATATATATTTCGTTTGTTTAATTAAATACAAATGTGGGGGGGTCTTTCGACCTCTAAAAATTTATGTAAGTCACCGGTATGAGCCCAACCCACGGTAATCTTTAGTAAAAGGCGAAAAATTAGCACGTTATAGGTTGAGCTCGGTGATGAATAAGTTTTATAATAAGTATAATTTACTTAAATATAAAATTCAATTTTCTCATTTTATGGGTTTTAATAATTGTATTAAATTATTTAAAATTAAAATATTTCTTCCCTCCTTTTCATTGAGTCAATTAAAAAGTTATGCAATTAGACATCATCATTTCCTAGTTATTTCTTAGAAGAAAGACTGAATTTCGCTAGAAAGAGATTGTTACTTCCTTATAATATGAAAATTATTAATTGAGTATTAAAAATTAGATTAAAGAATCAAGCATTTAATTTTGTATATTCTTACATTAAGTTGCTTTGAAATACTTAAAATTAATATTCCTTTTTATTTGAATATTCTTAACTTTTTTTGGTTAATCTGAATCAATTAAAAATATATTTTCATTAGTTATATCTATTTCTTATTTTCTTTTATATATTGACTCAAAAGGTACTTGATATGACTATCAAAAAGAGATTAAATATTATATTTCACAATATATTTTTTATAAATACTTTTAATATATAAATAATTTATTAGAACAATAACAAATAGTGATTTTCATTCTGAATTTATGAAATACAAATTAAGTTATTTTAGCAATATTACTAATTATACAATAAGATGATATATTGAATAATTTTAGGGTTCCAATAAGATTTAATATTATTATTATTTAAATTAACTTAATATCATTGATTAATGTATTAGAATTAGAATTGAAGGGTGAAGTATGTAGTTTGTAGATTTGTAATTGGTAATTGGTAATTTCATATAATTTCATATAATTTACATTTTAATTATTTTAACAGTTAGTTATGAACAAGGCTTTTCAAAGAAGTAATCATAAATAACAATAAAAGAGCATTCTGATAATAGTATTCTCAAAGGCAAAATACAACATCATACTCAACAGAGAAGTCCCATGAGTACAAAAGAAAATGATATCAAATTCAAATACCCTGAAGTTCTTCGACGAAAAGAATCCAAACCATTGTAAGTGCAAACCAATTAATCAGATATGAGATCACCAAGTGCTTAATCTACATAATCTCCAATAAATAGTAATAAATTTAATATATTATTAAGAGAGCATTCTCATTACTCATCGATCTTAATCAATGTTTTAAGATGCATAATATATAGATTATATTATCACTAATAAAGAAGTGAATTTATTTCTTAAAAAGCACTTCCTACATGAACATATGCATACTAATAGTTCAAGAAATACAAATACTAAATTAATTTGTGATTCTTGGGATAAAGTGCCTGTAACCTATTTTATTAAAGCTTTATTTAATGAATATCCAGAAATCATAGAGGATCATCATCTAAATGAAAAATTGAATATTAAATTAAAAACTCTCATAAAAGACTTGATTTCTGAAGATGGATAACTTTTATCATTGAATAAACTTTAAATTCATACTCGTCATTTAGGATTATTGGGATTGTTACTGACTGCTCTAAGAGATATTTAAGATGCACCTACTGTAAATCATAATACTCCTCATAATTAATCTATCTCATATGAATAAGATATCTCGGTTACTTAATAATAATAATCCAAATTTCATAAGATGGCTTCAGAGATAACATAATCAGCTGAAAATCGAATAAATGAATTAGTAAATTTGAAATTGCAATAATTCACAGTCAAATAAAAAGAATTAGAAAAATAGATATAATAATTAAAATAGAAGGCAACTGAAAATTTTGATTTATTTTAGCATGAGGCAAAAAATAAATAAGTGATTACTAATTTAACTTAATAATTATAATAGAAAGATCAAATTATAGCAGATCTAGAATAAAAACTCATTAAGAAATGGATGAATTCATCAATAGAAGAAGAAATGCATGCAAATAAAATTACCTAACCTAAAGCATCTCCAATAAAAATTTAGAGTCCAAGTCAATCTCCATTTAATGATAGCAATCAATATTTATAAAGAATGATTAGTAATTTATGTAATGTCTGGGATTTAGGTTGTATAAATGAAGATTATAGATTTGCTTAGATTTTAACAGCATAAGAAAATAATTAAATGCCTTACTAACATTTTCAATTAATTCCCATAATAAAAACAATACCTAATTTTAATGATTTTATTATTAAAACATAAAATAACATACACATAATAACTAATTTTATTTAGAATTGTATGAATAATGATAACAATATTATATTGGATTTGTATTATGAAATTATCACTCTACTTCCTAATTTAAAAATTAGTGATCAAGATTAATATTTAATTAATGTAATGTAATTATTTCTAAAATTAACTGTAACAATTTTGTAGATCAAAACTGTATTCAATATAAATAAATTAAAAGAATGGGTAAGTATCAAAAGACAACTAACTGAATAACAGAATTAATTTATTAAAAATCTTATTAATTAGATAATCTAAATTAATCAATACAGTATTAAATAAGTACCTCAATCAAAATTATGGAATCAATAATAGATTTATCATGACTAATATGTGTCAGAATATAATAATAGATTAATTGAAAATTAAGTAATCAATAATATATTAAGAAAATAATTAAATTAGATACATAATAAATAGAATACAAGATTGTCTCTTATTATTAGAATTGTTTAATGTTTTTATTATAATGATGTTGAAGAATTAATTGGTCTCATGTAATCAATTTAAGGTGAAACAGATGTAGATATATATTTATCTAAACTAATCCTAGATTGTGATTGCATAAATTTAATATTGTTTCCTAGTTTGTTCAATCCAAAATATGTTCTTAAATCAATCACTAATTTACTTTAATTTAAATGTCCTGGCTAATTTTACTTATTATATACTAAATAAGTGTGTTAAATTAGAAACATCGATTTATTGATCGATTTATTAACTAAAATGCATAACACTATGAATTCAGATGTTGTTATTAAATTATGGGATGTGCTTGGAGCTATTGCTAAGAGTGCAACCTTAAAGGAATGTAAAGAAGGTCTTTAATTTGTAATAAGATTATATTCAAATTCTCATCAAGCAACAATATAACATAATATATAATAAGTATAAAAAAATTTAGCAATCCCAATCTGATTTTTTATTTTCAAATATTATTAAATAAATTAATTAAAAAATGAATATTTTGAATTAACACTAAAATGCATTTCCACATCTCTTAACTATCATTGATAGCATGAGAGTATACTAGGAATCTAGATTGTGGAAATAGCTAAGTGATTAATTATTGGTCTATATAAAGGATCCTTAAGTAAATTAAGGAACCCATTTGAAAGATCTTTTTGAGGGTTTTGTTAAGAAATTTTATCAGGAAATTGATGAAATGAAATTAGTGCGTATTCTCATTAAGACTGCAGAATAGTATGGAGATTTTCAAAGCAGAATAGATTTCCTTAAATAATTTAAATTGGATGAATAACCTCAATTAGTCATTGATATTTTAATTGCCTTCTTTAAGTTATAATAGGGATAATTATAAGAAGTTGATGAATTATTAAAATAATACAAACAAAAGAGTGAAAAATTATAGGAGGTTGATCCACTTGTATATTCAATGCTATACTATTTGGCATATAATTTCTATAAAATTAAGAATATCTATGAAGAATTCTATGTTAATGCTTTATAATATCTTGCATATACAAATGATTAGGATATGTTACAAGAATAAAAGGTACAACTCTCCTATGAGATGGCACTTGCAGTTTTGATTTCACCAAATATCTATAATTTCAGTGAATTATTACAATAACCAGTTTTAGTTAGTTTAAAAGAAAGTGCTTAATATAATTGGGTTTATCAATTGTTAGATATTTTTAATAGAGGAAGTGTTAGAGAATTGAATAGCTTCTAATGGAATGAAGAGAGAAAAGGATATTTTCCAAATTTTCAAGTTCTAAATGAAAAAATTAGAATAATGGCATTTCTTGAATTAGCATTTTCTTTACCTAAAAATAATAGGGTTTGTACTTTTGAAGAATTAGCTTAAGTTTCAGAGTTACCCTTAAATGACATTGAAAGATTAGTGATGAGAACAATCAGTAAAAATTTAGTAAAGGGAAGAATAAATTAAGTAATATTATTGATAAACAATGATAGGTAAAATAAACGATCACAATTTCTTATGTTGTTCCAAGGGTTTTGACAATGGATAAAATTGAGATTATTAATAAGAAATTTGGTAATTGGGAGAAATCATTGAATATCTTTCTTAAAGAAGTTGAAGATGTGAGGAAGACATTTAATTGATATATATAAATGTATAAAATCAATTAATTATTTACATATATATATATTTAATAGATTTGTAATATTTATTAATAATTATGAATAAGAATAAATAATAAATTTTTATTAACAATCATTCAATTTTAATAGAATCAAATTTTAAATTTTGGTTTAAGGGAAACTTTCTTTGTTAAATAGATATCTATGTTTTCTTTATCATGATTAGATTCCTATAATGAATAACTAATATTTCTTAATGGTTATTTGGTTATTAATTCGATAGAATAATTTTATTTATTTTTAAGTGGTGTATATGTAGAAAACTAATCACTAAAATTATTTGAGACTTATTTTAATTTTACTTTGAGATCTTCTTTTGTAATATTTAATTAATTGATAGTGATTTAATTTTCTGAATGAATCATTTTTAGAATTGATAATTCTTGTGTGTAGCTATCCAATTTTTTAGAAAGAAATCTGTCAAATTATTACAATTATGTGTTTATTTTGGATATTATTTGATTTTAATCTAATTATTAAGTGATTTCACTAATAATCCATGAGCATAATTATTTATACTCAATTAAAACAGATTCTATTAAATTCCCATAATTATAGGATTTTTTGGATAGACAATTTAATTGAGAACCACCTCTAAAAAGTAAATATTTAATTATACTTATAAGGTACTTTTAGAGGAGTGATAGATTATTCAGATTTGCAAATAGCTCTGCAATTATTTGATATACTAGAGATACTAGAAATAGTTGATTTCATATTATTCGTTAAAATTATTAATAAAAATAAATCAAATAATAGATAAAGTCTATCAGAATTTCAATGAATTTCATAATGAATTAACTTCCCTTTATTTTTATTTAGAAATGGAGAATTAAAAGTTATAACAATAAGTATTAGAAGATTACTTGTTGGATTCAATTCTCTTTTAATATAATAGTATAATTATATATTTATGATGAAATTGTAGAATATCGATAATCAATTTTTTTAAGTTGGAACTCAACAAAAAGAATTCAAAATATATTCAATAAAATTATAATCTCATTTATAAAGGGTTGATAATTTTTTGAATATATGAGATGTTCAATTTAAGAACATTCATCTCGATATTGAAATCATTTCTTCTTTTAAGTGTAAATTATGGAACATTTTTATTCAAAATTATAAGATTTCTATAATTATAATTTATAACTAAATTTGATAATGGCAGCATCTTTACATGTTCAATTTTATTTAGATAAACTAATGAGTATTGATAAAGAATTAGGTGGAACAGCAGCAGCTTGTATAAAATATTTATATTTCTTTATAGAAAAAAAGGCTGGAGATGATTTTACCAGTTTAAAGGATTCAATCCATACATTGTTGTTTTAGTTGAGATCGAAAATTGAATAAAAATAAAAATATGCTAATGTTTAAAGGAATGTTGAGACAATAAAAATAGACGTTGAAATAAAAGACTTAATAACTGATATTGAAAGTTTGTTAGATAAGTTGAATGATGCTTTGAGAAAATAATCTAAAGATAAAAAGGTATTAATAATTCATAAATTATAAGAAATACCCTGAATAAAATATCCAAGCCAAACAAAAGATCTATTCAAACTATAGATAATAACTTTATGATTTACAACAATTATTAGATCCAAATGCAGTCATTGATTTATAATAAACTAACAATAGTGTAGAAACAGTGAGTGCTTTAAAGATGAAATTGATGGATCAAGATGGTAGAAAGCCACCACCATCATAATAAATGACTCAAGAGGAAAAAGATGCTATGTAGAAATTTAAATAAAATGATGAAATAATGGATAAATAACTTGATATTCTTATTGATGGTACTTAATAATGGAAAGAGAATGCTTAGAAAATTGGTCAAGTATTATTTTGATATTATTTAAATAGAAAATTGATTATACTACAAATTAAATAGACAAATTGACTGTTTAAGTAGATAAAACTAATGAAGAATTATACAAATAGAATAGTTAGTTGAAGAAAATTGTTGTAAAGTATAGACAACCAAATAAGTTTTGTTTGGATATGGTTCTAATATTCATCTTAATTGGATTATGTGGAGTTATCTATGTAATTCTAAAATGAATAAATAAATACATCAATAATTTAGAATAATTTAAATAATTATAATAATAAATATAAATATAAAGTAGCAAATATTCAACATCTTCTTATTGATATATCAAAAAGATATTCTAAATAAAATGAAAATTTTTATTATTATTCAGATTTGATTTATTATTTATTAAGACTTGTATTAATTTCTAAATATTTATTATACATATCCATTTTTGGATCATTTTGTAATATAATAATATCCAAATGTAATTATATATTATTAAATTGTCAATTATCTCATTTAACTATTAAATGCTCTCATGATTAGGACATAATCAAATTTGTATTTAAAATTTTGATTAATTTTAAACTCTATTCTCTATAGAGAAGTGAAAACTATAAGTATAAATAATATATTGAATATAAAGAGAGTATTTATTTGATTTATTTCAATATTATTAGGAAGACATGATAGGATAAAATAATAATGATATAACTATTATTTTTAAATAAAACTAATCATTCTTTCAATTTCTTTTGATTATTGTATCGTATTACTTTTATATATCTTTTTCTAATTCCAGTGTATATTCTACATTAATAATATTACATTTTTTCAAGAACTCTTATGTTGTACAGCCTACAAATTCACAAGCAAATGATGCTAACATTAAATTAGATAAATGTTCAAAGCCTAAGTCATCTGCAAATTTTAATATGAATTGTCTTTCAATAGGTGTAATTGATCTTAAGAAATTGCATTCTGTCTCATTCAAATAAGTCTCAATTTTTCCATTAGGAACAGGTTTTGGGATTACAGAAATGTCAGAGGATAATAATTTTTAGAGAAATTCAATGACTTTATTAACAATTACACTTTCTACTTTTAAATTCAAAATAGTCTTGTTTCTAGAGTTTTCTAAGATAATGAATTTAGTTATTACCTTGAATTTGAGAATAAGTTTTACTAAACTTCTATAAAATTGGGACAGGAATAGTAATTTATTTATCATCTTATGTATTGATCATCATTTTGACCAAAAAATATAATATAAAAATAATTATTATAAATTAACCAAGCTTATTTTGATAGAAATGGATAGACAGTAAGAGTTTCATATATATACTTATTGTATGAATAGTAATTTCATATCATTCTATTATTATCATATTTGCTTTCAATAAATTATTAAAATCAAGAATGGGGTCTTGTACTCAGAAACTGAAAAAGGCAAACCAAGAAAATTAATAAAAAAAGCAAATGTAAAAAACTTTACAGGCTCATCATTCAAAAAATCAATCAATTCAAACTCAAGAATCTGTTCAAGAGAAAAAAAAGAAAGAAAAGTTTTTGTAAACTGATTAATCTCTTAACATTCATAATTTCATTCTTATTCAAACTTGTAAATTGTCTAAAGTTTATTCAATTATTTCAAATAGCAATAAGGATAATTTAGTTTAAATCTAAAGCAAGACATCAAATGAAAATATATAGATTATATAGAACAATTTGACTGGAAGAATAAGAATAATGGAGACACTTAGATTAGATGATAAATAAACCAAACAATATATAGATAATATTATTGCAAATCCTTTAGTATTTTTAATATAAAGAATATTAGTCACATCCTAACATTGCTTAAACACATGAGATGTATTAAGACGATGAAACTATTCATATAATACATGATTATTGTAGTGGAGGAAGATTAAGTACCTTATCTATCAAACAAGGTCAGGGTATAAATGAGCATATAGCATTGAAAGTTTTGGTTCAGATGATAGAATCATTGAATTATTTACATATGAAAGGATTTAATCATGGTCATTTAACATACAATAGTTTTTCAAGAATTGATGAATCAGAAAACTATTTTATTAAACTCACTGATACAAAACCAATTTATATAAAACCTTAGATTACGTTTGAACAACTATAATTTTTGGCTCCAGAAATAATTGATAATGATTAAGATTATTCAATAGCTAGAGATGTTTGGTCTATAGGAATGATATTTTATAAACTTTTAACAGGCAATTTACCATATTCATCTACTTAATCAAACAAATTAAAATCAGAAATACGAAAAGGTATAATATAATATACTGAATTATAATTTGATAAAATCTCATCAAGATCAAAAGAATTATTAAATAAATTACTTTAATTTAATCCATCAATAAGATCTGATCTTAATTCAATCATTAAATCACCTATGTATAGAAAATTAGTTTCTTAAACAAAATAAATTAGTCAATAATCTGTAAATGCTTTAACTAATATTAAACCAGCCAATGTTATATAATCATTGTTTTTATAATTTTTGGTTAGTTAATTTTGTTAAAACTAATAAAATGAAATTTATTAAATGTTCAACAAATATGATTAAAATGGAGATGCTAAATTAAATAAAGCTGAAATTTGTGAACTTTTATTTTAATAATTAAGATCTAAAGAATAAGCATAAAAACATGTAGATTTAATATTTTAAGCAATTGATACAGATCATAATGGTACAATTGATTGTGATGAATTCATTAGATGTATTGTTGATAGATAAGCTTTGATAACTACTCCTAATCTAAAATCTATATTTAAATTATTGTCTAATGGTAAAGGATCAATTCATAAGAAAAGATTTATACAATGTTTCTAGGTTGATAAAAAATAAGCTGATGAGATGTTTGCTTCAATTACCAAATCAAAGAGAATCACTTTTAAAGTATTTTCCAAAACCATGATGGAACTTGTTTGAGTGATATAAGTATTTAATACTAATTTTTGATTTATTATTTTATATATATGGAAGAACCTTTAATTTAGAATGAAGAAATAGAATCAAAAATTCCAAATGAAAAAGTCATGACTAGACTTATCAAAGGTGAGTTTAGGTTTGAGAGAAGATAATACATATTTTTAAATGTTAATACAGTCAATTTAGTAATTGAATGCATAAAGTAATTAGGTTTTAACTATTTATAATCTGATTGGTCCTATTAATATTGAAGCATAGAAATCATTAATATTTTATGAAGATACTAGAGTACCTTTAAATGATCAGGACTTCACTTTAATGAATTTATTAAATGCTTTGATTGTAGTTCATCTATTGAGAATATTCACTTGTTTATTAGGTTTCTTTAGTGTATCATAAGTAATCAAATATATTCAATAATATAGAAATCTGGTAAAATTATGACTTATTTTATGATAATGTCTACAGTTTGTGTACTTTGTAGAGGAATTCTATCCTTATTAATTGTGTTAAATTATACAGCAATAAAAGATACTTGTAATATGATATTTGGAGGTTATACTGATGATATTGGTTCATTAATGGCAATGTAATTTTTGGTAGTACTTATACTTTTTGTAATTGCAGAGATTTTGCTTGCTTTGATTTCATTAATATAATGTTCAAAAACTAAAGAGGAATATAGAAGTACATAAATTCTATGATATCTTAGTTTGGATTAAACATAAAGAGAAAATGATGAAGAATTATGAATTATGTTATGAAGTCGCCATTTGTTAATTAGATGAATGATTATTATTAAATATGTGTAACATTCAATTTGATATATTATATAGATATTGTAATCATATTCTTATTCATTTCTTATATTATTTATTTATACATTGTAAATTTCAACTTAATGAGAAATAATTAAAACATTATTAAAAGATTATCATCATTAAGTGTTTTGACATTTTAATTTTATATGATATATATATATAAATAAGATCGTTTTGTTTTTTTGTATAATTAGCTAATATTTTATTACTTTTATGCAAATAAAACTTTATTTCATTTTATTAAATGTAAGAAATTTTGTACTTGAATTATATTTTACAAATAAAGACTTATAAAATAACGCAAAACTTTTATTATCAGATAATATATAAATAAATATTATTAATTCGTTATGGGCAATTGTAGCACAAAAAAGAGAGTTAAAAAATAATCAGAAGTAGTTGTATCTACTGAAGGACCTGATGAAAAAACTAGAATCGATAGAAAATAATAAAAGTCTTAAACTTTAACTCCTATTCTTGCTAAAACTTTTTTATCTGACACAGTAAATGAGTCAGTTATTTCAATTCGTTCTACAAAAAAAATTCTTGATTAATAGAAATAACCAATCTAAATAAGATCTGGACTCTTTAGAGTCTATACTTTATTAGGAGGTAGGCCTGATTCTTTTTTAGAAAAATTAGATGATAAACAAATTAGGATAGTCTAACATAATATTAGTGGAAGTAAAAAAAGGGTAGAGACTATTAATAAATCTGATACTTCTACTCAGAATTTTATTCTCAAAATCTAAAAAAACAGATTGGTATTTAAATAAATAATATTAGTATAATGAATATATCTGTCCAATTACTAATATTTATGAAGACACAGATAAATATTATCTGTTATCTGACTATTGTAGTGGAGGAAGTTTAAATTCATTAAAAGGAAAATTAAAGGATAATTAAGTGACTATCCTATTAAATTAAATGGTAACGGCTATTTCTTATTTACATTCTAAAAAAATGGTTCATGGTAAATTGTCTTTAGATAGTTTCCATTTATTAAATGATTTAAATAGTCTATTTTGTAAATTGATTGATGCAACCTGTTTATTTTAAGGGAAAGAGTAAGTTAAAATAGAGCCATCATAAGAAGATTATGCTGAAGATATTTATGCTTTAGGAATGATTGCTTATTAATTATTAACTGGATTAATGCCATATTAAATAAAAATCAATAAATAATAAGAAAATAATGAAAATGCCCTAGTCCTATTATATTTTAATGAAGGAACTTCACCTTCTTTAAAATAAATATTGAAGAAGATGTTAGAGAAGAAAATAAGTGAGAGAATAACAATAGAGGAACTTAAAAGATAATTATAAAAAAATGATATAAGAAATAATTATTCAGATTTTTTAATAAAACCTTTGTATTTGTTATCAAAATGTAAACAAAGGAATTATTTTCATGTTGTAATTCTAGCTTTTATGCTGAATAAATTCAATTAAGAAGAAGAATGTATATTAGAGAAGATATTTAATGATGCAGACCTTGATTAAGATGGATTATTGAAGAAAGAGGACATTATTCGATTATATAAATCTATAGTTGAATATGAGAGTATAAATATTGATATTCAACAATTATTTTAGAAATTAGATGTAACAATGAAAGAAGCATTAGATATAAAGGAATTTGTATCAGCAGCATTAAATCTTGAAGATTTATTATCATAAACATATTTAGAAACTTGTTTTAAATATTTATAGAATTAAAGAGGGTATATTACTTGTAATAGTGTCAAGAAACATATTGAGATTAATGAAGAATTGTTTATTTAGACTTTAGAGGATATTAAAGGTTAACAAAAGGTAATATATAAATTGATATATCATAGGTAAATTATAATGAATTTACTGAGATAATGAGATAATTATAATGATTCAAAGTATCAATTATAATAGAGTTTATATTTGATTAATAATACTTTATATATTAGTATAATACTTTTAGTAAGTTTGTAGATATTTTGTTAAACAGTTATTTATATTTTATTTTTGACTATGATTTCTCAAGTATAATTTAAAAAATAAAGCTGAATTTCAAATTCAACTTATTTTCTTCAAATAAAAAGGATTTCTATTGAGTAGACAAGAAAAATCAATGGTATCTTGAGATGATAATAAATAAATAATCAACTATCAGATTGTTTTCTATGATCTGGAGATAGTCTTCTTTAAACAATAGGATTAAGTTTTATTTGGAATACATCCTTTTTATTTTCTTAATGAGTAGTTTTTCTAATTTAGATAAATTTATTACTGAGAATTGTTTCTATTTAATTTTCTATCTTTATCAATGGACTCAGCAGATAATACATCTTATCTTTGGTTTTACTTTTACTAAATACAACCCATTTGAATTGGCTTGTTTAATTAAATATAAATGAATGATAAATCTTATTGTCATGAATATATAATAACTTATTATTATTTTAATTGTTTTCAAGCAATTAAATGTTTTTGTGTTTATGCAAACATCCTTATGAAATAAATGTGAAATTTCAGTAAAATTTATACTTATTTTTAGTAATTATGAATTCAAACATTATAGTTAACAGATAATTATAGAGATATATAGAAGTTATAAATATATTAATATATTATATTATTTAAATAATGAATGAACGATTAGACACATAGGATTAAACTGATATAAGTATATTAGATAAAGATAAAAAATTAATAAGAAGAAATCGTTTAAGATTAGATAAATTTAATCATCCTATAATAAAGGGTGTTAAAGGCAAAAGAATAGTTTTTCGAGATGCAATAGAAGGAAGGAATTTATGTGATATTTATTTGGTATAGAAGTATATTGAAAAGAAAGAATAAAATATTAAATGTAGATGTGCATGTTCAATTTAGTGAATTGATAATCCGGTTTCTTTATACATGGATGATTTTAGTTAATAATTAATTATATTAATACTAATTATTGATTTTAAATTTTAATATGAATTTAAAAAAAATGATGATGATGTATTTCAAATATTAATTCATTTTTTTATAGCTTACATGTTCTAGAGGAATTCCTTACATCGATTGATTAATACACTATTATTTGCACCTAATTATGACTATGTTCTTTGATGATTAACTAAAGTTTATTTACTTCTTTGATCTGATATGCCCTTTTGCATTAAATAAGTCTAATAATTCATACTCATAGCTAAAATTCAATATATAATATATATACTTTTTTAATGCATTTGTTATTATGGTTAAGGTATATTATTAGATTATGTAGAAACATTATGATCCCCTAAGAAACTATTGTCTTTTGAGATTTTCTTACCATTATTAAAACTAGAATTGTTTTTATCAGAAGGAATATAAAAAGATGTACTTGTACCACTAGTAGGCATTTTTGAACTAATTCTCTTTTATGCTACAACAGCATTATTATTATTCTATTATTATTAAGGTATTTATGATTTTAATTGATTTTAAGAGACCTAATTTAAAGTAGCATAAACACTAACAGAAGGAGGTCTTTATTATTAAGTTGTGATTTAAGGTTTTTAATTGGGTTATGTCCAAGGAGACATAATTTATTTTTTAGAAATTGAATTATCACGTTCCATTTTATTAATTGATATATCTACAGCATTTTTAGATTTTTAATTTTCTTTATTCATTTCTTTACATAATTATCCACTAATAAATTCCTTACTCATATTAACATTCTATTATTATTATCCTAAATAATCTTTATTACAATTTGATAAGTATTCTTTAAGATAATTTTATGAAACATGTTAAATATTAGTATCTTATTATTTAATTATTGGTTATTCACTAGGAAGAGTAGAATTAGAAGGAGCATTAGGTTTTTTAGATGCATGTTAAAAACTTTAAGTTCTTTTCCTTTCTTATTAATTTTGATCAATGCTTTTAAATTAATTCTCAAATTTATTCTCATATTTTGTTTCATATTTCTTACTAATTTCTAAATATAATGCCTCTCTGTATTCTTTAATACTAAATTTCTTATTATCATCCATAGAGATAATAATTGGATTTGTAGTACTCTCTTAATTATCATGATGGAAGGCTCCAACATAAGGATGTCTTAAGGCTTCTTCAACAGAAATCCTTTGAGAAGGATTGAATGAAAGTAATCTACGAATCAAATCTAAGGCTTGAGGAGTAGCTTTTGGAAAATAATTTGTAAATCCAATTCTTTAACCTTTAGGAATATTATTAACAATTTGAGAGGCTAAAGGTGCTTAAACACTTTCTAATTCTGAAGTAGTTGGTCTACCTATAACTTCAATAACTCTTTCAATTTGATTAAGTGTTGAACTACCAGGGAATATAGGTTTTCCATTAATCATTTCTCCCAAGATACAACCAACTGACCACATATCAACAGCTTTAGTATATTAAGTGGATCCAAGTAGAATTTCAGGAGCTCTATACCACCTTGTTGCTACATATTCAGTCAGAATAGAAGTTTCATCAATTTGATTTAAAAGACTTCTAGCTAATCCAAAATCTGCCACTTTGACATTACATTCTGCATCTAGTAATACATTTGATGGTTTAAGATCTCTATGAATGATTTCAGCAGAGTGAATGTATTTTAATGCTTTGAGTATTTAATAGATTATATATCTGAAATAAAAGTTTAAGAATTTACCTTTAGTGTATTTCTTCAAGGATTCCACCTCTTATTACAGCATGGAGGTCTGTTTCCATGAAATCGAAAACTATATACAGATCTTTGTTATTATCAGCTCTATGAATATTAGTCATTCGAATAACATTATCATGTAGCATCTCTTGTAAAAACATGACTTCTCGAAATGTGCGTTACGCATCAGTGGCATTATGAAATGCATCAAATACTTTTTTAAGTGCTACAATTTATTTAGTTTTTCGATCTATGGCTTTCCAGACTACACCATATGCTCCTTTTCCCATTTTCTGTAATACTTCATACTTCTACATTATGTGACACTCGATTTCTTCGGTCATTTTAAAAAAATTAACTGTTAAAAATAATTATGAAGAAACATAAATCCTACATCAATTACGAAGACATTATTGAAAAACCTACTCCATCGATCAATATATAATAATCATTTAATCTTAATGTGAATGTCAAATAACTTAAATAATAATAATCATCTCCAAATATCCCTCTCATAAATTAAAAGAAACCTTATCTTCAATCCAGAACAAACAATAGAAATAGTCTTCCTATTTTAAGATCTGCAATGCAATCATAAATGATAGAAAGAGATATCCAATTAAACTAAAAGGATTATGATAAATTAAAAACTGATTATGAAAACCTTAAAATTGAGCATTTTAAATAAGAATCTATAGTTTAGTAATTGATAAATGAGAATACTTTATTAAAGAATCTCAATAATGACCTTAAAAATTAAGTTGATGATCTTAAAATCAATATCAAAAGATATCAATAGAATGATGAAGCTGTTTATTAATAATATCTCTCAAATTAATAAGAGTAGATTATAAAAGAATTAAAATCAAAGATTAATTAATTGTCTGAGAAATTGATTCTTAAAGAAAAACAAGCAACACAACCAGCTAATTATCTTGTTTTTGTGAATGAAATTTAAAGTTTATGTTTAGATTTAAAAAGACACTTAGAATGTAAATATTGTGGAAAAGAATTAAAGGATCCAGTGACATTAATTCCATGTGCTCATTCTTATTGTAAAGGATGTAGAAAAGGATATTCTAATGATTGTTTTTTGTGTGGCAAAGAATTAAAAATAGAGGCGGTGTATCTAAATTAATTTATGATTGACATGATGGCATTATATAAACGAAATATTGGACTTATTGAATAGTTGAAAAATAATTTATGAATTAATAATCAAAGAACAAGTCTCTCCATTCCAAAAATATTATTCCTAAGCACAATGAGCCCCAAGATATTGAGCATTGTCGATAAGCAATCAAATAAATCATTGGCAATAGTGATATTCCTCATAATTAAACATATCATAAATCTGCTGAAATGCATCACTAACAGCCATAACCCAAGAAAAATCTACACTCCACAATACAATAATATAATGAAAATATTGGCAAGATGTTTACATCTACTAAGTATGGAGTCGCATACATGTAAAAGAAAGTAGTACATAATATTGATTAACTATGATATATATATATATTTGATCCATATTATAACTTTTCTGTTAATATAATCAATTATACTTCTCTCCTTTTTTGGAAGATTACCTTTAAAATTTTGCATAATGATTTGGTATAAATTTAAATTTTGATACTTATATATAGTTGATTATTAATATATTTGATCATTATATTCTTAATTTTATTTATTACCCCATCGATAAATTTAATTAAAATGTATTTATATAATTTTTCTGAAAATCCTTTAAAGGAAATTAATATTATTAATAAATGCTTTAAGTAAATTTAAATACATCAATCAATATAGTTGATGATGTATTTAAATTTACTTTATTTTCATCATCTCATAACTATTTATTTAATTAATTATATATCATAATATTGATGTATTCAAGATGTATAATCAATATTATTAAAAATATTAGATTAACTCATTTATTAATAAATGATGATATATTTATGATAATCAATTCAATTTTAGATATATATATATAAATACTTGATAGTTAATTCATATTAGTTTATATGAATATAATTATTTAAGTTAAATATATAAAAAAGATAGTATAGATATATTAAATAAATTATATTATTAATATTAAATTTTATATTTTATTGAATATGTTATAATTTCTCATACTTCTATCATCTCAAAGAAAATATTCGTTGCTGGATTAACAAATATTTTCACTAAAATTGTTTACAAGAGTCCAGTTGCACCTGATAAACTCAATTGCACTGCCTTGAAAACAATTAATAGTTTAATGGGATCTGAAACACAATGAGTGTTTAAGAATCCAATAATGAAATTAAGACCCCACATATTTGATCTTGTTATATCTCCACCAGAATCTGCTGCTTCAAGTGCCATAGCAATAAGGATGAAGTAAATTAATAATGTAGTTAAAGCTATGAATATTCCCCATCCTATTTGTCTAACAACAAACACTTTGTGTGGCATCAAGAACAAAATTACAAACATTTCAAAGTTGGATAATATGGCTGAAAATACACTAAATATAATTGATTGTAAAGGTTCTAAAGGCACTTAAAAGAATATATTAATATAGCAAGTGTTAAGAATTGTCATGTATAAAACACAGAATCTGATGGGTCGAGGTAATCTCCTTTCAAATACTAAAAAGATGCATAATAATTTATGGAATAGAGCCATAAACAATATAACATTTGCAAGGGAGAACTTAAGTTAACATCCACTTTCTAAGAATTTCTTTCGTTTATAATCCCTATGCCATTGTTAAACTAATTGTTCTTTAATTTCATAAGTTGGTTCTGGCTCTTCTTTGAGATTATCCTCTTCATTAGAAATATCTAAAGCATCTATTGCTTTATCTTTATCTTTATCTTTATCATTTACTTTGTTTTTATTTCTCTTTCTCTTTCTTGTTGATGACTTTTTCTTTTATTTAGGTTCTATGATTTCAGATTAGCCAGCTTCTTTAACATCTTTTTCAAATGAATCCTCTTCAATATTTGGAACAGGTTGATTGATATCTGTAACTTTAATTGCACTAAGTGCGCAACCATCATCATCTTAAAGATGAGGTAAATCATTTGATTATAATTCTTGACAGAAGGGTGGCGTAACATTTTCTCTTTAATTCATGATAGGGGATTCTTTCAATTCTGGATGAAGTTCATATTGTTAGCTATCACCCATATCATATTTTTATTGCTATTGTTATTATTAACCTTATTATTGGAATTGTTTTTCTAATTCTTAATTGAATTATTCTAAATCAGCTATACTTTCTGATTTAAATTATTATTATTATTAATCTTATAAAATTTAAGATTATTATTATGATTATGATTTTTATTGTTATGATTATTATTATTAATTGGAGACACTCTTTTATTTAATAGTTGCAACAGACATAGAAGATTTAGAAAATTCAGGTTCTAATTATTTGAAGTATTTAGCTATTTCAGGTTCCTTCTACTTTTCTCCAGGTTTTTAATCTAAAATATTTTCAGGAACTTCATAAAGACTTTCCATGTTATCACTATTTTCACTATCCTCTTCATCATAAACTACTTAGTTTGGTGGTCTATCAGAATCATCAGAATCAGATTTATAGGTTGGCTCACTTTTAAGTGGAGCATTGGCATTTTATTCTTCTTTGATTTCATTCATTTATCTTATTTTCATTAATTCTTCTGGTTCTATATCAGGTTAGACCATAAATATATCTACAGGAGCTTCTTCTTATAATGGGAACTATAGACTTGTATTGATTGGTCTCTCAGGATTATCTTATTATTCTTCATTTTCTTTTTGTTATTCTTATTATAATCTTAATTATTCTTCATATTCTTCTTGAAGTTTTTATTCAATTTCTTTTTGCTTTTCCATTTTCAATTTTTGTTTTTCTGTTCTTTAAGCCTAATTTTCTTCAGCCTTGATTCTAATATATTCTGATTCTACAAAATGAGGAGCCAATAATTTCTTTTCAACATCTTCCCTATCCTTTTTGAATCCATATTTAACTGAAAATACTAAAGCAGTAGTCATAAAGGCTAAAGCATAAACAATAACTGATTTGTAGAATGGGAAATTAAGTAAGGCTAATAAAGCTTCCATTGAAAATGCCTTAGCAAATTTATCAAATGCTAGAGCATCAGCAATAGCATCACCAACTGAAGTAGGAGATAATTCTTCACATTAACAAGTAACAGTAAGAGCTCCTGTTGCATCAACTTATTTAACAGTCTTACAATTTCCACCTCCTGCACTCCAACCACCATCTGAACCTTTTCCTATACAAAATATGGCTTAAGATTCTGGTTCTTCATCTAATTCATATAGATCTTAATAATATTGCATATTTCTTCTGCCATATAATCTTCTGAGTCTTCTTAATCTAGCTGCTTATTTGGCTGCAGTAACTCCAAAAGACATAGGTATTGGTTGTTTTGGAACAATGACTGATCCATTTGGTAATTTTGGTTCAATATTTTAGACAGATGCTGGTACAGATCTACTTGGGAATGAATCATCAGTTGCATAAGGATTATCAGCAAATTCAGCTTAATTGTAAGTAACAGTTTAAATATTAGTTTCATCTGATTAAGTGGATTCATCATCATCTGTAATTTTGATGTCTTTTTTAGATTTGGTTGGATCTGAACCTGCCAAATATTCAGCCATCTTAGAAGGAGTAGCAATAGAGGATTTCATAGAGAATGATCCACCTGAAAATACTTTAGGAGGTGCATTAGGATCAGCGGTTTATGTTAAACCAAATTTAACTGATTCTTAAACTTTAAATAATTTAGCATTATTATCCTTCATTTTTTACCAAGCAGCATCTGTTTCATTAGTTGAATTATTACTATCAGTTGAATTAGCTGATGTAGTAGTACTGGTTGAATCAATAGAATCCATTTGATTCTATCCTGCTGCCAAGAGTCCATTTAATAAACCAGCAGTTCTCATAATATCATTTTAAAGGTTCTCTTTTACTCTGAAGGATTTAAAATCAACATTTCCACTTTCAATATCTCCTTAAAGTTCACTTACTCCACTTGTACTACTAGAAACAATACTATCTGCTTTATCTAATTCAGCATCCATATTTTCAGAACTCATATTCAATTAAATATCTTCATCATTCATTAATTCTTCAATTGATTTAGTTAAAGCACTCTTAGTAGCAACACTAACATCTTGAGATTGTAATTCTTTAAGGGATGCTAAAATACTTTTTTTGAGTGTAATCAATTTAGTCTATTCTTCTTAGATAATGGCAGTTTCATTAGCATCTTAGTCAGCAGATGGATTATCAATACTTAAATCTTTGACACCAATAGCAAGTAGATTTAATAAATTTATTTATTCTGGTATTGATAAAGTTGTTCTATTTTAATAAAGTCTAATAAATTTATCTGTTGCATCTGTAATTTCTGCTAATTATCTTGATCTAAAGAAATAAGGTAATGGATAGAATTTATCTTCTTATTATTATCTCTTCTTCAAATATTCAGCAACTTATAATCTATGTCTTAGATCAACTTGATTCAATCCTACTACAACTGAAGATGTTAAATTTGTTAATGCTCCCAAAGAATCTGAGATTGATGCCATTAAAATTAGGAAGGGTTGAGTAACAGCTGAATCACTCAATGGATTAGGTAATATAGTTGAAATTTCATTGTCAATTGAATAATCTAACAAAAGTATCTGATTCAATGAAGCAGCCTTTAAAACATCATTATTATATTAGGTTGGAGAATAGTAGAATGTAAACTTGTAAGTGAATGGGGAATCACTATCTTCACAATCAGTAACTTTTAAGGTGAATTAAGTATCAAATGAAATACCACTAGTTGGAGAAACATTCATCTTACAACTTCTAGGTGGTAAATTGATGTTAATTAGTAATGTAGTTGTTGAAGGCATAAAGAATTGAGGATTGTAAACTGATGCTCTGAATCCCAATTAAGCAAGATCAGTCAAATCATAGAAACTATCCCAGAACTTTATAGTTATTGATGTGAAGAAGAATCTTAGAGTAGCTACTACATTGAAATCATATACTATTGCACCACCATAATATAGACTATCTGGATTCTTAGTGGGATATAAGAATTTTATGCTGATTTCTTGATTCATATTAACTCTTTTTGATGTTAAATATTCTGGTCTCTTGAGTTCTAAAACTGGAATGTCCAATTCAACAATTACAATAACTGCTTATGCTACTTCAAACAATTCTCCTTTAGTTCCATTTAAATAGAAATTATAAGCATTATAAGGCACTAATCTTTTTGCTGCTACAAACTAAGAGTTAGTTCTATTAAGTGGAATTTCTTCATCATAAACATCTGCACATGGTAAATTAGTATTTAGATTAACACATTTCCATACCAATTCAATTCCTACACTCTAGTCTGTTTTAATATTTGGATCCTTGGCCCATCCATTTACATTCAAAGGCACAGCATATCCATTCATTCTATTTCCTCCTTCAATTTCCACTTGTA